TTCTCCTAGCTTTCGTTGCTAAAACTGGGTGAAAACAAGCGGAGAGTTTAAAAAAACCTGCACTGCAGAACCGATCTAACATCTTTAGGGCGGTGTCAAACACTGTCGTAATCACATGACCTCGCTGTGGAGGAGAGTTGTTTCAGGTAAGGCTTGTCTTTAAAGTAAGGGGCGTATGTTCGTTAGAGGTCAAGCAACTACTTTGTATTTAGAAATCCCCAGACGACGAACAGGTGCTGTATCGCGAGACAAGGGCTGCCCTCGTATAGCCGACAATCGTTAGTCGCTGAGAAGAGTCTCATTCGAGTCACTTTTCATTTGTCGGATAGTCTTAGCTGCTTCCACTAGCTATTACCTGACTACACCTGTACTGGGAGCTTGAAGGACAGAGGGAGTTACTAGCGTAGGAGCGTGGGGACCCAGCGGGGAATACTGCTAACGAGCAGGGCCAGAATGAACGAATAACATAAACATGCTAGGACTAGTCGACTATTAGCTTTATTGAATTACTACCGGTCGACAATCTTACACAAAACTAGTACAAGTGTGTAAAAATGTCAAACTAGTCATGAACGCTGAAGCAAAACAACAAATGCAAAACATTCGGAAAAACTGAAACACGAGACCGAAAATCGGCAACCAGTTGCTGCCAACAGATATCTACGATGTTCTCAGGATGGATCCTAAAGATCTAAGTTCTCACACAACATCTCTACATGTGCAGACATTCATGGTTCCCAGAGGATGAATCCTGAATTCCTGTTTTCACTCACTGAAATATCACAAGATTGATTGTAATTACATTTACATTCATGTTCCTCTCAAGATATTTTGTAATAACTTCTATGATCTTCTGACCTTTCCTCTAGCGCCACCATCAGGTCAAAGTTTTAATTTGTTGTTTGTAGCTGAACTACTGTGTTCAGAGTTAATTATCAAATGTTAGCATTTTAAGACGCTAAACTGCGATAGTGAACATGGTAAACATCATTATCACTGTGGTTATATCAGCATCCATATTGTTTTTAACAGTGTCATATGTTATTCTATATGTCATAATTATATTGAATGCAGGTTTCTACAATATCAGAGGTTAATTTAATAATGTTCTAAAATGTTGATCTTCAAATCAAATCAAGGACATTTATAATTTTAAATTTTTTGGCACACAGTGAAATGTAGTATCTATGTATTCTCTCTATGTATTGTATGTTTTATGCAATATATTTAATTAAACAAGGCTATGATTTTAGGAATTTAAAGCATTCAGCTCTCATGTATATTTTACGAATGTTTTTTCATGATCTGAGCAGTTGTTGGTGAGTCTATAGAGGATGTTAGGACTGTTGTATAGTTGTTTAGGACATTTACTAGTAATGTCTGGAAATGTTGCCACAGTGTCTGATTGGTTGGTGAGCGTTTAAAAAGGTTGTTATAAGACTGTAAAATATGATAGGAAATATAAATAACTGTATTTACTGTTTCTTGGATGAATTTAAAAAACAATGCACAAATTACAAATTATAATATTTCTCCTTTAAATTTGTCAAAATACTATGTATAATATGTACTGATGTTAAAGCTGGTGAATAATTCTCAGATACATTTACAATATATGCAAGTGCAACTAAAATTCTCACATTATTTATAGTGCCACTTTATCACAAAACCCTAAAATTATGTTGGCAAATGTTTGGACAGACTGCTACCATCTGAAAGTTTTACAGTTTTTGCAACACTTCAGTGTGATATTAATTTGTGATGCATCTGCTGCTGTTGACTCAGCCACACATCTACCTCCTCGTCCTGATGAAAGCTCACCATTGCATCCCGGGTCTCACACTTTTGTTAAATTCCTCTCCCTAATGTGCGTGTGATGAATATTTTTCAGATGCTTCCTCCAGGCCATATCTGATCAAAACAAATGCACCTGCACTTTTTTTTTTTTTCCTTCTTGCAACTGCAACTCCCCCAGGACGGGTAAAAATTGACTCCCTGGCTTCCTCCACCAGGCAATTACGTGCCATCTGTTCCCATCTTGGTTGTTCCAGCTCGTTTTGTTTCTGCGATTGTTCGTCTAATATCATAGGCCTGAAAGTGTTAGAGAGGAAGGGGCGGGAGTGGAGGGGGGGGGACACAAAAATGAGGAGTGGCATGAAGAGGAATTAATCGAATCTAACAGCAGAACCAGATCTTCCCCTCTGAAAGGAGATAGTCCCACTAGAATGAGGACCATTACCATATTCATCACCTAATATTGCCTGCTGTATGCAAAGTGGGAGAGAAGAGTGCAATATGACTTTCTTGACCGCCTTTCTAATTCCATCCGAGAAAGCTTGCAGACTTCTTTTTTAATTGTTTGTTTGCAACAAGTCCACTTAGTACCTGCTTTGCTGTGATGCTGCCATTTGTTTGGGAGCGGTAATAACAACCCATTAACTTCTCTGTCATATATTGCACTGATATTTATATATATATGGTTGTTATGCTGCCATGCTCAATCACATTATTGTTTTGTTACAGTAACTATTGGGCCCATTACTCTCTGCCACACACACAGGCTGGAAGCAGCGTGTAGATTTAATTGCAGCGATGTCGCAGGCGAGGCGAGCAGCTGGATTGGAGAGTTTTAACAGTGATATCAATAACGGAGCGCCACCTTAGGCCGATATAATTTTCCATCTCTCCTGACAGAGCGGAAGATAGAAATAATCAGTCACAACACCAGCCAGGCAGCCTGTAGGACCTCGTGTGACATCCTGCAACACTGATGGCTCAGGACCCATCTGTGTCCAGGGGGGCAACGCTCAGTGTGTGTGTGCGTGTGTGTGTGTGAGGATAATTGGTGAGAAGATGCTGGATCCTATAAGAAGAGGAAATCTGTTACACTGCTTAAAGGCTTATACAGTAGATACCCAGAATGACTTCTGATCATCTAGGAATATAACAAGCATGCAAAATATACTTTCTCTTTGTTCTTTTGGTATCTGGGGGCAGTTAATTGTTTTCAACACACTCTCTTTAACTTGTTTTCCTCTGTAATTATTAATAAGTGTCGTTTTAGACTTCTTCAAGACTCCACACAGAGACAGGGAGAGATTTAAAACAACATCTTAACTACTGGATGAGGAGGAAAACTACCCAGCAAAAACTAAATTTTGACCAAATATCTAAAAATCCAAACCACGGCAGCTGGTTTTGTTGCCACTAAGATTGATAGTCAGATGTTGAACATGTATGGCCCCCGTGATGGAGGTTCAGCCTTGAAACCTGTAGATTTGCATGACAAACCCTGACTTTAAATTGATTTCTTCCAGTTTTCTTTAATGTTTTCCTTTTTTTTCCCCACCCTGCACATATTTTAAAATCAGTGTGAGTGGAATTACACAAGCCAACATATGAGGGTGAATATGTGTGATTCTCTAATTGGGACCAAACCTTGTTTAAAATCTGTTCTGAGAGTACAGACCTGCAACAGACTGCAGAAAGACTCCTCCTAAACTACAGCTGAGAGAACACCGCCTACAGTACATATGAGTCAGACATCAGCAACGGGGAATTATAGTTTGAGTGCCTTTATATGATTACTTAAATTTAAAAAGTAATTTATCTCATTATTTACATTTAAACATGTGACATTTGTCTTCTTCCACATATTAATGCATCTCCATATCTTGTATAAACTGCAATATCTAGTTAAACCACTTGAAGTTATGGTTCCTGGTTTTACTGCAGGATTCAGGTTGGTTTTTAAATCAAGGAAAAAGTAGACCCAGTACAACATAAACCTTGGTATAATTAGTTTTTCATTTGACTTCTCCTTCAGTACCTCTGCCTTAGTGCACATGGACAACTACACTATATGACTGCCCTCCCTGAAGGCCTGCTGTAGAGTAAATTAGTTAAACAGATTGCATATATAACTGTAATATCTCTCTTTTTTAAAGGTCATTTGATGTCAGAGCGCTGTGCATTCACTGTTCAGGTTGTCCTCTTTTTGAAGCTTTGTATTTGCTGACATCTAGTGGTTAAATAGTGAAAAGCAAATGTGATTAATTAGTTAAAAACTACTATCTATCTGTCAATAAAATTGATCTGGGGAACAGGTGTCTGCATCCCAGGTTTAATCAATAAATTCATGTTCATTCATTGTTAATTTGATGATCTAGACTCTAGACTGTAAATCTAAACAGTTCCTTTATAGCATAAAACATTTTTGTTTGCAGGAAGCATTTCAGAGGTTAATTTCTAGAAGGGTTAAAAGGTAATATATATCTTTATATCCAACATATTAAGGATAAACAAGAAAAACATTTTGTGCCATTTTTCTCATTTTTTAGATGGAAATTCATCCTTGTGAAGCCCCAAAAGCTGTCAGTTCATGTATGGAACAAAAAAATGAAGATTTACATTTGCAAGCAATGTCCTTTTTCTGAAAGTAATTATTAGTTGATAGCTAATATTTATCCAAAATATTACAATTATTGTATATATAAATTAATGTTTGTGAAGAAAAAAAACAACCTCAGCCTGCTCTTAAACCCTAAGTTCACATCAGACATATCAACAGACTCACTATTTAAAATTAAATCACCCAGAAATTGACTTAGAATTTTATATATTATATTACATACATATATATATCCCTTTAGTGCTCTAAATATTTCTCAAAAATTTAGAGACAGAATCTCAAAATAGTAACCCTACTATCACTCCCAAACATAATTTTCATGTTTGCAAACTGAATGAATTATTTCTGACTCTAAAGTTTGTTTACATCAATATATTCAATCATTCTATGTAAATGGTCCGTTGAGTACATTATTGTTTTAATGTACAAGTCAAATATGAATTTGTTTATCTGCACACCTAAAGATGCCACTGCTGTGCTAGTATACAACGTAGTAGACAACAACCTGCAGTGAAAAGAAAGAAGGAGGGAAGATAGGTGAGATGGGGGGAGTGACAGAGCGAGGCGGAGGGAGGAAGAACTGGAGGCTGCAGGACAGAGCGGGGACAGCAGCGGAGGAAGAAGCACACACCTGGAATTCAGGTATGAAATCGTTAACTTTGATGGTTTTAAAGCTATTTTTGTTTATGCACTGGTGTAATTTCATGTTTTATTCTTAAAATGCTTAAAATCTGAATGAAAACTTCTGCTGTGCATTGTACTTTTATTTAGACATAAAAAAGTATTTGTCTGGGGTAATTTGCTGCCTACAGATTTCATTGTTTTTTTAAACTGACTGAAGCACGTTTCATTTAACATTTCAAAGAGGCCTTTACCTGTGAGCTTTATGCTCTGTAACTTGTGGTGAATGCCTCCATTGTTTAGTTTCGATACGCTGGAATGCTCTCGAACATCCTGAATAATCCGCTCAATTATGAATGGTATCATTTATTCTATAGTCTCAGCACCTCAGCAAGGCCATCCGGTAACTTAGCAACTAGTGCCTCTCATTCAACATTAAAGTGGGGTAACATGAGAAGACCCAGTGGCCTCACTCCAGGAGAGTGACAGGGATTTGTTACTGACACACAGCCTACATTTTCCGTCATTCCAACAAACAGATTCATGACTCTTTATCTGTTAACCTGTAATAAAGTGTAGTTTTTACATTGAGATTGTATTTGAGATTATGTTTTCCATGACCTTCTGCTCTTAATTTCTTAATTTCAGCTGCCCCTTAACAGCATACAACAAATGTCACCCACAGATAAGATCTTTAACATCTTTTTAAAACATGGGAAACAGATTTTATCCATTGACACTCTGAGGTCACATGTTTCCAGGGGGACCTTATTGTGAACATGCAGAGGTAAACTGACACCTCACCCTTTCATCCTTGCAAAAGCCTTGTTGTTTTGCTCCAGGGGGGTAAAAGGCTGTCTAACTAGGTCTACACCATTAACATATACATGTTGGTACCCACAATTGACAAGTCAGAATTCGATCCATTTTGCACGGTCATAAAGACTTAAAAAAAAGAGAGCCAACCCTTCTTTTGGCAGTCTCTCACATAGCTTGTGTTGGTGGTGAAAGACAGGGTTCAGTTTCAATGCCTTGAGCAGATAAGCACGGCTGTTTCCACCAAAAGTGACAATGAGGGTCTGTGCAGCAACTATTTGAGACTGTTGAGGTTTCATGATGAATGAAGTTAAGAGAGGTGACTTTGCAAACAAAGACCCATAAGCCCCTCTTCTTCAGCCTGGCATGCAATCACCATTAAATTATCATATACTGTCAAAAATAGCTTTAAATTCTGATTTAATGACTGGGTATTTATTGTCGTAGTGATCAGTAGCTGCCAGCAGTGTTGAAGTCTGAATACAACGCTGACCCCAGGGAAACAGGACAGTGGTTACCTGAGAGCACTTTAGAGTCTCGTGAGAAACTGAATATTGGGTGGGATGGATAATGTTGCAACGAAAGGGAGCCTGTGTCCCAGTTTTAAAACAGCAACAGAAATGTACACAAGTCCTTAAAGGGTTTATGTGATACACCTGAGTCAACAGGTAGGTCAAATAGATTTCCCAAAGGACTGAAGTTCATTTGCAAAACATTACAGGATGACTCCTTTGGTTAAGAAATGATTAACCAAGATCTTCTTCTCGCATACAATCCCTAGTTTTGTTTCAGATTTTCTTTGTAGATGTAGTGCAGTCACTTTTTTTAAAAAGCATATGCAAGTATATGTTGCAATAAACTTAAATGCTTTGTTGTAAAGGTCTTCCATTTTCTATTTGTGTACCTAAAGAGTTTTGATGATCATTTCTTTTGCATTTTCTCTTTGTCTTTACAGACACATACTGAAAAAGTAGTGAAAAGTGACACCCCATTTGACAAGAGGATTGTTCAAATCTGCCATCCACAATGTTAATGCGGTCTCATTCAGAGAGAAGAGCCCTCCTTGGGTTCTCAGCCCTGCTGACACACAGCACTCCAGAGCAGAGAGATGCAACCTCCCCTTCTCCCTTATCCTTCACCCCACGGGAGTCCATCTTTACACCCATATCTCTTACTTCGCCACCTCCCTGGGTGACTCAGGCCCTTTCTAACCTGGAGCAAGGAGAACAAGAACTGCAAAGCCTCAGAGAGCGACAGCAGGCTGAAGTGGAGGAGGTGAACCGTGAGTTGGACAATGCTGTGATTGAAGCTCAGAGAGAGGAGCGGCGCCTTCTTGAGAAGATTGAGCAAGACCACAGAGAAGCTCAGCGGTACCTTAGTCAGTTGAAGAGGGAGAACGCTGCAGCTGTGCGAGTTGTGCAGTCACTTGTTGATCAGGAACTTAGAAAACTTGGACAACTGAAAGAGCAGATACAAAGATGGGGCAGTACTGCTGGTGGATCCAACAAAAATCAGCTGCAGAGAGGAGTGGCAGAGGTCACCCAACCTTGGGAAATCTCTCTAACACTTAAAAGGGTCAGTTTCTTACCAAGCCCTGGGTCCAAGACCTTAAGCTTAGGGGAAGTTGATGTTCATGAGCAGGGCATGACCTACCCAATTGGTGTCTGTGGTGTCCAAGGACAAAAGTGTGCCTTGCACTCAGGAGATAAAGCATTTTCAAACATTACTCCTCTTGAAATTCGAAAGGAACCACAACCCAACAGAGCTGGGCAACGGTACAGCCCAGAGGAGAGCAATAAGGTAAACAGTGGGAACATGCGTGTTGTCCGGAAACTACGTCTGTCAAGCTCTACAGAAAATGAGGATGAGCTCAAATCACCCACCTTAAAGTCCCCCATACCAAGACATCGTGGTGTATCTGAGTCATCCCAAGATGAGGAAGTGGAGTCTGTGTGTTCAGACACACTGGGGCAAGACCTTTTCCTTGCTATCCCACCAGTCTCCAGTCAGGGAGAATCTGAAGGTGATGAATCTGATGGCAGACAAAATGGAACGAAGAGGCGTGCCACACTGAAGGGTAAGAGGAAGCAAAAGGCCCTTGTCTTGGTCTCAAGTGAAGAACCATCCTGTCCTCCTGAAGAAACAGATGAAAAAATAAGTGATGTGGCAATATCTCCAAAGACTATGCGCAAAGGTTCACTCTCTCGGCACAGTCTTATTGATCTTTTCACTAGACATCATCCACCTTCTCAACACACCCTTTCCAAGAAAAAGACTTCACATGAATCTTCAATGGACAGTGGAAGTCCTCCATCCCCAGTGGACAGTGAGGATTCCTGTTACACCTATACTGTAAATACTCCAGTCAGTGGATCACTCAAGCAAGAGCACTGCCGCTCAATGTCCACCACTGACCTCTCAGGTAAACTTCACCCTTTGATTAATAGTGACAAGGGTGAGCGTAGAGGAATCAGAAAGGTCAACAGAATGCGTCTTGCCTCTGAACCTTCAACTCTTGAAAAAGGCCAAGAAAATGACAAAGAGTCAGACGGGAACATTGTGAGTTCTGATGAACGACAATCAAGATCCCAGACTCGTGTTACACAGGGTTTAAGTTTAAATCAGGTGAGCAGATCTCTGTCCTTGTCAGCAATTGAAGGAGACAAATTACACCAAGACAAAGACTCACAACAGTACAGCAAAGATAAGAAAGACAGAGTTGTAACAGCATTGAGGGAACTCAAGGAAGAGGGTGGTTCAACAGCGCTTGACTCAGCTTATCTGGTCAAACAGTTTGGAAAACAAGGATCAGGCCGAACTGACTTCAATCTCCCAAGCGGCGTCCATGCAACTGTCAAAGGGCAGCTCTTTGTGGTGGATTGTGGAAATGCCCGCATTCAGGTGACTGATCTCCAGAAGAATGTTGTACAGCAGGTGTCTCCTTCGGGCTCAGAAAGGTCTTCTCGTATCTGCAACTACTTTGACGTGGCTGTGAACTCAAAGGGCCTCATTGCCCTGACCTGTGCTGCTGAACGAGCTGTGTTGGTGTTCAGTCGTCATGGACGGCTCCTGCAAACATTTGGAGGCACAATGATTGGTTCCACCAATGAAGAGCTGGATGCTCCCAGAGGGGTGACTGTTACTCGTCAGGATGAGTTCTTGGTCGCTGACATCAAGCGTGGCACCCTAACCTCCCTAAAGCTGGACCCCAAAACTGGGGCCCGATTGGAGCGCACTGTGGTGACCGGGTACCACAGACCCTACCTGGTGGCAGCCTGTCTCGCCACCGGGCTTATGGCAGTAGCCGAACGCGGAAATGAAACTGGACGTGTCCCATGCATTCGGGTCCTTGAGCCTAGCTGGAACACTATCCGAATCCTGGGGGTGTGCTCTGGCCTGGGGCCTGTTTTGACCTGCCCCTGGGGTCTCTGTATCGATAGCGATGGGGATGTCCTGGTGGCAGACTGGGGAAAGCAGCACCACCGTGTTCTTCTCTACCCATCCAAAGGAGTTGGCTGGCCTCTGGTGACTGATAACCTGAGTAGCCCAAGGGGCCTGGCACTGCTTCCTGATGGCCATATGGTGGTGTCAGACAGCATGAATCACTGCATCAAGATCTACCGCTACAAGTGAACCGCAGAGAATGTTTGAGAAGAAAATTAAGACAAATCTGGATAGCGTTAAGACTAGATGCTGTGATAAACTAAAAAGGTTAAATCTGTAATGGCAGGCAATATCTTGGAAACGTGAGTTTCTTGAGTATAATTCGCAGTCTCTACCTCCTACTTGCTTTAATTTGATAAGATCGTGTTTGATGAGGTTTAGGAGAATTGGAGATAGCACTTTATTTTTTCATTAATTTTATGATAATCAGTAGTTGCAAGGCAAATGTAAAATATTAGATCACATTTATTCAGTCCATAAGATACAAGTAGAGGATTAAAGTACTAATGCATGCTTTTAAATTAGTTAATGAGTGTTTCTAATGTATTTTATTTTCTCAAATTAAACTACAGTAAAACTTGGTAGCCCATAATGCTTTGTTCCTGAGTGACATTGAATGAAATTTTGTGAATTTTGCCTATAATGCAAAAGTAATCAGTAATCAATACAAATTTGAGAACTTTCAACAGATCAAACAATTTAGCTAGATTAAGCTTGGGAGGAGCTTAATGATTTTTGTACTGTTCTCTTAGTAAGACAAATTAAACTTGATTTACATCTAATTTTGCATGATTTGTTGTCACTGTGCCTAACCACACCTTATTATACAACTTCAAAGTCTGTTCATTGGCTTTTGGGCATTTCTCTGGTGTCCATTTTTGCCCAATAACATCTGCATTAACAGAAAAGTCTGTCAACAAACAAAAAAGGGAACAAAGGGCGCTCACTGATCCTGAGTTGCAGGACATGTAAGAAAGTCAGAAGTGTTAAGCAAACAGATCAATAAATTCATTTGAAATTCACATCAAAAGGCAAAGTTAAGCATCACCTTTTGACTCCTCTCCAAAAGGTTTTCTTTTCTTTCTTTCTTTTTCATTAAAACAGCTTTGTTAAAGACAAATTTTTCGCTTTAAGGCAGTTATCAACAGTATAGAAGATAGCTTGAGAACACTGACATTTTATAGACATCATCACTGAGTAAACAGCAAAGGAAGACGCCAGAGCCTCATTTTGTAAGAGCAAAAACTCCAACACACTGTCAATGCAAACACACACAAACCATTTCCTAACATGTCCACCCACACACACATTTCAGTATAAAAGCGCAAGTTCAGCTCTGGCACAGCCACAGCTCTGCTCCACAGTGAGACTCCACGCCAGAGGACTTCAGCATGGAGCTGTTCACCAAAACTCTGTTTCTGTGCTTAGCACTTGCCCTCACTAATGGAGCCCCTGCGTGAGTATTAATGAACTCTAATCTAAACAGGTCACTCCGGTCAGGACGTAGTACTAGTATCCTGATCCCAAGATGCTTCTGACATTATGTGCATGCTCTAACCATTGAAAAAAAAGTGCTTTGTGTGCAGTTTATTTAGGCTAAAAAGCCAAAACCTGAATGACTAATGCTTGATGTGGCATGATTGAGTTCAAAGTTTATCTGTAACAAATTCCTTATGAATTTAGTCTGTTCTGTAATATGAGCATATAAATACAGGGGGTAGAAAAATTAGGGTTTCACAAATAATTAAAATATTATAAAAATCACAACACGGACAATATCCAAATCACAGAAGCTGCAATATTTTGCTAATGGTAAAATGTGTTACAAACTGCATTATAATGAAGTACTGTTGTGCAACAGAGACGCTCTGGTCTACACATCTTGCTCTCCACATGGAAGAAAACGTGTGTTTGTTTGGTACACACCTCAACAAATGTCACATCATCATGATTTCAATAGTTTTTCCGAGAAAATGAAAATTGTGACGCACAAATTATCAATCCCAGCAATCGTGAATCTGTTCAAATAACTGCAATATGAGCCACTGAAAAGTGCACGTCACTACTCCTTTCATTTCAAAACTCTATTTGCTAGTTAACAAAGTTCACCAGTTGGGTCGATTGAACAAATACAAGAGTGCAAAGTCATCGGATTACCTTGGTGGTGTGTCAGTGACTGACCCCCCCCCCTTCATCATGACTCAAGGATTTCTAGAAATTAAATATAATGTAGCGCTAAACTGAACTGCAGGAAAATAAGGATTTTTTTTTATCATCCACAGTCTACAACAAGATGCAGCAGTAGAAGGTGGGTTTCTAATAAACATAATAAAATCATAATGGTTTGTCCATAATTTCTCTGCTACAGCTAAACATAAATCATAAAAACAAGCTGTTCATCTTAAAAAGCATATCTAATCTCAAATTATCTGTATTTACCATTATTTTAGTTGCATAATAATGGTAATGGTAACAAGAGTTATATTATGTCTATATTTCTAACTCTGAAATAAAGATGCTGCTCTGCCAGACCGGTGTGAAGGCATTGAGTTTGATGCCATCACTCCTGACGAGAAAGGAACCACTTTCTTCTTCAAAGGTTTGGAACATTTTTATAAAGAGGCTCTTTTGGCAATATCCAATATCCTGTATACTTATTTTATTATTATTATTATATTTTAATTTTACTTTTACTTTGAAGTAAAGCCTCTACACAGTATATAAAATTACTCTTTTTAAAATGTAGAATGGTGGACTTTATTTTCCTTTGAAATTATTTAAACTATTTTAGATATTTATTGCAGTGTAATGAAACTGTTTTCCTTGCAGGTCCCCACTTGTGGAAGGGTTATCATGGTTCGGCTCAGCCTTCCAATGAGCACTTCAAGGAGCTCGATGACATCCATAACATCGGCCACGTTGATGCTGCCTTCCGCATGCACAACATAGATAACCCAGACAAACACGATCACATCTATTTCTTCCTGGTATGACGCTCAGATTCTTTCATCTACGATACGATTCTGTTAAAAATGGCAATATCTGCCACTGATCTTTACTTTTTTTGATGTAAACTCCAGGATGACAAGGTGTTCAGCTATTATAACCACACCCTGGAAGACGGGTATCCTAAACAGATCCAAGATGACTTCCCAGGAGTCCCCACTCATCTGGATTCTGCTGTGGAGTGCCCCAAAGGAGAATGCATGGCTGACTCAGTTTTGTTCTTCAAGGGTATGTTGGCATTCATGGCACAAATATCCAGCTAACTACATCAAGACTATAATTAAGCTGTACAAATAATGTTTAAAGTAAAGGGAATAAATAATGAGTTGAAGAGAGACCAATGCAACAGTAGATTATCTCAGTATTATAAAGGTAATGCTGCCCCCTAGAGGAGGAGATTAGCTGCAGCAGGAGGAAATTCTGTCATGTTTTAAAGCAGCTTTTAAATCAATAAAATGCTATTTGCAAACTTTTGTTACTCGTGTTTGTAAGTTTTATACAGGAATTTAAGCCATGTAGTAAAATACTGGTAGAATTGTATCTTTTTTTTTTACTTTTAAGGATTCAAACATGTCAATCCATGTTGCTCTAACTACTAATAATCCTCCCCACAGGACATGATGTCCATCTTTATGATATTACCACAAAGACAGTGAAGACCAAGACGTGGTCCCACCTGCCCGTCTGCACCTCTGCTTTACGCTGGCTGGAGCACTACTACTGTTTCCATGGACACAACTTCACCAGGTTCAACCCGGTATCCGGAGAGGTGAACGGTACCTACCCAAAGGACGCCCGCAATTACTTCATGGGGTGCGCTGACTTTGGTGAGTTCCTCAAGAAGAGTCAGATCTTACATTTGCATTACATTGAACAAGAAACTGATGTATTGTAATAAATCTTTTGTATTTGACTGCAGGTCATGGAGGTGGTTATCGACCCCGTAAATGCAGTGAGGTCAAAATAGATGCCATCACCACTGACGATGCTGGCAAAACTTATTTCTTTGCAGGTAAAGTAAAAAAACAACATAAATAAGTAGTCTACAAAGGAACAGTCCAACATTTTGGGTAATGGGTGTTTTTTTAATGCTGAGAGGTAAATGTATGAAGGGTCAAGCTAGAGGCAAGGCAATTAGCTTAGCTTAGCATCAGGCGATGGGTCTCTGCAGAGGGGGTAAGAACCTGTATTGGGCGGGATGCAGATAAATGAGGATTACAGTGAGGTGTGCTATATGGACACCATGGACAGTGTCATGGATTTATCATTAAACATCAACACTGCTGATATTTCAGGTTGGTCAGTCAGATAAAGATTCCCATACACACACACACACAATCACATGATCTGTGTGTGTGTGTGTGTGTGTGTGTGTGTGTCCGGCCTTTACTACAACAACCAGGCAGTCACAGCGGTCTACAACACAACCAGCAACAAACACTATTTTTTATAAAATAAATAAAAATAATGAATATGAAACAACTTACCAATGATGTTTTCATGCAGCAGCTGTTTGAATCCAGTCCCAATGACATGAACCCACTGGAAGAAATGTCCATAAACTTGAACGCACCACCGTCGTCCTCCTCACGGTTGCTATAGTTACCTATACATTTTCTCTTTCTTGACTAACAGCGGGACTCTTGTCAGACATTAACCTTGAGTTTTAACACTTATTGTCAGTACAAAACACAGCGCCCCCTGCTGGTGCTGTCTGTATAAACACTGGAATCAGGCAGGAGTGGCTTTTATCAAAATTAGAAAATCCAACTAGTTACAGCACATTACTGTAAGACCCCAAGTTGTTGAGCAAGGGCCAGGCTAGCTGTTCCCCCCTTCTTCCAGTCTTTATGCTAAGCTAAGCTAATTGCCTGCTCGCTCCAGCTTCATCCTCAACACACATATAAGCGAATCCTATCAATCTTTTCATTTAACTCTGCAAAAAAAAAAAGGTGAAAAAGGCCTGTATCTCCCAATATGTCAAACTATTACTTTTGTTTTGTTTTTTTCCTTTAATCATTTATATATCATTTATAATTCAATCATTCAGGCCCCATCTACATGCGTCTGGACACCCATCGAGACGGCCTTCACGCCTTCCCGATCACCAGGGCGTGGAAGGAGGTGACCAATGGAGTGGACGCTGTCTTTTCCTACACTGACAAAATCTACTTGATTAAGGTAAACCTTTAAGTAGCCAATCAGAGTTATTGATTTCATGAGAAAACTTTGGTAGCAGTGTTAAACCTAAGATCCGCCAAACCCCTGCAGGATGATCAGGTTTACATCTATAAAGCAGCGGCTCACTACACCCTGATCGAAGGTTACCCTAAGACTGTGAAGGAGGAGCTGGGCGTTGAAGGACGCGTGGACGCTGCTTTTGTGTGTCCTGATGACAACACAGTTCATATAATCCAAGGTGAATTTACAGAGTGCTCAATTTTTGGGTTTAACCTCTTTTTTATATTAATAAAAGCTCTAAGCAGAAAAGCTTTGTGTTTGTGATTTAACAAACATGTTATTTCTTCCAACAGGACAGAGGATTCTTTATGTTGACCTGACCGCCACGCCCAGGGCTGTGACCCAAAATCTGCCCTTGCCCTTGGATGGCATCGACGCTGCTCTGTGCAACGCAAAGGGAATTGACTTGTTCAAGGGCCCCCAGTATTACCACTATGAGAGCCCCATGATACTGGCTATGGGCAGAATGGCCCCTTTGCCCGAGAACATCACCTCAACAATGATGGGATGTCAGGATTAGGAGAATATTTAACATTCATCTGTTTATGTTTGGTGAATAAAAAGTGGGAAAACTGCACATCTGGAGTTGTTTTGTTCATTTTCTGTGATTATCATGAAAGACAGCAGTGTGATATAACAAAGCAATGACCTGCTGGTTCACCCTGTGTACAAAATCCAGAGGGAACTTATTAAGTAATGTGAGAGTTCGGCCACTAGAGGACCTACTGTACAAATGAATGTGTTACACTAGAAATAATAAGAGGGAGTCAGATTGACTCGAACATGAAACAGCTGCATTAAGAGTCTTAATACAGCCCGTGAATGTATTAACATCTTTATAATAACACAAAGAAGCAGCCATTTTTCACAAGCTGCCTCCCGATCAGGTCTTTTTCTAAAAGTTTCCAGATCATCAAAGTGCCAGTTTTAACCAGGAAGTCTGTGGGACTCTTCCCCTGATGTTACAACAAAGGGGCACTTAAGTGGTCTAATGCCTCTTTTGAAACAAGTTCTCTCCAAGAGCCTTTCTTCGTCGGCCTCCCGCTTCTCTGAAGTGCTGCTCTAGTGTGAAAATGATGCTTAAAAACATTAACCCTGACCCCAACCCGGTACATAGTACACTGAAACTTAAGAAGTAACCAGCAATATAGAGACAGCTCTACATTCAGCCACAAAGTCTGACAGCTCAGAACGACCATAAAGGGAGCTGCTGTTGCTCTCCTGTACTGTGTTTTTAATGATTTCCAGCAGAGAGGTACAGGTGTAGATGCAAGCTCAGTAGAAGGTCTCCAAGCAGGTGTGAAGCTCTACATCGCTGGCCTCAATTTAGAGAAATTTCTAACGACTAAGACGTTATTTCTTGCGAGAAAGAGAGTCTGGATCAGAACTTGACACAGACATGTTTTCCACACAAATCAAGGTCGACCTTGTTATCAGGAGTGCTGCTTTAAACAGAAGAGACTTCATATTTGAGCAGATGTGACAACTGAGAGTGAAACACTTGTCCAGCTGAGCCGCAAAAAGAATTCCAGTAAGATTTTCTCCCAATTAAAGCAACATTTTTATATTTGATGAATGGGACTTTCACTGGTAGCTTTCTTATTCCAGCTTCTTTCAATGTGTATTTGTTTTAAACCAACAAAGCATTCAGGAATGAGGCAAATATTTAGGCTGAGGCTATTTAGTACATTGTTTTATTGTCATCTGCATGTCTGTCAGTGTGCTGTGTCTTTATATTTTAATCAATTTAATTGGAATTTTGATTTTTATGGAAAGTTCAACATGAGTAAGACAATTGTGTAATATTCTCTGCAACATCAGAGTCAAGTTTCCCATTCCCATTCCCACCAGAAATGTCAAAAAATGGTGCGTATTTCATTTAAGAGGCCTGGTCTGTCATTACTCCAGTATTTGTGTACAGTATAAACATACAGTATAAACAGTCCACGCTCATATTGGACCATACGGACACGTAGGCAGCAGCCTGCAAGAGTCCAGAGATCGGGACGGCATTAGCAGGCATTCAAGGCCTTTTCACTCCCTGGAGAGGTTTTTGTTCAGCCAAAATCCCTGGGACTTTCAGCACGCATAAAGGAAGTGCTGGCCTCAGCACAGCTTAATGGGGGCGAGGCTCTGAGGACACACACACACACACACACACACACACACACACACACACACACACACACACTGGAACACACATGCATAGCAGACAGTACGGACTGTTTTCATCACACACACAGAGCTACCAGCTATCAAGTCATATTAATCAGTGAAATAAATACAAATAAATAACTTATTTCATTTATTATTTGTTTTGCTGAAAAAACGAGCCAGTCAGCAGTGTGTTAGTGGCGTAAGGTCAGAGAGAGTGTATGGTGGCTGGTAGGGACAAAAGTTTGAGGTGAATGAACAATAAAAGAGATTACATGCAGATGGTGAATTGTTCACTCACAGGAGATATTAGATATATTAGATCTTTACTGTAAATGTTTAGTTTTCAGCTGGTTTTTAAACATCCTTGTCTTGAAATAATTCCATCATGATTTAATAGTACAGTAGTACGGTGTCCCTGGAGGATTAAATACAAAGTGTGCTAAGCTGACATTAGCCAAAGGTAGGCAAAGGTGTCCGAAATGGGAAGGATTTATCCTCTGGGGAGCATGAATCTGATTTTAATTCCAATCCGTGGATTAGATTTTGATTCTTCTAGAAGTAGAAATATTGGCCTGATAGCTATATACTACAGGAAAGGTAAACAGCCTATTATTCAAAACCACCAGTAGTCCGGAAATAAAATGTCCCAATTGTCCCAGTTTTGCCCCGCCTAGACGTGAAAAGTACCCGGTGTATTACACGCTTTAGCATGATACGATACCTGGTTGGTATTTCTGGAGCAATGGGCCTTCAGAGCAGTGGGCATTTGTTTTCAGACTATTGGGGTTTTGGATTAATGGGCAGTCGGAACAATGGGCTGTCCCCCGAGGTCACAGGGTCACCAAACACATCCATTCTCCAGGGATCATGATCATCTCCAGCAAACTTCATCATAATCCAGCCATTTGTTTTCAGGATCTTGATTTAAGGTGGAACTAATGTTGAATAAACTGGCAGACGTCACCATATTTAGACCCAATGCTCGAAATGTAACACTCAACACACAGGTCCTTCATTTCAGACAAAAGAAGAAACTGTTGATTCTACAAATTAAAATGACCAGTTAGGGGGTTTTATTATTATCATTAACATTAACCAACACTATGAAAATGTGTTAAAAATCTGTCTCCAGCTGACTTTTTATGTTCCCTCCCTACTATTGACAGAGTAAATCATTAATCTATCATACCGTGCAAACCCAGCGCTGTGAAACTAGTCTTGGACACGCAACACTGAGGTTAGATTTATTCTTTACTATACTGTTTGTATGTGAAAAGGCTTTGAGAATGAGGACTAACTGGTGAGTTCGGCCACTGGGGCGAATCCAGTACAGAATAGGACTAAGCCACTAACGTTATCCTAAACTCTGATATCGTTAGCCTCCATCAGTAACCGACTTCCATCCTGAATGGAGCACTGATAGCTTGGATTTTAAGTTTAAATATATCCAAACGCGATAAATACTAGTTGCTAGACTAAAGCACATACAGACAAATAGAGCCTGCACACTAGACAATGGCCCTATGAACATTTATTGATATTCGCAGTACGAGGATGGAAAGCTTGACAGGGGTAGCAACAGTAACCAAGGAGGGCGGGGCTTAGTGAACGTCATCTGTGTCCACTGTTTCTGCAAATTCAGTTTCATCAAATGGTTTTTAGTTTCTGGAGCCCAGATGGAAGATAAACAATCCCAAAAAAAGAAAACACTTACAATGACAAGAAAAACAGGTATGGTACAAAAAGTTTATTCAGTAACAGTTCTGTAAACATCTGAGGTAAATGAACATTTACATCAACATGTTCTTTAACAAAAGGTTCAGACGCAAAGGCACTTCTCTTCAAAGACAGTCATTTTACAACGGGAGTCACAGCAGGGGTTGTTCTTCATTTCTAACATGGGGGAGTCTGAGTCCCTGCTGGTCGGGGGGGGGGTGGTGCCATGAAAATCCCATCACGCAAACCTCCGTTTTCCACTGCGGGATTTTTATTTCAAGGCACATTTGTGGTGTAAAAGTTGGAGTAGCCAAAAGTCTCTCAATCCATATTCAGGACAGAAAAAAACAATCACTTTAGATTCATATTTCTTGTCCATTCCAAGTCTAATTTGATAGTGTTATTTCCATAAATAAACAAAAATATGTTAATACTCCTCCAAGGACACCCTTTTTCTTTTCTATTTATAAAATCTTCATATCCTCATAACAGTGGTCTCTAACTATCTAACTGTGCAAATCTTTATCTACATATCAAAGGTACTAAGAACAGCTTGGAACAACAAGGTTATGAAAAACAGTTCAGCAATAGAAATAAGTAAAATGAACCTTGTTTCAACAATCTTTTAGAGACAAAGCTCAACATTATGTCTTTTTTTTTTGTTCAAACTGATCTTGTGGTTGTTGGGGTAAGGGGCGAAGTTCCCACACAAAGCTCTCATGTGTTGTGATATCTTTGGCACAGGTATCTTTGGTTTGTTGGATATCTTTGGTTAAATATTATACATCACAGCTATTAACATCTTCTCTGAAGTGCTTCAGCTGCCGTCGTGTGCTGAAGTTGTTTATTGGCACCTAAGTTTGACATGTAAACATTGGACAGAGTAAACAAACAGCATAGATCCAGGCTAAGGGATCAGCCTAGCATACATTTGTAGTTAATGTACCAGATTTTTAAAGTGCCTTTTACTGCATCTCACCTCTCATTTGTTACCTCATGTTTCATTTGGTTTGTAGAAGTTAAATGGTTGCATTCATGACAAGTTGGAAATCTAAAAATGCACCTTGACACGCCAAGCTCAAGTCACTAAGCTACAGCTACTTTACTGTAAATGAAACCTTCATCACAAACTGTAAGTTCAGTGCAGCACAACGGAAAGGGAAGACCACACAGTGATCGAATGCAAGACTTTTTTCACGGCGGACACTTTGTCTAAAAGCACAGGTGGAAACTAGCGAGCAGTGTGCAGAGTGCCATTCATCGAATGCGCTCATGTTTACAGTAAACAGAGCGTATGAACGCCACGAAATGTAGCGCGAGGATACGATGTCAGCTTGAGTTGAAGAAAATCTTTCGCAGCTTTGCCAAAAGAATAGTTTCTAACTGAGAGTTAGACACCACTTTTACATCTGTTCGTTACATTTAAAGCCACAGCCAGAGACTGTTAGCTTCACTAAGCATAAAGGCTGAAAAGCAGGCGGAAACAGCTAGCCTAGCTCAGTCCAAAATGTTAAAAAATACACCCAACCAAAGAAAATGAATGAGTGTATTAGTATTTATTTAACAATTTAATGATTCATAACACTGAGTATGCCAGGTTTGATAATGTGCAATGATTAACAACGTTGACAATGTGTGATAAAAGTGCAATTAGCCCAAAATTAGCCTCAGTGCTAATTCTGAGCTTCCTTTATTTGGTTGCACTCATCGATTATTGAGCTCAAACACGAGTTCCAAGTTGCCATGAATGAGCAGCATTCCCAGCACACTGATTTATTCCTGGTTTACGGTCTTAAAACATTAACGGACAAACCAGAACCGACAGCCAACTGCAATAAAACATCGCATGCAGCGTAACAGTCGTCTTTTCAGGAGAATGCACCCAGAACAACGTCATGGGTCGATTACCTGATAATTACACATCCTGGACAAAACTAAAAACAAAACAATGAAGGCCGTGAGATGTGGTTGAAAGCTCCGGAAAAAGTGAGTAAGTGGACCTTGAGTTAAGATTATTCTTTTTATCAAACTACAAAAACAACATTTTGTTTATATCGAAATGTAAACATATTGAATCAGACTTTACTTTCATTTGGTTCTTTTGGTTACGGTGTTCGAATGCTAATTCAGGCACATGTGATATAATCCAGCAGCTTTTCTCGTATTTTTCAAGTATTTTAAATATAATCAACTAATATTCTGCTCAGAGAGAAACACAAACATGCACAAACTTATAACACTGTTTGCCCCAAACCACACTTCTTTGTTGACTTGCAACTTGGGTAATTTTTTTTATTCCTGAATGTTGAATAAAACATGATAATTTGATCTGAATTAAAGCCATTGGGAAGTTGCTGTAAGGCAACAACAACTAAACTTATATTAGCCATTTTCTTTTTCTCTTTTTTTGGCAGGAATTAATAAGAAGAACAGGAAAAAATGAACATTCCTATGTGGGATGTTTGTTAAGAACTGACAGAGAAATAAAATGTATCACTTTTTAGATCATATTGCTTTTTTTTTTTTTTCTTCAAAAAAAATCTAAAATCTACTGTATAATCTACAGCTAGTCTAGAAAATTAACTTAGAGTCCTCCTATACAGAACAGCTAGGGGGAACTCGACAGTTCTGTAGCACACTGCAAACACAAGCATCAGAAAGAAGGTGTACTGATCTTTACGCTCCGTTCAAGCTGCAAAGCTTAAAATTGCTCAATAAGGAACTCGTTGAAATGTAGTTTAAGCCCTTGATCGTGTATATATTATTTTTTTTTTGTCGCCTCAACCGTCCTAACATTGGATTTTTGCATAAAGTGACCTGTGGGGCCAATGTCAGAAAACGCTAAAGCACTTTGGATTCTCCAGGTAAAAGTCACAATAAATCGCAGCTTGACCAGAAACTAACTTTCTTATTTTTTTTTTACTTTAAATGTAGGTAGTTCTGTATAACATCCTGTGGTGCCTATCAATACTATCAATCATTATATATTTACATATTTATATATTCTTTATATAGTTTACCCTGATGTAACTGCAGAGATGTCATTTTGTAAACACTGAAACAAGATTAAGGTACCTAAACACACACACACACACACACACACACACACACACACACACACACACAGCCTGTGAAGCTTAAGGACTATGTCTCAGGGTGGGACTGCTTTATTGCTCTCCTCTAGTCGTCTGTTCCGTCCTAACGTCTGTGCATCCCTCTCTTCATTGAAACTACAGGCTGGGTGAAAGCGGTACACGCAGACGGACAGATTCAACACGACACACGGACCGTTCAGCTCCGCCATCACATCACAAGAAAAAATAAAAATAAAGAAACAAAAGTGCAAACCTCTCCTCTGGTATCTCCCAGCAAAGAATTAAAAAGATGAAAATGAAAGAATATAGTATTGCTGCCTCTACGCTCCCAAACTTATTAGTTAGTCCAATCCTCATTATCATCATCATCACTATAACCTTCTTTATTTGTGTCTTTGCTGGCTATATATACTATATATATGTATATATATATATATACTGTAGGTGTGTGTAAGTATATCTAAGTGTGTATGTTTGTGAACCCCATCTCATGGGCCTATGTACCTCCCCCGTCCAACCTCTCCAAAGAAAAGGGAGAGTATGGCCAGAACAGTAAGTGGCAGCCATGTTGGCCGTGCAGCTAATCATTAAAACATTTTAATTTAAGTGCTGTAACACACACTCTGGTAGCTATGTTGGAGATCTTCAGCTTTTGGTTGAGAAAATGCTGATTCTATTCAGAAGTAATTCAATTGTAAGTAAGAGAAAGAAGATCGATACTACTCTCGTGTCCGTAGGTTAACTATGGAGTCCATTAGCTTAGCATGAAGACTCACTCCAAAGCTGAAATATATATTATTATATCATATTTTAGAGGTCTACTACTGTTTTTGATTGTAAATTCTCCTTCTCACATTTAAATTGGCTTACTTCCTCCCCCGCATCCATTGAGTGATTACCGTATGTCTTTTACTGTGGTGTTTTAAAAGTATGATGTCGTCTTTTGTGCGTTTAAATGTTGGTAAATGGTTCCTGTGTGCACAGCCATCTCTCCACTGTCCTCTGAAGTGACTCCAGAGCGCCTATGAGCTGATGTCTTACAAGTTATTAAGGTGTAGATCAGGCATCAGCATGGTGCCATCAGTGTAATCTGGCCAAACTCTTTCTATCTCTTCTGAGATTAAAATAAGCAGCCAACTCCAGCTCCACGTCCTCCTGGCAGGCATGTCTTTAGCTGGAGGGCGTGCTTGTGTGTGGTTTTATGCTGTTGTGCATATGTGGGAAAAAAAATGTAGGTTTTTTTTTTAACGTGTACACAGCATGTATGCATGGTTGTGTAGATGTGTGAGTGTGTGTGTTGTAGCTACACTGCCAGGTCATCAGGGCGAGCTCGGACGCCGCTCTTGCTGGCCCGACGTGGCTTCCGGATGTCTGTCGCAGCAGCAGGAGGCTGATGCATCTCCGCCCTGGTAACCACGGTGAAGTCGTCAGCAGGGACCATACAAGGTGCAGGGCTCTCCTCATCCGCCACCGCCTCCTGCGGTGTGAGGGGGTACAGAGGGGTATTACGAGGAAGTGTAGGAAACGTGGAGTGCTGCTCCCCTTTTGGCAGTGGTGGGTTTGTCTCCTCCTGAGGAGAGGTACAGGCGGAGGTGGGAGTGGAGGGAAGAGGAGGAGGGCAGGAGGAGGAAGAGGAAGAGGAGTTTTTTCCATCCACATTCTGGAGCTCCAGCGCCATGTTGCTCCAGTTCTGTTCCATTGCCGCCAGCTGCCCGTGGCTCCCGACACTCACGTTCTCACCGTTGCGATAAAAAGAAGCGGGCGGGGCCTCCGACAGGAACTCATCAGGGTGGAACACTGTGCCATCCATCTTGAGTCTGGAGGGCAAGGACATCACCGCAGGGGACGCCTCAGTTGGACTGTAGGCTCCTCCCTCTGCTGCTCCACCCCCCACCACACTCACGCTGGCGTACCTCGGCAAACAGTCGAGCACTGGCGCAGAGGTCTGCTCAGGAATCGTCTCTGCGTCTCCAGGCAGCAGCAGCGACTCACTGTCGGGTGCAAACTCATTGGTGACCCCCTGCTTGACCTTCTTCCAGCCCAGGTGGTAGATCTCCAGCAGGTTGAGGAGCAGAGAGACGCATGCAACCACCAGCATGAAGATGATGAAGATTGTCTTTTCAGTGGGCCTACGGCAACAGACGGGCAGAAACAGATTTAATTCACAAATAGAAAAAAATCTAATCACAGAAAATGGATCAAGAAATAGTTTAACAAAGGATATGTTGCTTTTTGATAATGTTTATGTGTAATTTTTGCAACAATGCGTTGTAGGTTGTTTAAAGTGACCATTCAAAATGTTTCTCCCCGAAAGCTATCATAGCTTAGCAACTGGAACAAGTTGCTTTACAACCTTACGTTAAACAGCGCAGGTTGGCGACTCATGTTGTTTAAAGGCACACTATGCAAGATTTTTACCCTAATATAACAGCTTTTCGTTTCCAAAACCAAAACAGCAAAAGAGTAAGACACAGATTAAGCTGTGTTCATAATATCAGCTGCAAATGTTAGCATGTCCGGCTAACGAGTGTTCCTTATAAGACAGAGGAACCTATCATTAATTAACTACACTAGTTTGTGCGGTTACAAGTGATGTTAAAACAACATATAACAGCATATCTGTGCTGCTCTCCTGCCAACATCATCTGAGACAACATTACGTTTTCCAACACACAAACAAAAGGTCATGTTACAGCAAAACAGTTTGATCTCACATTTTCCTCATCATTCTTATAATACTGACGAGCTCAATATGTAGCTAACTGCCTAACTAGGTTCGCTCTGCCATACAAGAACAATACTGTTTGTTTATTTCCAGATAATGAACTGGTGAGGATTTTTTGCTTGATATCAAGTATGTAGCCAACAACTGCATATTTAAGTTGTTTTTTAAGTCTTTTTCAAAAACATAAAATGTACAGTAGCCAGCGAGGAATAAGAAGCTTTTGTTTACTTGTGTATGATAGGACCCATTGTTTTCAAAGTTTAAAAGGATTACTGCCAATGTGTCACGCAAGAGCAGGAAGCAGAAAGCATAATGGGCTCAGTGAATGGTCAATATAAGCAAACATATAGAGAAATATAAAGTTTCAGTGAACAGGGAAAGTTGGTTCTGCTTGCAAATGAACAAACACACAGACAAATAAGACAAACACATAGAAACAAGTAATACAAATCATCTGCTCTCTAACCTGGAGATGAAGCAGTCCACAGTATTGGGGCAGGGCCAGCGGCCACATTTATAGAGTGGCCTCAGGTGGAAGCCATAGAGGAAGTACTGTCCCAGGATGAAGCCCACCTCAAACAGAGTCTTGAAGATGATGTTGAAGATGTAGGTCCTCAGTAACGCCCCCCGGATCCGGATCTTCCCGTGCTCATCACGAATCGGCAGCTTCTGCTTCTTCCCACCTCCTCGTCCTCCTCCTCCTCCATCGCCAACTCCGTTGTGATAGAGAGGGTCATGGTCCTCCTGGTGCCGTACAGCCTTTCTGAGCTCCTCCTCCCGCTCCCTCCTCTTCTCCTCCATGCGGACAATGTGCAGCACATGGCCCAGGTAGATGAGGGTTGGCGTGGAGACAAAGATGATCTGCAGCACCCAGAAGCGGATGTGGGAGATGGGGAAGGCCTCGTCGTAGCAGACGTTCTCGCAACCGGGCTGCTGCGTGTTACAAGTAAAGTCAGACTGCTCATCGCCCCAGACCTCCTCAGCTGCTGCGCCCAGCACCAAGATGCGGAAGATAAAGAGGACGGTCAACCAAACCTGGAGAGGAAGGATGGAAGGATGGACAGTGTCAGATATCTTAGACACTCCAGCTAAGACTTAATGTGGCTGCTGTATGCAACCCTATCACCAGACAACATGTCAATATTGGACAATTATGCAAACCCCCAGAGATTACATTCAATGTTTATAAAATAAAAAAAGTTAATATTAATGTAATGCATGATCGTCAGCCACCACCCTGAACTCCACAGACTTCACTCTACATAAAGGGCTCCCCACTTCTTGCACTGGCACCAACGTTGGCGTCCAATATGGACATAATTGTTAGGATACTGAGCTGAAGCCTGAAGCTGAAAAACACTCTGAAAAAGGATAAATCTCAGCTGCTTTGGTTGCTCTCTTACAATGAGATCATTGAAACAGATAGCGGCATGGTCAATCTGAAGCATCCAACTGTTTCAAATACCATCGAAGCAGCAAGAAGTTGGTCAAATCTTCTAAATGGTGGCTGCTGAGGGATTCAAGGATTAGAGGAAGGCAGTGATATCATTTTCTATTCATCGTGTTTTCAATCAGTCACCTTTCCAATCACAGTGGAGTGTTCTTGAGCATTCTCCAGCAGCCGCCCTAGAAAGCTCCAGTCACCCATGCTTCACTCGATTATCTAGCCTGGAGAGAGAGACAACGTGAGTCCAGTGAAACGAGGAGGAGGAGGAGACAGAAAAGGGAGCAGAGGTACTGTCTGGAGAAAGAAACAGAGACCAGACTTCAACTACTCTGTCTGTGGCAGCCTGACCGAAGCCCATTGGTTCCTATTGAAGATATAACGTTTTAGAAATGGCTCACATAAAGAGTTTTATTGTTTAAAAAGGCTCACTCATCTCTCAAACAGGAATAAATTACATTAGGTGCTGGGAGCAATTACAGCAAAATAAACTACAGCACCAATGTGGCTTATTGATCAGGGATAATAAGCTACAACAGTTAAATTAATTATTTTTCACCAACTTTATCAGAACTGTCTCTTCCAGGTTTTGAGGTCAGGACAACAGAAAGTGCCACAATGAGGAAAAAGGAAGGCAGACTTACTAAAATATTGTTGTATTGTCAGTGATAAATCCATCGACCAGAGATCAGAAGAAAAATAATATCTGGAGGGAAGAGACAAAATGTTATGGTCGACATTATCAGTGTCAATGTCAAACAGAAATCACACTAAATTCTCATTTAGTCAAACACTTATTTGTCTGAAGCCACTAAAATAAACGGATAAACAAACTACAGGCAGGCGGTTTACCACACAACACAACTAAACCAGATTCAGGTTTAGGGACTCTTTATATTTCATATTTAACATAGCTAACATATAGGACGAGACGGTACTGTATATCTTCCAAGAGTGTCGAGATTTCAGATTTCAGATTTCATGTACATTAGCTCGCAGACGTGCACATATTTTTTTTTTTGTGTGTGTGTGTGTGTGTGTGTGTGTGTGTGTGTGTGTGCGCTGCAGAGTTGGCTGGCTAGTGGACAATGGCTGGCCATCTGTGGGAAGTGAATGAGTGGATAACAGGTTGTCCCAGTTGAATGCTGGACTCATCACATCCCAGGAATGCTGAGGAGAGCAAATGCCTGCAATTTGCCTGGGATCGACTGATATGTACACACACACACACACACACACACACACACACACACACACACACACACACACTATACACACTCAGAGTTACAGTAGCATATATCACTCCTGTATATCTGAGAGTGGGAAGCCACTGATAACTTATTTTACTTCTAATATGAAAGGGAATCTGATTTAATCAGCATTCTGGAGAAGCCCTAGGGTCCATTAACGAAATATCAGTCATAATAAAAAGCTCCTCTTCAATACTATAAAAGTTTTACGTCATATATCCCTTTCAAATTAAAGTCCACACACATTCAGTGACTATTCTAACCCCCTACAGCTGAAGGAAGAAAGAATAATATTCCCAGATAATAAATAAGCAGACTAATTACAGTCTACTGATACACCAATCTAACAGTGGCATGTGTACATGTACATGATGTGTTGACGTGATGAAATACCATCTGTCAAGACAGACAATAGGGAAGCTGCCAGATGGGCATTGTCCCGGCTGGCGTGTGCTTTTGATGGATCAGAGGTCTTTGTGCTAAAACAGCCCAAACAGTTAACTCTTGGCCTGCCGCTTGCGCCCTGAAAACCTTTTTTAAGATATGCAGACAGCGGCGGTGCTCACGTGAAACACAATTGTTTGGTGCCCGGTTAATCAAGCACATTTAGACGCACATGCAGAAAACAGTAAAAGTCAGTCAGATTAACCTCTGTGAGCTCACAGGCCAATAACTTGTTTTACTCCATGCATGTAAACATGGCCGGTGTTGATTCTTGAGGAAATTATGGTGCAGACTGAACTCAGGGTCACCAAGTGCACAGGGATTAACAGAAAGTGCATAAAGGACTGTAATGGTTCCTTAAATGTGCAAAAGCTTCCCAATGTAATGTAATTAAAGGTGAATAAATTAGTTTAAAGGGACAAAATGATGCATAAAAGGGTATAAATGAGTATAAATGTGTATTAAAGGAGTGCAACATTTAAAAATACAGAGAATCTTCAGTTCTATAAAAGTAGATAAAGATGTATGAAGGCAAACCTCCATGGAGAGTCAGACAGACGTCCATTGGTTCAAACATCAGAGTAAACAGAATAAACTTAAACTTAAATAAAGTGTGTTATTGTGATCATTCATTCCCTACAAACAGAAAACCTGTGTGTCCTCCCAAGTTAGTATGAGACGTCCGATTCAGGTTGTATTTTATGCACCGTATATCTCCAAACTCCAGTAAATCTCAGCTAATCTGTCACCTGCCCTGTTTTTTAGAGCTACTACACGGAGGCAGCAGGATAGAGAATCAACAGCCAAAACACAAGGCACACCAATAAACGGGATTATCACAAGACAAAATATAAAATATAAACAGGATGGCCTTACCAGAAATACAACATGAGTCGTCCACTAGGAACTTTTTAAATAGGTTGCATACGGTATTATATTAAAAGAAATGGTTCAATTACATATTTTATATTATAGTGTAAACTCTAATGCAGAATTATTTGTTAAACTTGTTTAAATAAATACAAAACTAACCCAAAAAGTTGCTCTTATACACTCCATGAGCCACCTTTTTTAAGAAAGAGCAGGGTGGCTTCCAGCTACTGAGGCCAACTGTGTTAACACATCCCTAATTTACAGCCCAGGACTCACTTTAATGTGTTTTTAATAATAATCCTAATTGTGATATTAAATTAAAAAAGAGTCTAAAATCTCAACATCTGCATTCTTGTCAAAGATTCGGTTGAGTTTCGATCAGAAATCCCACTTTTAATAAGTATAAGATATATAAGTGGCTTCCTGTCTGCCGTCTTTCCCACAGGGACGTGAACGCAGCATGAGAGGTGCTGATAATCCAGCAGGTGGAAGGATGATAATCCCTCCTCTTCCCTCCCACTTCAGCCCACTCCATCACTCCAGCATCCACCTGCTTACCGCTCTCCTCGGAAACGCGTCTCCCTCCCGGCAGCGCGCTTCTCCTCTCACTTCTTCTCGTCTTCTTCTTTCTTTTACTCCCACCGGGTGGGCTCGAGGCGACCGGGGCGAGGAGTAAGGGTGAGATTAGTGGGAGAGGAGGGGGGGGGGAGAGAGAGAGAGAGAGAGAGAGAGAGAGAGAGAGAGAGAGAGACACGGAGACTGAATTACAGAGAGAGAGAGGGAGAGAGAGAGAGAGAGTAAAAAAGACGCGAGGCGAGTCTAGTCTAAAAAAGGGCGCGTGTGGAACCTGTCCCGCGAAGGCGAAGCGCAGCGGCTGCGTCCCGCGTGGCCAAGGCCATCCGCCACTGTCACACATTGGTGTCCCCGTGCCTGGGGCGCACGAGGGGGGTTTGGGGGGGTAGCCCGGTACGTGCTCGTGTGCGCGCGTTTATGTGTGTGAATGTGTAGGTTGGGACAGAGGGAGACTCATCACTGTAAAGTGTTTAAAACTGTTTCAAACAAGATATTTGGCCTGATTGTTATTTAAAATTGTTTTATTATTATTATTATTATTATTATTATTATTATTATTGCTTTAGTTGTAGGCTTGTAGTGGCATTAATATGAGTACCTAGTTGTTGTTCTATGGTAGTCACAGAAGTAGTATCAGGCTATAGCAGGATATGATTAAGAAAAAACAAAATGGCATTAAATGGAATAAAAGTGTTTTTCTTTTTTTAAAGACCACAAACTATTTATATACTTTTGCTGCTTTATAGCTTCACACAACTCTGATTTATGAAAAGGGATTGCTTTGTACCACTGACTGAACTATTTCACTATGACTGCTTGTAAGAATAATAATAACTTTTATACATAACATTCAGCTTTACAGGAGAAAATCTAATCAAAAACACATTAAATAATACCTGTTATTAAAACGAGTTAGTAAAGATAAAAACAATATTATGATAAAACCATAAAACTGGCATAAATGTATTAATATATATCAAATAGTAAAGTTTGAAGAAAAAAAAAGTTCTAATTAATCAAAACCAAGATCATAAAAATGATTTTTGAGCTGTTTCTTAAAACTATCAATATAAGTTGTTTGTCTGGTTTGTGGTGGCAGCAGGTTTCAAACCTTCGGTGCATTAAAGCTGCTTCCACAAACTTTTTATAGTGCTTTTTTTAATCGGGTAACATCTCCTCTTCACCAGACATTTCTGTTGCGTGAGAGAGAGGATACAGACCATACAGACCTGTCAGCGCTGCAGTGACTGCTGGTCGCCAGCAGAGGTCAACAGAGGTTAATATAGTAGATTTACTCTGTTGTAAATGAAAATACAGAAAAATACTGAATATTTCAACAGTTTGTGTCTTTTGTCTTTCACTTAATTCTTAGCATTTAGTTTATAATTAAACAGTGTTTTAATGTTTAGAAGCATTATTACTATCATATACTTATTAACTGAAACAACAGGACTGACTCAAAATTGAGATGAAGATGAAACTTTATTTGTGGACATAAAGTGAGAACGGTGAGTGTATTTATATTCAATGAACTGTTATTCAATGAATCCATGAAAAACAAAAACAATCTGACGATGTGTGCATGTGTGTAGCTGCTAGTGAGTCCTCATATTTCTGTCCTCCCTCATGTTTGTTGCCCAATAGATGGCTCAAGATCCTACTCAGCATGGTTATACTCTGGCTGTTTTGGCCTGTTACATTAAAACATACAAAAGTTATACTCAAAACTCAGAACATTACATTACATACCATGTAAAAATACAGAGTTGCTGACACTGACTCCATCCTCTCCACCCACTGTTACGTTATAACACCTCGGGTATCATAGAAAATGTTGTATTTACGCACACATCCACGGGTACAACTTGTAATTACGCAGCTTTTTAAAGTGTTTCAAGTCTTTGGAAAGTTCTTCTGCATGTACAATCCACCTTTTTCAGCTGCTTCCTCAGGTTGAGACTAGTAACTTCTGGTTTGTCTTATTCTGCATCCGCTCTCTGCTGGATTTCCTCTCCTTCTGACCACAGAGACTCCTGAAAGAACAAGGTATACGTGGACTTTCTGCATTTTGATGAAGGACTAAGATTTCTAACAGGCCTCAAACACAACTAGTGATTTTAACATTGCTAAAAAAAAATGATGGAACAATTAATAAATTAATCCGTTGATTAATCACCTGACTGTCTGACTGATTAATACCTCTACCTAGTGACAGCCTTGGCGACAAGATATGCAAGTTCAGCCATGTTAAGGACCATGCAGATAGAAGAGGCAGTGGCCATGAAAACAGTGAAGATGGTTTTCTCGGTGGGGCGTGAGATGAAGCAGTCCACCAGGTTAGGACATGGCCACTGGTCGCACTGCACCAGCCGTGGCATCTGGAATCCATCGTACACCACGTACAGGGCGTACCTGGAGACACAAAGACACTGTATGGACACAGGAAACGTACCAAACCAGGGATATGACAAATCAGAGCTGCTTATCTTACATGAAGCCTCCTTCAAACAGCAGCCTGAACACCAGACTGCAGGCGTACGTCCACCAGAGGGCGCCAGCTATTGGGAGCCTCCGTTTCTTCAGGGTCTCCAACTCTTCCTCCTGGCCTTTGCTGCTGAGAAAACCAGATCTACCAGAGCTCTGTGGCACAAGACATGACAAGATAAAATAAAGACATGACAGGACAAGACAAGACATAGGATGGTATGATATATGAAGCAGTGGGTCTCTGTCCCACCAGGATGGCAGACATATTAAACACACCTGTAGGAGTCTCTTCTTATCGCTGTGGTTCCGATAGGCCACGTACATTGCAACAAGGAGGGTCGGTGTGGAGACAAAGACGAGCTGAAGACACCAGAGACGGATGTGGGAGACGGGGAAGAACTGATCATAGCAGACGTTTTCACAGCCGGGCTGAAAAACAGACGCACAGATTCAGGATGTCCTCTGTTTATGTTCAGACCTGCCTATAAATGCTTATATCCCATCACCAGTGGACAATATATAGTACTGATGAAGGGTGAGGACAGAAGTATTCAGACTTACTTACTGCTATTAAAAACTACTCCAAATACACAGTAGTTACATCACAGCTCGCTTCAATAAATAGAGATGTGTTCAAACTTGCAGTTCTGTTAAGAGCTTGTCATATGTTAATTATATTACTGATTACTTATGGCTTATGTCCCTTTTTGTGAACAGCGTCTGGTTTTTACAGGCTAACAATATATAGAATTTGTTTTTATTTTCTAGATTTTCTCTTGAGTGAGTTGCTTTAAAGACGTCCTCAATAGGTGATCTGAAGTAACTCAAATGTAGTGCAGCAGCAGCACAAGTACAGAGAGAGTCATCAATTCTTAGCTAAAGTTTGCTACCATAAGCTACCAGACTAAATGAGACTGTAGCAGCAAAAGCCCTGATTGTACTGAACTGTACAAGAGTTGTACAAAAGATTATGTCATTTCATCTTTTAAAAGTCAATTAGCAAACATTTCTGTGTGTAAGATTGAATTAGTGCCACCAAAAATCATTAAGTAATGAGATTTTTTTTTTATTAATATTCAAATATATGAAGCTCCAATGGACCCACGAGGAGTCAATGCCTGTACTGTATCATGTACTGCTTCAGCACAGGTAAATTACATCTTAATAATTCTAATAATAACATCCCTGGATGAACAAGACATCACAATCATCTGATCACAGACTGGCTGCCCTACCTGTAGTGTGTTACAGGTGAAGTCAGACTGCTCGTCCCCCCAGACGCTCTCAGCAGCAACAACCAGCACCATGACCCGGAAAATAAACAGCACCGAGAGCCAGATTTTACCCAAACTGGTGGAGTGACGGTTTGCCCCGACTAGCTGTGCGTACAGAGCCGGCCAGGACATCCTGAGGAGACAGTCAGAAACGTGAGGTCAAGGAAGACAATAATATGATTGCAGCTGCCAGCACACACTTTATTTTCTGTACCAGGTCTGGCTGGTTCCTTTAAACTGCACATCTGACAGAGAAACAACGGATGGAAACTGAGAAGAAAGGCAGTGGCAGAAGATGAAAGCGGAGACAGGCGCTGAAACAAAAGAGAAGTTTTGAAAGAAGAAGAGGATGAAAAGGAATGAAACTGAGAGGAGGAGGAGAGAAGGCCCGGTGCCAACATTCATGTGAACTGATGAACCTCTCTGCCCACTGTGGACTGTACTGAACTAAACCCACTCAATGAACACACTGTACAAACCCACTCTACTACACTGAGCCTCATTCAACAATTGATGGATTTATTGATATACTAACTACTAAAAGATGTGTATTAATATGATATTTATTACATACATGGTATAAACATTAAGAGCAAATGTTTTCTAATAGTGAAAACCTTCCTAAAAAAAAAGAAAAACATAAATTATAATATTATAATAATAATAATAACATTTTCTGTGATTTTTTTAAAATTCCCAACTTTTTTCAGGATTTTTTTTTTTACAAATCAAAAAGATAAAAGTACTTTTCTCACCTTGTGTCTGGAGAGTCAGGTTGTTTGGAGGAAAATATTCCACATGGTCCTCTAAATGGAAACAAACAGCGAGAGCTCAGTGTCACATCAGAGCTGGATTCATTCAAATCAAATAAAACTGAACGCAATCTGGAGCTTATGAACTGATCAATACACAAACCTGCAGCCCCAGCTTCCTTTGCTTGAAATAAAAGATGCGCCTCCAGTTTCAAGTGAGCCAGAAAAAGTATGAGATGACTTCCTGTGATGGCTTTCAAAATAAAACGTCACAGTGGCAAAGCCAGTGCAACATTTTGGAGGAAGAGGTCACACAAATACTATAAAGTTATTTTGACTTCATTTGAATGCACTGTCACTGATAATAGATCACTGTTACTCTGTACTGTCTTCACTCTATGGATGTTCAAAATACTAATGAGACTGGTATTTATTTAAGCAGATGATAAAATGAGTGAAAGGTCAGTGGAAAAATCATGAAATAAAAGTCAATCATTGCTCCAAAAACACTAGATCACACAATTACAATTACAATTACACCTTAAATGCCTCTTAAATACCCACTTTATTCAAACAAAACACCTCTGGAGCCATGTTGCTCAAGGGATGGCAATGTCGGTCAGTCAGTGTAGCTCAAAGTACCACGAATACACGGCTGAGGCAAGCATGAATTAGGATTTAGTCTTTTTAATTATTTCTGTCTCAAGCCAAGATAACCATGATGACATTATCTGGGTTATTACCGGTATGTTTATTTTGGAGCCACAGAGGAGATTATGCAACTGCTTTCACTGTCTGACATGTAAAATCAGTGGAGTGCTCCTTTAATTAGGCCTCAACACCAGCATTAATTTGATAGTAAGCAGGGTTACAGATGTTCCACTTCAGCTTCAATCTGTGGATATTAAAGGGTCACCATCTGTTCTCACATGCTGCCCATGCAGTGTGGAAGAGGGTTGAAGGAACAAAGTTGCATTGTAGTGAAAAGGTCTGTGTGTGTGTGTGTGTGTGTGTGTGTGTGTGTGTGTGTGTGTGTGTGTAACAGGACACAGGTAGAAAGTGACTTCTCAGAGCCCAACCATCACTTGGCAGCAGTCAGCGTGCTGCAGGACAGTGCAGCTCTGTGTGCTGCTAATGACTGCGACCGATGAGCTTTTCCCACTGTTTGTCAAAGTGTGGGAGCAAAACCAACTTCCTCCGTTTACACAAAACTGAAATGAAAACTTTCGAAGGAGCTGTGACATAATTCTGTTTGCTCTGCTTGAGCTACCGTGTTAGGATTGGGTACATAACTTTGGATGTAAAGAGCTGTAGACGTCGGTGTAGAAGTATAATAGTGAGAAAGTATTAAATAATCTTAATCTCCAGACTTTGTATCTGCGTGTAACAGGATCTCGTGGGGCAGAAAAACATCCTGGGTTGAGACAGAGAGGGCGTTGGTGATTCTAATGGAGTCATTAGAGGAATAACAGCGCCACTTATTCCTGATGCTTATCAATGAATGGATATCAGTGTCAGGACCGGACTCAAAGACCCACTGTTTGATCTGTCAGTCAGGACAGGGCTAAAAAAAAAAAACAAACAGAGGGAGAATGCCTGGCAGATTGTTTCAAGCCAGTCCATGCCTTTCATTCTGAATAAGAGATGGTGGCGGTGGTGGGGTGAGGGAGGAAGGGTGAGGGAGGAAGGGGCACACACACAGTGAATGAGTAGGGAGAAGAGAGAGAGAGAGAGAGAGAGAGAGAGAGAGAGAGAGGTAAAATAGAGCTGATTGTTAGAGTAGCTCCTGATCAGCCAGCCAGCAGGAGAACAGAGGGGGCCAGTGTCCGGATACACACTGTACAAACACACACTGTACAACACTCACATATATGTTACCCAGAAAACACACACACTGTAATGAGTGAGGGGGAGAGCAGCATGTGACTGAATAGCAGGTCTCGGTTTCGTAGGTGGACTTGGCCGACTGATCCTGGATCAGCTACTCTACTGTATGAAAGTCTGCACACTGCGAGACGTCCTGGTGAACTCTGGAGCTCGCACATTTTTGTTTTTACATTGAATAACATTGCAAAGGAATACAAAAGGGAAATTATCCTAAAGATTAATACAAATTGATGATTAAAATGCACCCATATTTTTCCAGTAAATCCCCGTCCATCAGGACATAATGCAATAAAAACAGAATTTAAAGCAAAATATGTTGATCTTAAGTAGTTTTTTAATGCAAACTGAGATAAATCTCTTGCATAAATACTCAAAATAAGAGCTGTAAACTTTAAGTCTGTAAATCTCTCAGACCAATTTTAAGCTTTAGAGCTTTAGGCAGATCTATAAAAGCAAAAAGCAATAAAAAAGAAGACAGATGTATGGTTAATGCATGTTTAATCATTAAACCTGTCACTGCATCCCTGCAACTCACTGAAGCACTCATTTATGCAGTAGCTCCTGGTTTAAGTTGTTAATGATTGCAAAGTTGTGGTTTTAATTTTCAAACTATTGAGGTTTTCTGTTTTCAGTAGAAAGAATATGAACATAGCTCTTTGTTGTACTGTAGCATTAAACATAAACTATATTTTTCCATTTTCTATTTTTATTTTATATGTATATACCGATATAAACCTCCGAACTGATACACAGCAGGCTGCGGACCAGTATTTGTTAAGATGTGGATTCTTATAAACGCCATTTGGAGGACATTTTTACTACTACTGTCAGGATATAGTGAAAGACTAAAATAAATAATAAAACAATATTTTTAAGTGATCATTTTAACTCATTTGAACTTGTTATAAACTGATAAATCAATATATTTGCCGTGAGCTAAAGTAAATACTCACTCCTCAACACTAGGGGGCGATACTGTCTCTGGCTGCAAAAAGTGACGTCTTCACAGACACCGGAACCGGACGCGGTCTCGTTTTCATTCGTTGCTGCAGCTACGACAAAATACCCACGCAAAGGTAGCAGCAGCCACAACGTAACATTCAGTGTTTTGATATAAGAATGGCTCTCGAATCGCGGATCACACAGGAGGAGATCAAGAAGGAACCGGAGAAGCCCATCGACCGGGAAAAGGTAACCAGAACCGGGTTACATTGTTCACCTGCGGGCCGGAGCTAACTGGTTCTGCTAGCCCTGGATGCTAACAGTCTGGTTGATTTATGTTCAAACCTAAAAACCATTATAAACATAGATGGACTATAAAGTTATATACCCTTGCTTTATCTCTCAGCTCCGTGGCGCTCTGCGTTACCGGATATAAAGCAAATAAAAGCACGTTGAAGAGGAGCCGCTGCAGCGTGCTAGCACAAGAAACTGAGAGAGTTTAATTTTTAACTTCAGTCGAAACTGTGTCGGGTTTGTTTGAGTCCACTCTCAGTTAACACCCATTTTAAATACATTTACAACTTACCCTCGACTGCTTTGTTGTCCTGGTGGCTCTCAAAAGCTTTGTGTTTGTGTTTATTCTTCTAAAATGCTCCATTGGAGACACTTTAAGAGTTAATATGATACAGGCTACTTTCCACAGGAGTTTGTGAGAATATATCCACCTTCATTCATTAAGAGTGAACAGTGCGTTAATAAAGTGACTATACTGTGCGTATACAAGCAGCTATTGTGTAAGTTATAATTAAAGTTTAGTAATAATTATGTAAATATTAAATATCAGCTGTAGTTTGTTGGTGTGACAGTGAACCTTCAAAATAAAACTAACAAACTATACAAATGTGATCCTTTTAATGCCACATTCATTGACGCTTATGTTTATTTTTGGCTGCAGACCTGCCCCCTTCTGCTGCGAGTGTTCACCACCAACAGTGGCCGACACCACAGAGCAGATGAATTTGCCCGTGGCAACGTCCCCTCCAGTGAACTGCAGATCTACACATGGTGAGGACATTTCACTTTGTTTCTTTGTTGTTGCGTTTGCCGATGTTTTCAGTTGGGGTACACTATGATGTGAGTACAGAATTGGCCACCGGTCCGGAGCAGGTCTCTGATTCTGTGTGTGCTTTTCAGGATGGACGCTACGCTGAAGGAACTGACCAGCCTGGTGAAGGAAGTGTATCCAGAAGCCAGGAAAAAGGGGACTCACTTCAGCTTTTCCATTGTCTACCCCGACCCCAGAGGAAAAGTGTACAGGTTGGTATCACAGGACAACAGCACATGCATGGAGCAGGCCGCTATGATCCGGTGATTCGTATGCATCGTCTATTGAAACGTGTGTCTGTCCCTCCTTTCAGGTTGAAAGATATTGGCAGTACTGTATCCGGCAGGAAGGGCACAGATGACTCCATGACGTTGCAGTCTCAGCGCTTCCAGATCGGAGACTACCTGGACATAGCGATCACGCCACCCAATAGAGCCCCGCCCCTTAGCACACGCATGAGACCCTTCTGAATGTGAATACAGAAACCAACACACATCAAACTAAGTTTTTTGTTTATTTTTTTCCCCCTTTGCATCATCTTGGATGGTTTTTGCCTCATTTTATAAAATGTGATGTGTAATAAAGTTGTCATTTTTTTCAAAAGTTTCTGCTCCTTTCTGTGTTTTTTTATATATATATATATTTATATATTTGAATACATCTTTTAAGCATATTAATCTGCATTTGCATTGTGAAAAATATAATTTTATTAGATTTAAGGCGGTCCAAATCCCACCAACATAACAGATTTGGAGTCAGAATTCCTGGTGGCACCTCAGTGAGGTTTCCAAAAATATTTCTCTGATAATCTTGTTTGTTGGGAGTTAAAATGAAACCATCATCAATATCTTCACGTATAGTTGATGTCCAATGCTAACATGAGTTAAATGCTTCTGCTTCAGTGTTACACCAAAGAAATTATACAAACTGAAACCTGGGTTTCTGAGTGTTTTAAGTAAAAGAAAACACCAGTAATTATTAAAACAGAAGAGGGGAAGGGACCAGGAACTGGTGGGGATGGGAGTGGGTTGGTTTAGGGTTTGTATTAGACAATCACTGAACACTGTTAACTATTTACATTACAGTGTTTATATATTTTATGTGCAAAACTAAAATATATTTAAAAAGAAAAACTGCTGTGATGTTAATTCAACACGACGCGGTCTCGTGATCCAGGTGGTCACTTTTATTTTGATAGTTTTAACAGGAAGTTGTTCGCTTGCCGGCGGCGCATGCGTAATGTCACACACCGACAGCTAGCAGAAGATACAGCCAAGTTAGCCTACTGTTAGCTGAAGAAATCGGCGATTTACACAGAAAACACACGCTGAAATGTTCCGGAGAAAACTGACAGCGCTAGATTATCACAACCCCATTGGATTTGACTGCAAAGGTGAGAAAAAAAAACCCGCCAAAGACCTCTTGAATCTGGTTGAGTTGAGTTTAACGTAGAGGCTAACGTGTGTGCATCACAAGTGCTGTCACTGGAGACAACGACTGTGCCAGACTCTATTTATAAAACTGGAGTTTAATGGGGCTGCTTCGGCTGACCAAGCTGTATGTTTGTGAGAACACAAGATGAAGTATTTTACGACCTCTCACTGTAGCACACTTTCAATCGGCAGAGCTAATTCTAGTATATTGAGCACAGTTGAAAGACAATGCTCGATTTTGCCCAAGAAATCTCTCTTTCTAACTTGAAAACGAGAAACTTGGCAAGTGGAATAATATTGTATATGAATGTACTGGCAAAGCAGTGATTAACATGCTACATAATGCCCAAATTATTAATGCAGTTGCCTCTAATATACGACGGCACATTAGTGTACGTGGCCGCTGAGGTGTTGTCTTTTGTCCATTGATCAGCTGAGGTGTGTCTGTCTGTCCTCAGATGAGACACAGTTTAGGAACTGCATTGTGTGGCTGGAGGACCAGAAGATTCGGCATTATAAGATAGAGGACAGAGGAAACCTGAGGAACATCCCGAGCTCAGACTGGCCCCAAGCCTACCAGAAGGTGAGACCCCCACCATACTGCCACTTTAAAGCATCATCCAGACAGTCTGTGAAACACTGGTCCATTGAGCTTCAAGAAAACACCACCTTAAAGCTTTTTGAATGGGACTTTGGTCTTTGCAGCTGCCAGAGGACTGTAATGTAATGATTGTGGACCTGTCAGCACTTTCTTACATGTGTCTCCTGTGTGCAGTACCTGCAGGACGTGAGCTGTCCATTCGGGTTTCAGGAGAGGCAGGAGGCTTTAGACTGGCTGCTGGGCCTGGCTGTACGATATGAATATGGAGACAATGGTAGGATGTCAGTATGTGTGATCACGGCAGCGTTGATGATAATTAAAGGATATCTCTGGATACACTGACTGTTAAGCATATTTTCCAGTGTGACTTCAAATGTGGTTTTAATCTGAGCTTTTTAGATAAGCCCTTGACCACAATATGTCTGTAAATACGTGTAATACATGCAGAGATATGTTGTAATACTGACGATGACCAGTAGATGGAGACATTGTAAAAGTTTCCTTTTTGGCTGCACAATCAAGGTATTCTTTCACAGAAACTCTGCTACAAAACCCATAAAAGAAATGACGTTAAAACATGTTTATTTTTATCTTTATATGACACATTCTCTATAATAATAATAATAATAATAATAATAATGTAATAAGGGTGTGTTTTCTGTCTCTGCTCAGTGGACAAGTATAAGAACTGCGAGCCGTTTGCAGCCTCTGGCGACAGTGCCAAAGCGGTGGACCCTCTCGTCAACCTCGACAGTAAGTACAAACACTTCTCTCCTCCTCCGCCCGTCCTTGCACTTTGCTTTCTCACATTCTTTCCTTTCTTCTTTTCCGATCTCGTCGTTCCGGGTGAAAGATGAAATTGTCATTTGTTTGTGTTTTGCAGGTAATTCTCCAGATTTCAAAGCAGGAGTGACGGCTCTGTCCAACATACTCAAGATACAGCGACATGACGACTACCTGGTTATGCTCAAGGTGGGAGTGCTTTCATACGCTCTGTTCCACTTATTTCTTTATTCTTATTTAAAAGAAATGTGTCTTGTGTTTTCATGTCTTCCTGCCAGGCCATTCGCATTCTGATCCAGGAGAGACTTTCTCCAGAGGCCATCACTAGAGCCAGCCAGAATCGAGAGGTATTGTAGACTTCACATATTTTGATGTATCATGATCTTATTCTATGTTTTTCCATAATGTAAATGAATGTGTAAAATCACTTTTATTTAGTGGTTTTGAATGAGGAAAAGTTTCATTCTGTCTCTTTGGTTGGACTGCAGTCGCACTCGTGTGTAACATCTATATGTTCCTGTGTTTCGCAGGGTATTCCTGTAACTCTAGACAAACATATCTTGGGTTTCGACACTGGAGGTGAGCGCTGATTTTATTTATTTTTTATTTCGAGTGCAAGTTGATGTTGAAGGGTTTGTTTGGAATTTTCGACAGGAGGTGGTGTAAGTCAGTGGTCCCCAACTTGGGGGATTTTGACCCCTAAAAATGAAGCAACATCTACTCGTGAACTCTCATCAGAGGTCATGTTGTTCTTGGATGTGAGCAGAGATTTCTCCCTCTCGGTTTTGTCTCATTTAAAGGACATTTAGAGGCCAGAAGAAGCCAGAATTTCACAAGTAAATTAAACAAAACTTTAAGAAACTACGAAAAACAATAAAAGTTTTCTTTCTGACACCTCAGATTTATATTGGGACCACTTGTGGAGTCCCGACACCAAGGTTGGGAACCACTGGCAAAGGTTATATCAGTGAATTGACTTCTGCTCAGACAGGAAGTCCTGTGTGCTGCAGTGTGAACCCGTATCCAATAAAGCGTAATCACATAAATGTCTTCTCAGATGCGACTCTGAACGAGGCGGCTCAGATCCTGCGCCTGCTGCACATCGAGGAGCTGAGGGAGCTCCAGACCAAGATCAACGAGGCCATCGTTGCCGTTCAGTCCATCATAGCCGACCCCAAGACAGACCACAGGCTGGGCAAGGTCGGCAGATGAGAGCGAGGATGAAGAGGGACGCTGGAGGAAGGAAGGGAGGGACTGAACCACATGAGTTTAATTTGATTTTGAGAGGACAAGCCTTTTTGTTTTTGGAGAATTGGACATAAATAAGTTTGTATTTTTTCCGTTGTTGCATGAGAGCAGACTTTTCGAATTTGAAGGAAAGTGGAGGAAATGCCAAGTTTTCAAATGCTGTCTTTCATTTTTGTACTGCAGCATGGATACGTTTACACCGAAATGTCACAATAGTTGCTGAATAGTTAGTATTGAAAACTAATTTCCATTCATATGTTAAGTCCTTAACTTCTTCAGAGACTTGAGTTGAACCTTCTGCCACAATCCCCCCCTCAACAGAAACCAGATAAGCTTCTGAAATACTCAAACTGACGCTGATATTTGTACTTTTTGTCTTACAGAGAAAACATTTTTTTGCAGATGGAAGAAAAGCTTATTTTGAAATGATTTAAAGTGACGCTGTGTGGGAAAATATATAACTACAGCTGAACAGAGTCCTGTGCTTTCTTGTGTGTTGGATGTTGTTTGATGGAACGCATCTTAAAGGAGCATCAACACAATAACCGTCAAGTACCAAATCACATTTTATTGTTATAAATATCACATCTTATAAAAAGATAAAGATTTGAAAAGTAGAAGATGTAAAAATATTTGGCAAAAAAAAAAAAAAAAAGAATAACATTTCATCTTGTGTGAAATACAGATTAGTAGTGCAGAGAAATATGGCAGGACTGAAGTCGCTGTGATCTGACTGTGGCACGCAGAGCCGACGGACACACATATGAAAGTAAAACAAGCAAATCTACAGGTTTCTGAGCGCGCTCAGTTGAACTGCAGTTTGTCCTCAGTTGTTATCGTTTGACATTTTTGGGAATATAGTTTTCTTGCTGAGAGTTACATGAAGCTAACCGTCTCCTTGCTCTAACTTCATATGTAACGTACAGACATGAGAGTGGCATCAGTGTTCTCATCTCTCATTCTCAACTATTCCTTTGACCTGTTTTCTGTCCCGAATCCACTGTGAATGCTAAATAATACAATTTAAAAGCCAGTGTGGCCGGCTGACCCAAAAACAAACTTCGGCTCGAACAGTTTTTAAAGCTCTTCATGTCATTCTTCTTTGGCTTTAAACAACAGAAACACCTACTCTCACATACATTTACAAATCTGATTTCATTGTTCTGTAGCTTTAATAGATAGAAAAACAACTCACGTACAAAAATACAGTAGAAAAAAAAAACAAAAAAAAAAAAAATGAGGTATAAAACAAATTTACAAAACATTTATTTTGGGGTTATATCTTTAAGGTGAGATAACGGGGTTGGGGTCAGGGTGAGTGGAAGGGTTGTAAATTTGCTCTGACGGTCGATCTGGCAACAGGAAGCCATCTTGCTCCCTACTGAGCGTCCTTTCCTCTGAGGGACACTGGAGAGAGCTCTTTAGGCTGGTCCAGCCCTCTGATCAGGAATCGCCCCAGAACTTTAGCACCAAAAGGACCCCTCGGCTGCCAGTCCGTCGTTAGTGGCTCCCTGAGTGAAATCAGAAAGTTAGAACACAAAATGGCTCCTTTTTTTATGACTTTGACACGTATTAAAATTCTAGCGCAGGTACGAACCTCCTCTTTTCTTTAGGTTTATAGCTCCGGGAGGAAATGAAGAGTTAAAGCTCTGATTCTCTCTTCCTGTGAGAATCCAAATGTGACGGGCTGAAAAGCTTAAGTGCTGCAGCGGCCTAATGACAGAACAAACAGACCCTCCGTCCTGAACAAAGCCCTACACTTAACAACCTGTGGCGGCTGAGAATTATCTCCGTAAAACGTATGTGTGAGTGTGTGTTCTTCTATTCAACAATAACAGCTTTTAAGCCTCTTACAAGTGTGTTTTAGAGCTGTCATCATGGTCAGAATTACACCACACATCCACATCTTTGAAGCAAAGCGGCTGTTATTGCGTCTGCGGCTGTAGAGAGTGTTAGAGGACGGGTGGATGTGACATTTACGGCGACGCACATGAGTAATTTCCATCATTCTGACAATTTTGAGCGTCAGACGCGCAAACTTTTCCGTCGTGACCCGATTTTACACTCTCTGCAGATGTGTGTAGCTTTGACGACGACATCTGCCAAGGTGCTACTTAAGGGATTATCCTGTGCTCAGAGGGATACTTTGTACTTTAAAAGCTGTTCTAATGCGAGGCTTTGAAAGGACTCGAAGCCATCTGCAGACATCAACACATCAAACATGACACACACAAACACAGGTCACAAGTAGAGGGTCGCAAACAGCTGTGTAATCATTGTCCTTGTGTCTATTTCATGAGTGTGTGTGAAGTCACCACACACAGGTAAAGGTGTGGAGTAGAGGCTGTAAGCCAGCTGTGTGATCTCTGTTTCTGGCGCAGGGCGATGAAACACAAACTTTGGTTTCTTCGTACAATAAAAGTTACCTTTATCAGGCCCAATATTCTGGTAACTATTTACTTTATATTCATATTAGTATTAGTATTAGCAGTATACTTGGCATTTTAGTGGCACTGTTTAGTTAATGTGTCTACATATATATATATATATATATAAAATATGGTATTTCTCACTAGATTCAAGTGTTTTAAGGAAAACAAACATTTAAAGATCCCTTCAGCTCTGTTTTCTGACACATAAATATCGTCTGCTTTTAACAGTTATTAGTGTTTGATATGTAATTACCACATTTAAAACTTACTTTGCATACATGTTGTATGAATCTTAAATAGTTCAAAGGACACAAAGTGTGTTTTCACCCTCAGTTGTTTGAGCATTAACTACAGTTAACATGCTGCTATTTAGACATTGTGTAAGAAGTTCATATATCCCGTGTTTCCATTGGACTTGAATGCAGCGTTCTCGTCCACTGAGTGAAGTTAACTGTCTCTTCTGCCTTCAGGGGGTTAAAGTGACATCTGGTGGGAGCTGAGTGATGACATCACTGCACACAAACCAATGAGCTCGCTGTCTGGTACACCTTGAAGACTGTGTATGTGTGTGTGTGTGTGTGTGAGTGACTGTAATACACACATATCTCACCTGATAGACAGTGGGTGGTTGCTATGGCGATGCCGTACAGGTGGGAGCGCTGCTCAGGCAGGTATTCGTCAGTGAACTGTTTGTCTTTGCTCACAGCGATCACTCCATCCCTACGAGGCAGCAGACAGAGAGAGAGGGTTAGGAGGGCAGCGGGCCTACGTACTGATCAGCTCATTGATTAGTGATCAGTAATTAATAAAGACAACAGGGGTGTCAATGTCAGACTGTAGTTAAATAGAATGGTGAATAGAAAGGGCTACCTCCTCCAGTCAGTGTAGTAGAAGTGGTCCCTGTAGTAGACCATGCTGAACGGGTAGTTGAGGCTGGGGTGGATCACTCTGCGGCCCGAACCGTCCGGAGAGACACACTCCAAACGCTTTGTACCTGACAAACACAGGAACACACAAAGATGGATCGATATTATCTTAAGGATATTGCTTTTTAAATACAAAGGGAATTACTGGAGCAGCAATACCAAAATGTACATAAGTTAAACTCTCTAAGTCTAATTACTAAGTAGCTATGCTTCAGATAAATGTAGTGGAGTAAAAAGAACAATATTTACCTCTGAAATGTAGAAAAAGGATTGTTAGAAGGTGTATAAATGGTCATTTTAGTTGTGGTATTAACAGTAGTACCCAAAACATTTAGATCAATTATAAAACTGGTTATTGTGCTTTTCATTATAATGATAATGTTACTTATAATAACATTTAGTGTCCTTGTTAACAGATTATATTATGTCCATGTTGTAGTTTTGTTCATGTGTAATATTTATTTTCATTTATCCACAATGCAAACATTAATGAACTGTAAATAAAAACACAGATTAAATAATATTGTACAGGTCCAACCAGCAGATCTTTCAAAATATGTCCCCCCTCCCTGAGTGGAAACGACTCGCTGTAATGCCATTAAGCAGCTGACCAGCGGTCACACTGACAGAGGAAGGAGTCGCCGCAGTGTTTACCTGCATCGGCCCAGCAGACCAGTCCTGCAGACGAGTCATACGTGAGAGCGTTTGGCAGTCCAATCCCGTCAGACACCACCACCTTGCGGTTCTGACCGTCCACTGTCGAACTCTCAATCTTCGGAGCCTCCCGGTTCCAGTCTGTCCAATACAGAGTGCTGCAGAGAGAGAAACAGGAGTTATGGCACTTAAACTCCATCCTGCTAATTATTCAACTCTCTCTCGGCTGGATGTTGTCGTTGTGTCGGCCACTGTAGGGTGAGGGGACGGTTGTGTTTGTGCATGGACTTTGTTTTGGTACTGGGATCATCTGGCTAATATAAAGAGACATGAAGAAAACCACACACATGAGCGGGTACATAAAAGGTACAAGAGCACAGGCCTCGAGGGACCAGCTGTCTCATGCTGATGAGGTCACGGTCAGGTTACTCTGAGCAACGTGCGACCTTTGACCCCAGCTCTCCCTGTGCATTTTTTCTGTGTGTTTCATCTGTATACACCAGAAAATATGGACCACACTGGCGAACACAAATAGGCACATTTTTCAGTTTTGGATAAACTCCTTCCTTCATGTTTCTCTGAGATTTGTTTTTGTGGTCAATTAAATTATATTTTATTGTTTGTAACATTTCAAAAACACCCAAATGTTTGCTCAGCAGGATGATAGCGGAGCTTTAGGCGGAGAGTGTGTGGGCTGTTTTTCATCTGTAGATGATGGCGTACATATGGACAGTCCACTGGGAACGACAGGTAATACACACCACATGAGCAATCAACTGACACACACACACACACACACACACACACACACGCACACACATGTGTTTATGAGTGTGTACGTTAATCAGTTTGATGAACCTATGGGCGAGCAGATGTTTGTGTACGAGACATTCATACATGTGTGCATGCTTTTATAACGTGTGTGTGTGTGTGTGTGTGAGGGCAACATGTGCAGGCTCAGAAATCACAGCGCACATGCTTAATCATAAGTGTACCCGTGTGAAGCTGTAATTACCTTTAGGACTTGGCTCTTTGTCAGAAACACACACACACACACACACACACACACACACACACACACACACACACACACACACACACACACACACACACTTGGCCTTCAGTCAAAAAATAAACTGTAAACGGTCAAACCAATAATGTGAAACACACATTTAAGGTTTTATGATTTGGATTATTGCTGCTTTGTTTAATCTGCTGTATCAAGCACATTACACACACACACACACACACACACACATAGCACATGCATACCTGTTGATTATGTAATTAGTTGCAATGATGAAAAGCAGATGTTATTCCTGGAGAGCTGAACAATGAGTGTGTGTGTGTGTGTGTGTGTGTGTGTGTGTGTGTGTGTGTGTGTGTGTGTGTGTGTGTGTGTGTGTGTGTGTGACTGTCCAGGATTTATAGCATCAGTTAATCCAGTGTAGGTTTCTTGGCTCAGTTTGGTGCAACACTGTCAGAGAAAGCACTAAAAGTCACTTGTATAACAGAATTATCAAACATGCGTCACTAAAGGGACACTCCCTCTGAGAACCACGGCCCATCGATATCCCTGCGATCGCCTGTCTCATGTTGATGAAGTCATGTTTGGGTCACAGTCTCCAGAGTCTGGAAACCAGACTCAAGAACAAGAATCCTCTCTGTAAAAAATATAACGCACACTGTACTAATGAATTAGACACAGGCCTGGTTGACTCATCGCCTGTCTGAGAACTTTGAATGCGTGTCGATTTCATGGTCGTGCTAATGGGCTGAGAACCATCTGTGCCCCTCTTCTGATGTAACATCACTCTGGGTACAGTGAAATACTCATTCTGCTTCAGTAGAACACCTCCAGGATGTTACACTTGATCGCGAACAGAGTGTGTGGGCGTTTGTTTGTTTCTTGCTCAGGGAAGAAATTTGTACATGTTTGCAAATCTGGACTAAACGGTCCCACGGCTTTAGAAGTGGCTCGTTCAGTAAATTGACGATTCTGTGAGTTTTCTTATTTTCTTATTTTCTTTTCAAAACTTGAAGGCAGACCAAAAGAGAAGCTTTACCCGGTGGAGGAGACCACTATGATGGCCCTGGGGTTGACCAAGTCTGCGTCAAACAGCGTCCGCCTCCCGCTGCCGTCCAGGTTGGCGGTTTCGATCACATCCGGGTTCGAGTCGACCCAGAACATCAACCTACGTTTCACGTCCACCGCCAAACCCTCCGGACTGACCAGATCTACAAGAAGCAGGGAGACCACATAAAAAGTAATGAGATCATCTAAAACATCACACAACAGTTGTTATGGAAGTGAATGAGCGTCAGTGCGTGTTCCTACTGGTGTTAATGAGTATCTCGGGCTCGGCTCCAGGCGCCATTGAAGCTCTGTTGATGGTTCTTGCAGATAAATCGGTCCAATAGACTCGGTTCTCTTTGCAGTCATAGGCTAAACCAACAACTATGGAACCCTGCACACACACACACACACACACACACACACACACACACACACACACACACACATTAACATAAGCATACACGTAATGAGATATATTATTAATTTAACTTCTGGTTGCTATTGCTGGTTACAGTAAATACAAGTCAACAGTTTCCACTCTGATTGATTCACACATCTTATTTCAAGTTACGTACAACGTTAACTAGCTCTGGCATTAGCTAAGTTAAAAGCACTTCCTGGCTGATTTTTTTTAAACATCTTTCTAAATAATCAAAGAACCACAAGAACTATCGATGTGCTTCAGAACCAAGTAACAAAATAAATACAAGGACAGAGACAGAATATGAATACATACATGTAGAGTCAGTAGTGTTTTGGACCGGGTTGCATCGAGTCTGGTTCCGTTCAGAGGCAACGCTCCTATTTTCTGTCCCTGAGCGTACAGCAGTGTGATGTCAGTGTTCGGAGGGGGGGTCACATTTGGGCGGGGCAACGGACGCACGGTGGGCGGGGCAACTGAGGGAAGGCCTGGGAAGAGATTGGACGGATTAAAAAAGTTTCACCAATGATAGGTGGCGTGAAATAGAGCACAGTCACGTGTCATTTTGACCACATGAGGGTAAAGAAAGACTTACATGCAGGTTTGACAACATCATGTGATCGGGTACCAGAAACCTCCCGTCCGTCCTGGTCCACACACCAGCAGTAAGTGGTCTCTCCATAACACTGGACTGGACTGAGAGACAATTCAAGAGTAATTTGTCATTAAAAAACACAATTTTTTGCTCCTGTTTTTCTGCTCTGTATGTGTGTGTGTGTGTGTGTGTGTGTGTGTGTGTGTGTGTGTGTGTGTGTGTGTGTACCTGAATTGTCCATCTGGATCGCACTGAGGCATGTATTGTTGTGGCTCTGGTTTTCCACCGTAGTACTCCATCAAATTGGCTCTCCATCGCTCGCACGCACTGTCCGGACGCTGGGTTGGACCCACCGGGGCTGAAGGGGAGAAGAATCAAACACACCCAATGCTGTTACTGTTTTTAAAGTTAAATATAATCCTACTGTAAGTTGTCATTGTTTAATTATATTCGTATGCTGTTTTCTAGCTCTAGCTTTTACAGTGATAGGGGGAGTGCTTGATTAATGGTGCGGGGAGGCCCTGTGTTTAAAGAGGCACACACATTGTACACACATCTTGCTTTTGTCAATAGTGTTTATCTTGTAAAATCCCTTAATCACTCACTTTACAGGGGAGCTTTAAAACTAAACCCAAAACCACTTTAGGTTTCCACTAATGTTTATACTGGCCCCTCTCTCTCTGTACATTTCTAATGTGAGACTGCACAGTTACTAAACTAAGGAGGAGATTAGGATCATATTTGAGAGGAGGGTGAGAAGAGCACAACTCTATAGTGGGAGATCAGAGAGATAAAGAGAGACAAAGAATAACTAAAACAGACTGATCAGTCTCATAATAAGTTTTTCCAGCAGGATTTATTGTAGTGGAGGTTAGCAAGCGGCAGTCCAGTCTTATGAATCACTTGGTTTTACTTCTATTTACTGTTTAACCACACGACCAACTGAATTTAGTGCTTCCTGTGTCTCTGACGTGCTTTCCCGAAATTGACAGCATGTGGACTGTCCACTAAATCGATGACATTTCAATCCCCTGCTGACTTACTGTGTTGGCAGTGAGTTGTAATACTTATGTGGGTACGCATAAATACAGACTAACTATCCTAACTATCACGTAAACTCCAGAACTTCATTCATGAATAAAACAAAAATGGTCAAATTATGCGGTTACATCCACGCAAACAATGTTTCTAGTCTCAACTCCTGTGTCGACCAGAGGATTTGAGCAGGAAATACCTTCCCCTCCCTCATCAAGAACTATTACAGAGGAATCCCTGAATATGGCTCCAGTGCACCAAACCACTAAAAAACAAACAAACCAAAAAAAAAGGTTGTGTGTTCGGTTGCACTGCGCGGCTTTCAGGTGTGAATGAGTGCAGCTGAATATGAGGAAAAGTAGGAAAGAAACAAACTTATGAGTTCAGAAAAGTTATGTGCATGTGTTTCTGTCTGTGCATCTGCAGGGTGGGTGTAACACTGTTTTGTCACTCAGCTGGTCAGGCGGCCCATCTTGTTTCTGTTTGGTTGCCCGGCAACAGCAAGCAGCTCATCTGACAGTGCCACGAAATGACCACTTCAGATGTTTGGGTGGTCATAAATGGAATTTATAGCAAGGTCAGGATTTATAGAACGGCCTCTGTGTGTACATTAGAGTGTGAGTGAGAGGGCGAGAGAGCATCACACAACCACAAAGAGAGAGAGAGAGCTGCAGAGAATCAAATTAGTTTTTTTTCAGTTTAAACTTTCAATAGCCACAAAGACGTTTTTAGACTTCCTAATTTTTTTTACAATTACATGTTTAACAGTGCTTATTTAGGCTAGCCAACCAATTATCAACATTCTCATTCTAAAGCTCTTGCTCAGCTGTGGTCACTGTGTCTTTTCTTTCCAAGAGACAGATGAGAAGATCAATACCACTCTCATATCTGTCTGCTACAGTATATGAGGCTACAGCCTCTACAGCTCACTAATTAAAACGCCATATTTTTTGTGTAATTAAAGTATAATTTGTGGTTTTACGAGGAGTTTTCAGTGCCATCCTGGAGTCTTGCTGTCACTTTGAGGTTGCCAGGCAACCAGCGCAGACTCCAGTTAGCTTTACAGGTGCTGGTAGGTAGGCTAGCTTTTCCCTCTGTTTGCAGTCTTTATGCTAAGCTAACCAGCTATATTTGTTTCCAGACATGTGGGTGGTATTGATCTTCCCATCTAAATCTCGGCAAGAGAGCAAATAAACGTATTTCAGAAAAAATGTCAAACTATTCTTTTAATCTAAATAATATTTTGCTATTTCTGGGTGATATCCACTAAAATCCACATCAGCCCTGGTGAATTGGTGCTTGTACTGAGTTAATGCGTCAGTAATGTTTCACAGACTCAATGTGCCTCATTAAAGAGGGCAAGACTGCACTCCTTGTTGTCCTTCTCCTGACCCAGTACGCTGATGACATTCAACTATCCTGGCAAGCTGACCTCTCAAAGAGCTCTCAATCCTCTTTGATGGTATAATAATGACTCCTGCACACACTGCAGTCTTCCTATGAAGAATGTGGATATGGTGCACATATCCACACTGAGAGTAAGAATTATCAGTCTCACCTGGTCTGTCACAGTCTCTACGTGGTGATCCAGGTGGAGTCCTGGTTCCTGGTCTCTCCTGTCCCCTACTGTCCACACACCAACAATGTCCAGAGGAACCGTGACACTGAAATAGACATAATGATAAATGTCATATAGAATAAGGATGCAAAGTATTTTTCACTTACAAAACAATTAAAAAAGATACCTGTTGAGATCTGTACTGTCCATTTGCATCGCACTCAGGTACAAAGGCTCCGACAATAGGATATCCCTCTGGACTGGTAGTCTGTACACTGTCTCTGTGCTGCTCACAGTGAGTTTTTGGTCGTTCTGGTTCATCTGAGGATTATAAAAAAAAAAAAAAGAAATGGAATGGAAACATTTATTAAAAAAAATTGGTCAAATGGACACAAACCAAAGTTTGGAATAATATTTTGCTTGGATGCCGAAATCCTCGTATAAATATCTGTGAAATGTAAAGTGTCTGAAGCAGTAATAAAAGTCTCACCTGGTCTGTCACAGTCTACTCGGGGTGTACTGGCAGTAGACCTGGTTCCTGGTCTCTCCTCTCCCCTACTGTCCACACACCAACAATGTCCAGTGGAACCATGACACTGAAATACATCACAATTAAAAACAATATTATCAATAATTATGAGAAGAACAAAAAAAAAGAGACGCACAAAAGAAAGAATTCATTTCTGTGTGCAGAGAAATCACAGTTGTACCTGTTGAGCTGTGTACTGTCCATTAGCATCACATTCAGGTACAAATGCTCCAAGTAGGGGAAATCCATCTGGACTGGTAGTCTGTATACTGTCTCTGTGCTGCTCACAGTGAGTTTTAGGACGCTCTGGTTCATCTGGAGAAAATTAACACATTTATAAGTCATAATAAGTCATAACGATTTACTGAAGTCCCCTCCTGCTGTCAGTCCTCACAATGAAACTCTATGCTGATGACATTCACCTTTCTTGTCCTTCTTCAGACACACAGGTGTCCTCAACACTTCAAGTTAGCTGTAAGAAAACTATATTCTTTCTTGGTAATCCTGACCTCTGACTGTTAAAGAACCCAAATATCATTCTGTGTTCTTTCAGTCTCTTGTAATCACTTTATTTACAGTGTTTTTGTTCTTGACCCGATGCACTTGTCTGTAAGACTTTCTGGAGTGCAAGAACTTTGTGGTAATTAATCCTGACCTCCTGCACTCCTGCATTGATACTATTCCTGACAGCCATCTGGCATGTATCATGGATGTCCATGATACATTCTCAAATCTGTGGGTCTGCAATCTACAACATTTGCTTTGTTAATGCTCTTTTCATATCCTGAATAAACTACATACTGTAAATATTTCTGGCTGACCGCGTAAGGGATACTTGTCAGTCTGCATAACTCATCTAGAATGCTGCTCCTAAATGTGCCCAACAGGTATTTGGCATGATAAAACAGTCTCACCTGGTCTGTCACAGTCTCTACGTGGTGATCCAGGTGGAGTCCTGGTTCCTGGTCTCTCCTCTCCCCTACTGTCCACACACCAACAATGTCCAGTGGAACCATGACACTGAAATACATCACAATTAAAAACAATATTATCAATAATTATGAGAAGAACAAAAAAAAAAGAGAAGCACAAAAGAAAATTAATTTCTGTCTGCAGAGAAATCACAGTTGTACCTGTTGAGCTGTGTACTGTCCATTAGCATCACACTCAGGTACAAAGGCTCCAAGTAGGGGAAATCCATCTGGACTGGTAGTCTGTATACTGTCTCTGTGCTGCTCACAGTGAGTTTTAGGACGCTCTGGTTCATCTGGAGAAAATTAACACATTTATAAGTCATAATAAGTCATAACGATTTATTGAAGTCCCCCCCTGCTGTCAGTCCTCATGCTGAAACTCTATGCTGATGACATTCACCTTTCTTGTCCTTCTTCAGACACACAGGTGTCCTCAACACCTCAAGTTAGCTGTAAGAAAACTATATTCTTTCTTGGTAATCCTGACCTCTGACCGTTAAAGAACCAAAATATCATTCTGTGTTCTGTCAGTCTCTTGTAATCACTTTATTTACAGTGTTTTTGTTCTTGACCCGATGCACTTGTCTGTAAGACTTTCTGGAGTGCAAGAACTTTGTGGTAATTAATCCTGACCTCCTGCACTCCTGCATTGATACTATTCCTGACAGCCATCTGGCATGTATCATGGATGTCCATGATACATTCTCAAATCTGTGGGTCTGCAATCTACAACATTTGCTTTGTTAATGCTCTTTTCATATCCTGAATAAACTACATACTGTAAATATTTCTGGCTGACCGCGTAAGGGATACTTGTCAGTCTGCATAACTCATCTAGAATGCTGCTCCTAAATGTGCCCAACAGGTATTTGGCATGATAAAACAGTCTCACCTGGTCTGTCACAGTCTCTACGTGATGATCCAGGTGGAGTCCTGGTTCCTGGTCTTTCCTCTCCCCTACTGTCCACACACCAACAATGTCCAGTGGAACCATGACACTAAAATACATCACAATTAAAAACAATATTATCAATAATTATGAGAAGAACAAAAAAAAAAGAGAAGCACAAAAGAAAATTAATTTCTGTCTGCAGAGAAATCACAGTTGTACCTGTTGAGCTGTGTACTGTCCATTAGCATCACACTCAGGTACAAAGGCTCCAAGTAGGGGAAATCCATCTGGACTGGTAGTCTGTATACTGTCTCTGTGCTGCTCACAGTGAGTTTTAGGACGCTCTGGTTCATCTGGAGAAAATTAACACATTTATAAGTCATAATAAGTCATAACGATTTACTGAAGTCCCCCCCTGCTGTCAGTCCTCACGATGAAACTCTATGCTGATGACATTCACCTTTCTTGTCCTTCTTAAGACTCACAGGTGTCCTAAACACCTCAAGTTAGCTGTAAGAAAACTATATTCTTTCTTGGTAATCCTGACCTCTGACAGTTAAAGAACCCAAATATCATTCTGTGTTCTTTCAGTCTCTTGTAATCACTTTATTTACAGTGTTTTTGTTCTTGACCCGATGCACTTGTCTGTAAGACTTTCTGGAGTGCAAGAACTTTGTGGTAATTAATCCTGACCCGCTGCACTCCAGCATTGATACTATTCCTGACAGCCATCTGGCATGTATCATGGATGTCCATGATACATTCTCAAATCTGTGGGTCTGCAATCTACAACATTTGCTTTGTTAATGCTCTTTTCATATCCTGATTAACTACATACTGTAAATATTTCTGGCTGACCGCGTAAGGGATACTTGTCAGCCTGCATAACTCATCTAGAATGCTGCTCCTAAATGTGCCCAACAGGTATTTGGCATGATAAAACAGTCTCACCTGGTCTGTCACAGTCTCTACGTGGTGATCCAGGTGAAGTCCTGGTTCCTGGTCTCTCCTGTCCCCTACTGTCCACACACCAACAATGTCCAGTAGAGCCATGACACTAACACAACAAAGAAAGATAAAAAGAAAGAAAGATAAAGTTACTCTTAAGTAATATCAAACAACAATAAAAGTTTAACGGGTCTGTCATTAGATGCTAACCTGCAGTGGTAGGTACTGCCCATCAGCATCACACTGGGGTACATGAGCTCCAATAGGATATCCCTCTGAACTGGTAGTCTGTACGCTGTCTCTGTGGTGCTCACAGTGAGTTTTAGGACGCTCTGGTTCATCTGGAAAACATTTGCAATACAATTACTATATAATAATGACTCCTGCACACACTGCAGTCTTCCTATGAAGAATGTGGATATGGTGCACATATCCACACTGAGAGTAAGAATTATCAGTCTCACCTGGTCTGTCACAGTCTCTACGTGGTGATCCAGGTGGAGTCCTGGTTCCTGGTCTCTCCTGTCCCCTACTGTCCACGCACCAACAATGTCCAGAGGAACCGTGACACTGAAATAGACATAATGATAAATGTCATATAGAATACGGATGCAAAGTATTTTTCATTTACAAAACAATTAAAAAAGATACCTGTTGAGATCTGTACTGTCCATTAGCATCACACTCAGGTACAAAGGCTCCGACAATAGGATATCCCTCTGGACTGGCAGTCTGTACACTGTCTCTGTGCTGCTCACAGTGAGTTTTTGGTCGCTCTGGTTCATCTGAGGATTATTAAAAAGAATAAGAATGGAAACATTTAAAAACATTTATAAAATGGAATGGAAACATTTGTAAAAAACAAATGTCACTGGTCAAATTGACACAAACCAAAGGGAGCTTCCTGGTATTGATATTTTACAGCATTCACTACAAGCCAGACGCAGACGTCGAAGCTGAGTACACTAAATAAACCAAGCAAGGGTACAACTGGGACAGTATCGTTGTTTGGTCTATGAGCTCTGCCTGAATAGCGCCTGGTTTCAGCGATATTTTGAGCTGACTGTGGAGCCGTTTGACCAGTCTGATCGCAGATGAGTCACTGCATCCCCTGCAGCCCCCTCCACTGCAGCCTAAACAGACTACCACAACGCCTAATTGGGTCTGAATAGAGCCTGAACCTTTTACAAGCGTTCCACTTTTAAAGGCTTTTAAGAGGGTTTAGGATGTACTCCTCCCTGACTTTTTAGAAGATGTATGGTAAAAACAGATGCCCAACACACTGAGGTACCACATGGTCCAGGACTGAGCCCACTACTATTCCTCCTCACACTAGATCCCTCGGCTATGTTTGGACAACTAAAACCTTCCTGCTACTGCTGCTACTAGCTTGTTCAACATCTACTCTTATCCTGCATGGACTACTTAAGTATTCTCTTTAGCTTATAAAGCGTATTCTGAAAGCTGTACAATGCCTGATTTTACCTACCATAAATTATGATCCATCCCCTTTATTCCAGCGACCCAGTACTTAAATGTGTGTATACATGCTGACAAGTTTGGATGCAACATGTCTAGTTAGAAACAGCAGTCTCACCTGGTCTGTCACAGTCTACAGATGGCGTACCAGCTCGAGTCCTGGTTCCTGGTCTCTCTTGTCCTCTACTGTCCACACACCAACAGTATCCGGTGGAGTCATAACACTGAAGCAATAATGATTGATATTAAAATGATGGTTCTTCATGTTACTCAACGTTGCATTAAATTCATGAATAAGAATATCAATCTGTTACCTGTTGAGCTGCGTACTGTCCATTAGCATCACACTGAAGTACAAAGGCTCCAAGTAGGGGATATCCCTCTGGACTGGTAGTCTGTACGCTGTCTCTGTGGTGTTCACAGTGAGTTTTAGGACGCTCTGGTTCATCTGGAAAACATTTACAAGTTAACACTTAGTTATTAAGGAACACACAGATGTTCTTTGGGGATTTCTGGGTGATATCACCTAAAATCCACATCAGCCCTGGTGAATTGGTGCTTGTACTGAGTTAACGAATCAATAATGTTTTACAGACTCAATGTGCCTCATTAAAGAGGGCAAGGCTGCACTCCTTGTCCTTCTCCTGACCTAGTACGCTGATGACATTCAACTATCCTGGCAAGCTGACCTCTCAAAGAGCTCTCCATCCTCTTTGATGGTATAATAATGACTCCTGCACAGACTGCAGTCTTCCTATGAAGAATGTGGATATGGTGCACATATCCACACTGAGAGTAAGAATTATCAGTCTCACCTGGTCTGTCACAGTCTCTACGTGGTGATCCAGGTGGAGTCCTGGTTCCTGGTCTCTCCTGTCCCCTACTGTCCACACACCAACAATGTCCAGAGGAACCATGACACTGAAATAGACATAATGATAAATGTCATATAGAATAAGGATGCAAAGTATTTTTCACTTACAAAACAGTTTAAAAAGATACCTGTTGAGATCTGTACTGTCCATTTGCATCGCACTCAGGTACAAAGGCTCCGACAATAGGATATCCCTCTGGACTGGTAGTCTGTACACTGTCTCTGTGGTGCTCACAGTGAGTTTTAGGACGCTCTGGTTCATCTGAGAAGGAAAGCATGAAATGTATTTTTGTAGACATTACAATCCATGTAGAAACTTCTAAATGTTTGCATTATATAATCCAACATTCAACTAGAGTTGTGAGCTAAAAATCTCCTGGCTCTACTTTAATACCTCGAGTGCAGACATGAGAGTGGTTTCAATCTGCAGCAAGGACGATGCTCGGTTGTCTACTTGAACAATGATGTCATTCTAGAGCTGGGAGTTTCCTTCATATCAGATTACATTTGACGTCCTTGCACAGTCAAAACAGCAGCCCTCAGTCTAAATGCAGTGTGCGCAGGCTGCCAGTCAAAATCTCACCTGGTTTGTCACAGTCTCTAGGTTGTGTACCAGGTGGAGTCTTGGTTCCTGGTCTCTCCTGTCCCCTACTGTCCACACACCAACAATGTCCAGTGGAACCATGACACTAAAATAACAGCAGCAGTACACCAGAATAAATTAATGTATTTTCAATTTCAAAATTATAGTTCAGTCACTGATTTAAAAATAATGTTTTTTAATGGATTAAACAAATTACAAGCACTGACCTGCAGTGGTATGTACTGCCCATTAGCATCACACTGAGGTACATAGGCACCGACAATAGGATATCCCTCTGGACTGGTAGTCTGTACACTGTCTCTGTGGTGCTCACAGTGAGTTTTAGGACGCTCTGGTTCATCTGGTTGAGAAAGATGGACAATAATAGGATCATACACATATTCTTTTAGAGCGTTTATAATAGCAGATATAAAGCCTCTTATTCCTAAATGGATTGAAAGATATTAAAATACATTGAGTAACTTTTTTCTTATTCTGTAAAAAGTAATTTTTCATGTGTAAAATATGTTTTGAGTAAAAACATAATAACTAATATACGGTAGTTTAAATAAATTAATTGAATAATTACTGATTATACCCTCATCACCAGTCCTTCATCTTAATGTTAATTATCAACAACAAATGCAGTCCATTATAAAAGATGGAGTCAACTTAGACTATACAGTTTTCACTAATGTTCATGTTTCAGCTAATTATCCTTTTGTATTATATTATCCTTTATTGCATAGGCTACTTTTGTGCATTGTGGACAGGGCTGTGTTTGTGTAAAGTCTTACAAATGTACTATAAAAAGGCTTAAAAGGTTTTCTCACTGACAGCTCATAGTTAGAACGTCATAAAGTCCATTCAGCCAGGATATACCTGTGTCAACTTTTAGTTAATATAAGAAACAAATAACAAAGTGTCTCTTCCAAATGTGCTTCATCTCAGTTTCACTCTGCCGTCCTTCACTTTCAGCTTCCCAGCACACATGGCCTTGCAGTGATATCACCTGTTTTTCCAGGCATTCCAAGGCTACGACCCAATGACCTCAATAGTGCACCACTTACAAGGTTAGACACACACTCAAGTAAACGACTTGTCATTGAGTTGAGGAATTACGGGGTTCACAGGTCAATGTTTAGCAAGAAAGCCTTGGAGAGCCATGACATAATACACCTGCTGACGCTGGTGCTGTTACTGCAGATAACAAAACAGTCTGAAGCTCTCAAGGGAAGCTGAATTAAGGAGGACGTCTGTTATTCATTTCTTTTTCTTTCTCACCTGGTTTGTCACAGTCTGTAGGTGGTGAACTAGCTGAAGTCCTGGTTCCCGCTCTTTCCTGTCCCCTACTGTCTACACACCAGCAATGTCCGATAGAGGCATGACACTGGAAAAAAAAAACATTTTATTGGTTTAATGCAGTCAGAATTTCTTATGTTACATTAAATTAAAAAACAGTTCATCTGTCTGTCAGTCAGCGGATCAGTCATTAGATGCTGACCTGCCGTGGTGTGTACTGTCCATTAGCATCACACTGAGGTACAAAGGCTCCAAGTAGGGGATATCCCTCTGGACTGGTAGTCTGTACACTGTCTCTGTGGTGTTCACACTGAGTTTTAGGACGCTCTGGTTCATCTGGAGAAGAAAGCATAAAATATATTTTTTATAAACATTGAAAAATTGACTATTCATTTCAATCACTGTTTTTCCCACACATCTGCACTGAGGTACCACATGGTTCAGACTATTCCTCCTCAGACTAGATCCCTCGGCTCTGTTTGGACAACTCAAAACCTTCCTGCTACTGCTACTTCTGGCTTGTTCAAGATCTACTCTTATCCTGCATGGACTACTTTAAATACCTTCTGACTAGGCTCCTAAAGTGTTCTCTTTAGCATTTAAAGCTTATTCTGAAAGCTGTACAATGTCTGATTTTATCTGCCACATGCAACATGTCTTGTGCAGCTAGAAACAGCAGTCTCACCTGGTCTGTCGCAGTCTACAGATGGTGTACCAGCTTCAGTCCTGGTTCCTGGTCTCTCTTGTCCCCTACTGTCCACACACCAACAATGTCCAGAGGAACCATGACACTGAAATACACAATAACAGTAATCATAATGACAGAGCAATGAAATTATGTCTCCATGTTGGCATAAATTAAAACCAGAACTTACCTGTTGAGTTCTGTACTGGCCACTAGCATCGCACTGAGGTACAAAGGCTCCTACAATAGGATATCCCTCTGCACTGGTAGTCTGTACACTGTCTCTGTAGTGCTCACAGTGAGTTTTAGGACGCTCTGGTTCATCTGAGGATTATTTAAAAAAATTGGAAAGATTAGTAAGTACATAGTCACTCCAGAGTACAAGTGAAATAAGAGCAATCTTACTGGTCAAATCAAAACATACAGAGACATTAAACGACCGGTGTGTAGGATTTAGTGGCATCTCACAAAACAGCCCTATCTACAGCCAGTGTTTGTCCATTTTTGCCAATAGATTTTCCTGAATGTCACACACTGGACCTTTCAAAGAAACCTTAAAAGAAACATGACGGATACAAGATACACTGAGCAGCATTGTTCTCCTCACCCGGTCTGTCACAGTCTCGAGGTTGTGTACCAGGTGGAGTCTTGGTTCCTGGTCTCTCCTGTCCCCTACTGTCCACACACCAACAATGTCCAGAGGAACCGTGACACTAAAATAACAACAGCAGTAACCATAATAAATTCATGTATTTTAAGTGTCAAAATTAAGGTTAAATTACAGATCAGAAAATGTTTCATAGATTAAACAAATTACAAGCACTGACCTGCAGTGGTATGTACTGCCCATTAGCATCACACTGAGGTACATAGGCCCCGACAATAGGATATCCCTCTGGACTGGTAGTCTGCACACTGTCTCTGTGGTGCTCACAGTGAGTTTTAGGACGCTCTGGTTCATCTGTAAAGGAACAAAAATAATTTTTCAGTGAACAGTGATTTTTCTGTCATGCTGGTTTGCAAATTCTGGTACATATATTTTTCAGCTATCATATCTCTTCAGATAACAAGCTTCAACACAATTTGATAATTAAATAACAAAAGTGGAAAGGGTTGTCCTTTCCACTTTCTCAGGCTAAGCTAACACGAAGATGAAAAGGAAGGTCATTTTTGACGTCAAGTTTCATCTCTGTCAGTGATGAGGCACCCCAGGATGGTGTCATCTGCATACATGAGCACTGTTTGTGGCTTCATTGCCAGACGTACACTGGATCAAAGTTTAGAACCATGAAGAGGAGCTAACATTGTTCAGCAACTCCTGTGAAAAAAGTGGTATGATGTCTTCTGTGTGTTGGGAGGATCTTTGCAAGTCTTAGAAAATAATCCTGATGATGTTATACTTACGTTATTATCTCAGTTTGGGCTTGGAGACTACAAATTTATGACAGAAAGTCTGCATTACAAACCAGTGGTGTTGAGTTTGAAAGATGTGGGTATTTACAAGGCTGGGAGGCTACAACCCAGTTGCATTTTGGGAAATGTAGGACCCCGTGTTTTTACCTATATTAAGGACTAAAAGTCAGGATACAATGGCAACTGCTGTTTATCTGTCATTAACAAGTTCCGTAACTTTAACTTGATTGAAACACACTCAGAGAACATCTACATTCTGGGATAGACTGAGGAGGATGCATTTTCCTCACCTGGTTTGTCACAGTCAGTGGGTGTTGAACCAGGTTGTGTTCTTGTTCCTGCTCTCTCCTGTCCGTTACTTTCCACGCACCAACAAAGTCCAGAGGAACCATGACACTGCAGTAAATTATATCAGAAATAACAACAACAATATATCGTATTAGTATTCCATTATGTTTGTCTTCTTTCAGTTGGAGGTGATATAACGTTCTTTCAGACACTTAATTTGTGACAAACCTGCAGTGGTATGTACTGGCCATTAGCATCACACTGAGGTACATAGGCCCCGACAATAGGATATCCCTCTGGACTGGTAGTCTGTACACTGTCTCTGTGGTGCTCACAGCGAGTTTTGGGACGCTCTAGTTCATCTGGAGAGATAAAGATGAACAAAATAGAAAATAATAATTATTATTTTCTTGAAGACCAGCTTCTAGAGAAAAAAAACAACTTTGAAAACTCAGATGTTGCCATCAAGCAATCACTCTTTGGTGCATTTAGATACAATAGACTGTTAGTGGTCACCTGGTTTGTCACAGTCTCTAGGTGGTGTACCAGATGGAGTTCTGGTTCCTGTTCTCTCCTGCCCCCTACTGTCCACACACCAACAATGTCCAGTAGAGCCGTGACACTGTAATGAATTATTAAACATTTCCAAATCAGTATGTCACTCAACTCAAGTCAACAGTCAACCACATACCATTACCACCAGTCAGTGCTCACCTGCAGTGTTCGGTACCGTCCCTCAGAGTCGCACTGGGGGATGAAGGCTCCAAGATTTGTTTGACCACCTTCTTCAACTCCACTCTGCAGACTGTCTCTGTGCTGTTCACACTGGGTCTTTGGTCGAACTGTCTGTCCTGTAGTCAAATAATTAAAAGATATGTGTTTTATATGTGTTGTCATTTATACAGGATATCCAGAAGCTATTTCCACATTGCATACACGTTGATAAGTACATGTTTTTCTTTCTTTCTGGCAATTTTACTGACCTTGCTGCTGGGAACAATAGAAACCATCACCATAAAACCCAGGCTGGCACTGACACTGGAAGGAACCCAGTCCATTGATACATCTGGCACTGATGTGACATGGAGAGGTGCTGCACTCATCTATATCTAAAAAACAGAGGGAGTACATCCTCAATATAAACTCCACATATTTATACTGAAATATATAAATGATGTTTGGTTTTTTATCAAAATTTATTTGGTGATTTTGGATCATTAAATAAAATATCTGCATTATCTATCGTGGGAGAAAGGGAGGGTTTAAGGGAAGTTCATCAATAGTTCACACTGATGGGTGAAAAGAGGACACACACACACACACACACACACACACACACACACACACACACACACACACACACCGGCAGGACCTCTCTCCTCCACACATTCCAAGAAAAACACACATTGTGTCATTGCTCCATTTGTCTTTCACTTTCACCCCCTCTCCTGTCTAATCTCACCCTCTCCTTCTCACATTAGTCACTCTCATTCCCACTCTTGTTCTCACATTTCTGACCCATCCTCCCCTCTTGCTGTGTTTCCTAGCTTTTGCAGCTGTGCGTTACTGTTGTGGAAGAAATGTTATGCCTGTGCTTGGACAAATATGTGGGTCTCTTCCAAATATTCAGCTCATTTTGGAACATGCAGGAAAACCTCTCTTGTGTGACTGAGTCTGACAACCAAACCATGGAAAGGATGGAAAGGACATGAAGATGGAAGAATGACATGTTTGCCATTGTAATAAAGTATATGTTTCTTTTTATTAGCATGTGAAGAGCTTCACATTTATCACAATTACAGTGCATGCAGGAAGACATGCGGACACTGCCTGACTTAGCAAAAAGCAGCACATTCAGTGGTTGTAAATGACGTTGTTTTAAAGTCAGACCTTTATGTTTAGTGGTTTTAGCTGATCTCATTGATGATGAGCTCAGCTCAAAGACTACCAACTACAATGGGCTTGTCATTCAGTTTAGAGACTAATTAAGTTTCAGTTTAAGTTTAATTAAGTTGAAAGACAAAAAGCACATTCGGCGGGATCCTGCTTAGGGAACTTTCAAGTACTGAAAAGTTTCTTTACTGGGTATTAATTTGCTCTAGGGATGTAATGTCAGTTTTGTTCCAGTCTGAAACATCTCAAAAATGTATTGATTGGATTGCCATGGCATTTGATATTCATAATAACATTGGTGACCATCAGGTTCAGTCACATAGATGACCCTGTAAAGCAAGAGACTACATAACTTTTGCTAAAGAGACTTTTGAAACAGTGCCACTGTGGCCCTAAGTGACAATACAGGATAATGGTAAATACGGTGTTATGGAACGGAAAAGAGTCATAAAATCAGCAAACTGGCTTCGTAATGTCACCACAAGCTCCTGGTCATACCAAACAAAATAAGGTTGTAGCGGTAAAACCTCAGATTGTATTGAAGTGACTCAGGATGTGTTTACCACTGTGCCCAGATACAGCCTAAAGACTCTTGAGTCTTGTTCCCAGTCAGAGCTCAAATTCATGTCATGCGTGCGTACTGTACACTGTAGTCTTGTCTTTAGTACATCTCACTCATTGCTACTCACCAACACAGGTACGCCCGTCGAAGCCAAACTCATAGCCACTCTGGCACTGGCAGCGATGGCTACCAGGCAGGTTCACGCACTGAGCATGAGCACCGCACGAAGTCAAGCTCTCCGCACACTCATCTACGTCTGCAGTGAAAGAAAAGGAGAGAAAGTGAGAGATGAACCTGTAAACCAGGAATCTCCGATCTAACAACTTGTAGCATTTGAGTGTAAAAACTGTAATTAAGGGTCATTACTGATGCTTTTAGTTGCATGTGCCCCCACAGCTGGATTCTGGACTGCATTCTTAAATGTACTGTGCAACAAACAGGACAAAACCTCAACGATAATATGACCAGAGAGAGACACTGAGGCCCAGTCATGGGAACTAAGGCTGAGCCTGGGGCTTTCCTAGCGCTATCAGCAGGAGAGAAAGACCTGCTGCTGGGCTAATGACAGGCCACGCACCAGCTTAAAGCCCTGCAAGGCCCTGATAACTACAGATTAACCTGGAGGAGGAGGGAGAGGCGAAGAGAAGAGCGTAAGATGAGTCATTCCATCCCGCCTGTACTTGACCCCTCTACACTGGATTGACAGATGTTGATTAAACACAGACACAGTGCCTTGAACTGTCTTTAACTTTGTCAGCATGTATTTGTGTGTGTAAGTGTGTGAGACTAAACATAGCACCATAAAATACATTGCAATGTACATACAATGTCACGCTGTATATCCAGAAAGACTTCTCTAACAGGACGCTGTTCATGCAAGCCCGTACCGTAACAGTTGCGTCCATCCCCTTTGTAACCAGTAGCACACTGGCACTGGAAGGCCTGGCCCTCCAGTGGGATACACTGGGCCGTGGTGTCACAGTCATGGTTCCCAGCGTAGCAGGGGTTGACCAGCTCCGGCCCTGTTGGCTCAACTACAGAGTGGAGGAGTGACATTAAATGACATGAGGGATAAAAGAGAAAGAAGATCCTTACAATACAATATTGTACAAAACTGAAAAATTATCACCAAAATGTATTTAAAGTGTCAAAATTACAAGTACCCATTATGCAGAATGGACCCTTGTGACTGATATATAACATTATTCGACTGTTAATACTGATTACTCAGTAAGTAGTAATTTACTATTATAGCTACTTTATATACAATTTGGTAGTTTACTGCAGTGGTTCCCAAACACCAAAAGGGTAACAAGAAAAAGCTGAGGGTTCTGGAGATGATTAAGGAGGTAGTAAAACTTGTGAAAAGGTTGAAAATTTATTTTTTTAATCTGTAAAAATGCATTGCACAATTCTTATGACATGATATAATGTAAGATTTTAATCAGAACAGTTTAAGGTTGGTGGTTAAGATAAGATGTTCCTTATTTTGTTTGATCCAGGGTTTGATCCCTGTCCTGTCCCACATGTTGTCCTTGAGCAAGACACTGAACCCCTAGTTGCTCTCAATCGTTCAGACCATCATGTGGATACATTTGTGGGCGCTACATGGATAAAAGCGTTCTTACTTGTAAACTCAAGTAGCAACATTTAGCACCGCTGGCGTCATGTAAACTGCAAACTGTATAATTGGCTAGTGTAAATGTAAAAACACCACAGTAAGAAGGATTTAGCAGCACAGATAGAGGTTGAATAAAACAACAACAGTTAATATGTTTCAAATAAACCTGATGAGACAGAAAAACATTATTAAAGTATTTCCTGTGCATGCAGAGACACATGGCAAGAAAAATGTGCTGCACAGACTCTGCAACACTCTAAATATCCTGAATTGAGATTAATTGAGATCTGTATTATTCACCAGTAAAAGTCCCAATGATTACAGTGATGATTACAAGACAGCCTAACCAAACACACATGTAAAATCACTCCAGACAGACTCCCATAGGATGGTTTCCTCTTAGGAAGTGACTCCCTTCATGTTCTCAATAGTCAACATATGGATGAGGTTAGACGCACATATACATGAGAGAGATGCACAGACAGAGGGATGAGTGAGCAGATGTGTGTCCCTCATACCAACGTACGACTCAGACACACCAGAAATGTTAAACAACAATCCTCAGACTTGTTTCTGGAAGAGTGAAGAAAACCATGGGAAATCATTAGAAAAGAATGTGAAAGACTTAAATAAATATACTTAGAATTAAGTGACTGTGCTTCAAAATATATCAGGATGGGTGGCACAGTGGGACTCGGGAACTGGTGTTAAGAGCCTTTCTGTAGGCACTGTATCTGAACCACTGCGGTTCAATAGTACTGGTTTAGAGTGATATTCTTGTTTGATGTCCCACAGTTTAAGTAATGCTCTAGTAAATACTGAAAAAATGTGTTTTGAGATGTCTTTCCTGTCACATTGTCTAAATATCTCTTGAAAATAATGTTGCTTTTAATGGAGAACCTTTCCTCTACACACCATCTAAATATTTTTCCAAATATGGCATTTATTAAGGTTATATAGGGAGTTGCAGTGTCTGCATAGTTTAACTTCTATTTAAGGGAAAAAAAGAGCTTTGGAGTCCAGTTGGTCATAATGTCTACACATGTGCAGTTAGCCACAAGAATAAGAAAAGCAAACCACCTAAAAAATATATATAAGTAATATCTGTTTTTAATGATGTTTAAGTGTTTTAAGAGGGGCTTTTTCTTTACAATGAAGGGCATTATCCACCATAAACAACACCACACACACTCACACCTAAACAAAATCCAACACACAGACATTAGGCACAGCTTGCCTCCATCTCTTACAGCCAGAGGCCAATTTTGGCTCATTATCAAAGAGAGGGAGACTCTTCAAAGTCCTGAATGTGGCCGGGCAGAAGGGGAGATGAGAGGGCGAGATACATGTGGATGGGAGAAAAGACTGAGGGATAATTAGAGAGAGAGAGAGAGAGAGAGAGGTGGAGAACACACACACACGCCACATATGCACTACACACACCATCAAAGCAAAGACGGCAGTTTCCCACCTGTTGCTTTTTACCAAACTCCTTCACACACACACACACACACACACACACACACACACACACACACACACACACACACACACACACACACACACTGGTTTTACAGAGGCATAGCACTAACTGTATCAAGATGGCCAAGGTGCACTGGCTACTCTTGAAATCCCATGAATCACCCTCGAATTATCCGTCTATCATCGCTGACTTTTACTGACACGTTGAAATGACCTGAAATTTAAGAGAGCGTGGTGTTTAAAAAAGGGATGAAAGCAGCGCTCAGGCCGTAAACAGCACTTTGTTAAATAAATTCAAGGGGCAGCAAGTGGCGAGAAGATAAAATATGATCCAGGATGTCCAGTTTGACAAACACATCTGTGAGTTTAGGTTGAAAGGGGCACGCCACCGACCCTGATGACGTCACAGTGATGTCATCAGGGTTATCTAGGTTAATATTTGACAGAAATCCTGCATTATTAACTGAGGGCATTGAGGGAAAGGGCATTAAGACTGGCAGGGAGGGTCTAATGAAAGCTAATAATGAGTAGCATTATGGGAAATGTAGGATCCAGAGCTCTTGAGGCCTCGTACAGAGAACTAAACTGCACCTACTGTTTTCATAAAATCTGTCACTCAGAAGTCAAACATTTGTTTCTATTTCATTCTGTTTCCACTCATTTCTATTCAACTACACTAAAGACTGAAACACATTTTAAAGGACCAGTGTGTAGGATTTAATGGCATTGAGCGGTGTAGTTGGATTGCAACTTCCTCGCTTCACCCTTCCCATCTAAGCACAAAGGAGAAACTACGGTGGCTGAGAGAGCCAGTGTTTGGTTGTTCCATTCTGGGCTAATGTAGGAACATGGTGGACTTTGTAGAGCACCAGAGGTAACGAAACACAACAATTCTTATTATGAGGTGATTATACATTAATCAAAACATACCTGTGAATAATATATTCCACTTCTGCCAATAGATCCTCCTAAATGTTACACACTGGACCTTTAAAGGCCCACAGCAGTGTTTCTGTATGCTTTAGCCTATTTATTACAAATAATACTGCACATATATGCTGCTGCTGCCTTCAATTAACACAAGAGAAAAGACACAGATTTTCACAAAAGGGGTTTAAACATTGGATTATGTGTTATAATAATAAACATGTAATGGTCCAATCTATGCTAATTAAATCTAGCATTTATTAAGAAGCATTGGGGGCTGGAGGCCGGGTTGCATTGTAAGAAACAATAAGACTGGATTAAACTTTTATCAACCACATGTGGAAATGAGGTGACTGAATAACATACAGCAAACAACAGAGTCTTTCTATATCTCTCTCTCTCAATGTCTCTCGCCCTCTCGCTCTCTCCTGCAATCTATGATTCTCATGACATCAGTGGGCAGCTATTCTGCCCGGCAACCCCCCTCCCCACACTAAAAAATCTGTCATTGGCTGGGATATTATTTCCCAGAAAGTGTAAGACCCTTGAACACACACACATGCTCTCTCTCTCTCTCTCTTTCTCTCTCTCTCTCTCACACACACACACACACACACCACTTAACCCGTGTTTACAAAACCCCTGATCCCCGAAAGCTCTTCCAGCTGTGCTCTCGGTGTATCAGCGTGTGTGTGCGTGTGCATGTGGAGATGTGTCATCATAACCTTTTTAATCAACGTGTTGACGTTTAAATGACAGAAACTTGGTCAGGATTCAAAAGCTTGGGGGGAGTCTCTCTCTCTCTCTCTCTCTCTCTCCATAATTTGAGGTCTCGTGTCTCTCTGTGTCTATCTGGTTTCCATCAGAGTGTGTAAAGAAAGCATGACCACCGTGTGTTGACAGAGAAAGAACATGACACATGTCCATGCCGTATTTCTGTACACATTTCCATATTTGTACAGTCATCCTGTTTTTGTGCCGGTATATGGAAAAAAAGAGGAGTGCAGATGACGCCAGATAGAAACAGTGTGAGAGAAACCTTTTAACTAATCAAATATAATTAAACAAGTGCTTCCTTTCTCCAAAAGTTCCTTAAGAAACCTCTGGTTCTCTGGCTGATCTTGGTCAAAGTGCTGGATTTAACATTCACACACAACAACCATGAGAACATTCAATCTGTTTGACAGCCACAAGTAGAGATAATAGTATGTTATATTAATTCATTTATACCCCCATTTATGTGGTCTGAATTTCCCTGAACAGTAAATTTCAAGTTTATTTCACCAATTTGGATAAAAAAACATTCAAAAACTGCATTCCAAGTCCAAAAACATTTTTAAATTGGCTTTATATTCTAGAATAAAATCATCATGGTCATTAAGTTTTGTGGTTTTGGCTTCATGTTCTGGTTGTACAAAGTACTTTCAGATACCAAAACCAACAATGAGGGAGACATTTAACTCTCCTTTAATTTATTTCTCCTCAAGCTAGACTCTCATTAAAATATTGTCGACCTCCATTTAGCTTCAAGTGCACGACCAGCTCACCCTACAGGAAACATGTCAACACTCGTCTAGATTCGAGTCTTAAATGCTAATCATCCGCATGAACAAACCAAACTGGTCAAATATCTAAAGTCATCTGTGACGCAAACTGCGGTTACAATGATCCTTAGAGTGGTGTAGTGTGTCTGTAGCCTTCGGTAGACAATGAGTCAAGAAACAGCAGAGGTAATACAGACATTTTAACATTGTTTTCTATGGTTTCAATGTATAATTAGCCCTCAGCGTGTGTGTTTAAAGCTGAGCCCTGTCTAACTCAGCGCCGTGGTTTGGCTGAGGTTTCTGTGGCAGCACTGCAACAATTATGAGGTGGTCTGGTTGCTAGTTGTGGCTCTGGAACAGAAAACCTCACGTTTTCAACGCCTACAGTGTGTTCGCCCTCTTCAAGATTGACAGTGATGGTCTGGAGTGGATTCAGTCTCTCAGATACTCAGTTCCCAATACAATGGGCCAGTGCTGACCTTTTGTTTGAGGCCAATCTGTGTCGTTCATCTGACCCCAGGTCATCTGTACTGATATGTTTACTCAAACTGATTCTAGTGACACTGTTTCCAAATTTCACACAAGATTATAGTCTTATTAGTTCAGATTTGGTTCATGAAGGTGAATACACATATCCAGTATTTCTCTAGTTAGTTCTGAAATGTGGAACAAATTGCTCTTATTCAGCGCACTGTGTTATAGTCTGTTTGTTGTTGTTTTTAGGTTTGATGTATTATAACGGTTTCTGTTTCTTGTGTGTATGTTTTTAATGACCACTGGCAGAAAAACAAATTGCCATTCAGGAACTAATTAAGGTTTACTCTACTTTCTTTCATCACAGTTATTCTCTCCTGAGGGCGGAGAGCCTCTGAGACAACATTAAGACTGAATCTTACAATTAAGACCTTTGATTCTTCTTATATTAATGTTGTTTGTTTGTTGTAATGCTCTTAAAGAGGAGGCTGGATGACAAACATCCTTATGTAGTATCAAAGTATTTGATCTAATTCAGCCTCGTGGATTAGGATGAAAGTATTGATCAGCTCAACAGTAAATATAACTGACGGCACCACATCTGGTTTGTAATGAAAGCCTGACATCTGCAGGTGACGTATCCATCTCATCCCAGTTTGACTCACCTCCGACCGGGCTGATCTTGTTGGTGATGGCGTATCTCAAGATCCGCTCCTCCTTGACGTACATCACAAACACCCTCTCCATGGTGATCTGCAGCGTCTCCGCGGCAGTGGCGCGGTTGTCGTGTCGACAGTCGCGGTAGGTGATGTTCTGCTTCAGCTGGAAGGAGAAGGACTCCGAGCCTCGCTCCGCCGAAACCACTGAAAACTCCCTCACGGAGGTGGAGGTGGCAACTGGAGAAAGAGAAAGGTTTTAGGGCAAACGGAGTAACTGATTGTTCCCAGAAGTTTGACTCTTGTGGTTGTTATGGTTACCAGATGGGTAGTATTGGTAGATCTCCTTGAAGGGATCCATGACAACTTCAGCCCCGGGGGGCATGAAAGGCACTTGGCCACTGAGTACGGTATCCACGGTGAGGTGGTTGTGGTCGTCAAGGCCACGGCCCGTCTGGATGATTGTCAGTCGCTGGTTGCCAGGATAGAAGACCACATCTGCACGACGAGTGAACTCCGCACCTGGTAAGACAGGCAGTCAATGTATCAATCAATTCTACTATTTATAGTTTATTTTCCTGACATATTGCTGCAGACACACCAACAGTGCAGCAGTTGCGTATCATGAAAGAGGAATGTCTGCAGTGGTTACATGTGTATAGAACACACACACACACACACACACACACACACACACACACACACACACACACACACACACAGCTGTTTCCTATTAGAAAGGGGAGGTGGAAGCCTGATATCACATCACATCCCTGGAGACAATACAGCTGGCTGGAAGACAGAAAACACACACACACTCACACTGCAGAGGAGTTCCCCCATCTCTCTACCGATGTGTTCAAGAGTCGAGATGTACACGACAACATACTTAAACAACCATACTCACACACACACACACACACACACACACACACACACACACAGTTTACCTGTGATTTTGAATCCTGCTTGGCTATTGGGCAGCTCCAGAGCAAACAGCCATCCAAACAGCTCTCCTATTGGTGCAAGTGGCATCAGAGCCCAGCCCACTGGCTCGGGCACCTGACCAATCGAAGAGATCGGAAAATGAAATGTGGATGAGAAAAAGGAAATCATATTGATCTCTGAATAAGATTTTAAATGTATAAAGCGTCACATCGAACTGGAGTCCTACCTCGCTGATGGCAGTATACGCTCTCCCGTCACCCACCACGATGTAGGCATGAAGATCAATGTTGTTCAGCTCCACTGGAGTCGAACCCACGGTCACCGTTCCTTTCACCTTACCGCTAACACGCTGTGGAGCACCTGCAGGAGCAGCACAGGGATTACACAAAACATTATTAACTACTAGATTTTAACACAGAAGGAAGGTTAAATGTGTCTCTTTGGGTTAATTGTGGCGCTCTAACCCTCGGGTAGACAGTGACGTCCGTTTCCATAGAAGCCAGGCCGGCAGTGACAGCAGAAGCCTGTGGCGTAGTCGGAGCAAATTGCATTCTGGGAGCACTGCTGCTGGAATCTGAAACAGCAAGAAAGAGCAAAGAAAAACAAAAAGAGACACAATCAAAACAGACGAACCAGAGATATCGTTTACTTCCCACACACATTTTTCTCCTTTGTCAACACCCGGCGCCCACATTACCCACAATGCAATCCAACTCCAACAGTTTGGTCAGAGATTGTGTTATGCTAATAGCTGCTAACGTAACCTAGCGTTGCTAGCCTCAAGCAGAGATGAGGAGTGGGCAACAAAGTCTGGTGAGCTCACTTCTTTCTAACTCTGCACCCTTTGTTCATTCTTGTAGTCTTCAGCCCCAACTGACGCTGACCCAAGTGACAGCACTTGAGGCAATATATCAGATTTTGTACAGCTCCCTCTCTTTTTATGCTTTGTTATTTCAAAAGGCTGGGGGGATTCAGAAGGAAAAGGAATTGATTATCAACACTGATAATGCTGGGGAGGACCTTGCTTTTTATAAAGTGAAACATAAGGTTCAGCTCCCCTCCCCATCCCAAAAAACCTGATAAAGTCTCTAATTAAATCAATCAACAACCACTGCAAATTGTTCTGACATACATTTCCTTTACCAGGAACAACAGGTATATATATCATACTTCTAGTCTTCACATACCTGGCACATGTTTCTTTATTCTCCGTAGTGTACTGGATCACTGAGAGAGAGAGAGAGAGAGAGAGAGAGAGAGAGAGAGAGAGAGAGAGAGAGAGAGAGAGAGAGAGAGAGAGAAAACCATTATGCATTACAAATACAATACAATAGATATATAATTAATATCATAATGACTCCTGTCCAGAATCCTGGCTAAATGACAATAAGACAAAACATATAGAGAGATACATACAGACTATTACTGAAATTTGCAGTGTTCATGTTTTCCCTTGATCTCTTTCTGGTATTTACATCATACAAACACGCAGGTTGAAATGGGGACCATTAAAGGTTGTTTCCATATAAGTACAGCTGGAGAGAGAGAATAAGAAGGTGCACAAGATCCATGGAGACACAGAGACACACACACACACACACACACACACACACACCACACACACACACACACACACACACACACACACACACACACACACGTCAAGGCACTACTTGGACAGAAACCAGCTGTTGCCTCTCATACCCACTAATCCACACACACATTCACTGCTGCTTTATGAACTCCAAAAGGCATCTAAAATGTTTCAACACATATTTCATAAGTAAACTGTAAGGTCTAAAAATGTCACAATAAATAACTAATAAAGTTACATATAGTGTTACATATATATATATATGTTGTTCATAAAGCTTTTACACATGCTAAACACTGACGGATGATCTCTCTTGATCTGTTCCTGTGACAGATAGAAACAGATGTGCTCTGGATCTATTTGGAATAAAATAGAACTGGATAGTCAGCATGAAAAGTGGTGGTCACCATTTCTGAGCAGGCAAAAAGTAAGAATTTCCCAGACCACTCTCTAAAATAAAGATAATTGTACAGCAACTATTACTAAAACTTGTCAGTGGTGATTACCAATCCTGAATGCAGCAACATTCACTAGATTCAAAACAGCACATGGAACAAATGAGTGAATCTCTCTCTCTCTCTCTCTGTTTGTCTGTTTTTGTTAATGGCTGATTTGGGATAGAAATGCAGCATTCTATCATCCTACAGGGGCACACACACACACACACACACACACACACACACGCACACACACACACACACACACACACACACACACACAGGATGTCGGGATATTTTCTCAGGAACTGCACACACACACAAGAGACAAATCAATGTGCTTTTAAATACACAAACACATACACGTGCCAGTGCTTTGGAGGGAAACCCACATACCAATATCACAATGTTTTTAGACTCATAAACATTAAACTCATGAGGTCGTTAAAGTGTGTAATGGAAAATTATGCTTTTTCTCAGACAAACGCACACACACCCACACAAATGTATATGTACACACGCTTCATACTGTACACAAAACATATCCCTCTTAAGAAGTAATTTCCCTTGCATATATAGCCTCTGGGATGCAAAACAAATTGTTTCATGAGAACTTTAATACTAATTGAGGGTTTGGCCCTGACGTGTGACTTTACCTCTTTGCTGAAAAATAACCTTTCATCATCCGAAACTGAGCTAAGATGAAGATTTTTTCACACCAAAAGACATTTTGACCCTTATGTAACCAGGCAAGTTGACTGAGAACACATTCTTATTTACGGCGAAAGCCTGTGGGAGTAGTTGCAGAGGAGGGAGTGCTGGACACACACACACACACACACACACACACACACACACACACACACACACACACCTGGGAGCTGCCCAGCACAACGGCAGTATTGTACTGCCAGCTGCTGAGCTGCTCTGCTGCAGAGGCTGAGGTAATGTTACCCTCCTGTTTCTCAAAGTGAACGTCCTTTCATGAGTTAAGAAGACAACTACACACACACATATATATATATATATGCATATTTATACACACATATGGTTTGTCTCTTACCTCCTGTGTCAAAATCAAGATCATCTTCATCCACGCTGACCACGTGACCTCCGGGTGAGAGATGTGGTTCATTTCTGTGAGGGGGGTAGACGTCTACCACCTCCAGAGGAACCTACAAATACAGCAGGAAAATAAGATTTTCCTGTTGTCATTGAGAGCCAAGCCAATACGTTTTTAACTCCCTCCAGATGCTATAAACCAGAGAGCTATGATCTGAGCATACTTTACATATTGTATACGCTGTGTAGGGTATCATAATCGCAGCTGTGCCAGCGTTTTGTTGACACCAACCTACCGTCTCCAAAACAGCGTTCCATTACAACCACAGAATTTACAAAAAGGACTATAATTTCAAATCGTTATTACAAAACTCTGACGGCGCTGCCAGTTTAAATTTTTTCAGATCCACTGCAATAAGTTATGTTTTTAGAGAATTTGAACAGATTGCGACACAGGAGCTGGCATCTGCATGAGCTCTTGTAACATGAAAGAAAAGTATGGTCTAGTAGCATTAAAAGTGCCAGTAAGACCTGATGTTAAAACACGTATTTACAGTAACACGTCTTGCCTAACATGATAATTAATTGAATTAGCAGTTTAATGTTTAGTGTTACCTGTGGTTGCTGTTCCGAACTGTGCTGAGCTCTTCCCTCTGGCGCTGATTCTGGAGAATATGGGGGAGCATACTGCCTCTCTGCTGGCTCTGAACGGTACCTGGGTTCAGAGGTCAGTGGTACATCTTCGCTGCCGTACGACACCTGACGACCAGAATCCTCTGAAGGGGAGGAGGGAGCATCAGGACTTGCTGGTTGGAGGGACTCTGAGTGGTCACCACCAGAAGGGGCTGGCTGGAATTCAGGGTCCCCGCCTGTCAGAGGGTAATCGTCTTCCTCCTGGTTATCAGGGTCAAAAGTGTTGTCTGGATATTCAAACTCAGCGTACTCAGGCGTGGTGGTGTCCTAGAGGCAGAAACCACGCAGGAGTCAGAGGAATTTTCTGCATATTGTCACAAAAAAACAACTCTCGACTGTAAAATGAAGTGAATAAAACAGAAAAACTCAATTACCAGGGAGAGGCCACGTCCTCCAGGTGGTACAGTAACAAGGAGGCCACCAATGGATGCGGGAACAATGTTTTCGAAGGAGTAACGGCTCCCAGTGTGGAAAAGCCAAACACCTGGAATACCTGTATTGCCAACCCTAAGAAAGAAAGCAGTCAGTGTGAGCACACAGTCCGGTCTGTGTCCAACCTCACAGGTTTATCAGCATTATTAATTACACCTGCTCTGTCAGAATGTCTACCTGGAGAAATTATTCTCAGGTGCAAAGCAATTAGCCTGGAGACAAAAGGGAATGTGAAAGGTTTTTTTTTTTTTAGAGAAGAGAGTAAACTTTAATATCCCAGAAGGGAAATTTATCTGAGGCGCAGCACTACAATCTATTGTGACACATAAAAAACATCAGAATACCACCGCCAAACCAACATGAAGCATTTTAAAACATTTGACTATACTTATCAATACTGACAATACAGCAGCTTAAAAAGAGTAGTACTGTAGCTTACTACTTTTATAGAAAAAGTTAAATACAGCTTTTTATGTCATATAATTAACATTCATTTTGAAACAAACCTTCATAAATGTAACTTACACAACAACAGTATTGTTCAGATATTGATGTTTTTCTGGCCATGTTGCTAGCCACTAGCACACAGCTAATTCTCAAATGGCTGTAAGGAGATTATTTGTGATGGTACCTTTTGGGTTTTTTACTTACTGATAGAGGTTTTTAACACTCTGCTCGTCGCTGGTAACGCTGTAGTGAGGTCCCTCAGTTCGGGAGAAGTACAGATAAGTGACTTCTCCTCTGCTGAATCCGACTCTAGCGGGCAGCTCGATCTCCACATTATAAGACTCCTACAAGCAGAAATAAATCAGAATACCATTTTCTAACTTAACTGGTGCATCTCTACAAGTGCTGCAGTGGTAAACATGTCCACGCTAATCGAGCCGTGAATTAAGGGCTTGTGTATAACCAGTTTACCTTGGGTCGGGTCCCAAAGAAGTTCAGGCCGCCTTCAGGGTAGAGGAAGAGAACGTACGAGTCGGTCTCATCATAACCAACTACTGCCTGGAACGTATTGACCTGTAGAGAGAGACCAGAGACAAACGTCAGGACAAATGCTAATAGTTATCACTTGTAATGGTCGTTCAAGTCAAAATATATAGGGGAAAAAAATAAAGAATGGAAAGGAAGAAAGGAAAGAATGCTTTTCTGAATGCTGCTACAATCGAACTTATTGATATTACTTCCTCCTGCCATAGTTTCTCCTTAGTGCTTGTAAGGGGAGGGTGAAGCCAGAGAGCTGCAATCTGCAGCTGCAGCGCTCGATGCCACTCAACCCTACACACTGGACCTTTAAATGGCTTCCTTAATGCGCTAACTGGATCTAAAAAGTTTAACTTACTCTTATATAAGTTCAGCAGCTTACTAGCGTAGTGTAGCATGAGAAAGTGTCTAATAATAATGTTCAGCTCTGCTCGTGTCAGAGGGATGAGGTCACCTCCTGTGTGTCAGTCAGCGCAGCTCAACCACCCTCAATTATTCTAACACTCACTCCTCATATTTAAACTTCACACCTCTCCTCTCTCCTCCTCCTCCTCCCTGTCTCCTCCTCTTCCTCTCTCAGTCTCTCGCTCTGCTGGGATTCATGTTTAGACTTCTCATCCTTCACACCCACCCTCCTCCTCCTCCTCCTCCTCCTCCTCCTCTGACCACCACCACCAGTTACTGACATACTGACCTGCGTATCTGTGTTTCCAAACATCTATTTAACACAAATTAGGTTGGAATAAATGAATTGAATCAGTGTGCGTTTGATGAATCGGCAGCCTTTTCTACCAGAAGATGACTTATTTCCTACATATATGCAGAGGCGTCCGGCCCACTCTGCCTCCCAAAACCACAGCCTCCCAAACACTGATTTGGTGACTGAAGGGAAGACTGTGAGTGATCCCATGTTGTTTTCCTTTGGGACAGAATCAGATAATCTGTACGCACACACACACAAACCTAGAAATGTACACACACACACACACACCTCGGCCTCTCAACCCCCAGCCCAGATGTTGATCTCCACAGCTGTCTTCCTGTGTGTCTGGACATCTTTCATGATGATGTTACAGCATTCAAACCAGACGTTGTTACAACGTGAGACATGGCGTGCACGCACATACACACACACTTACACGAGCACGCACACAAACACAGATGTCCCTCCACCTATATTCATCTCATGTGAATGTATGTGTGTGTTCCTAATTGTTTACATCAACATCTTTAAACTATCTTGTTGTTTGTGGGCGGGGAGGACTTTGTAGCCTCCAGGCTCTGTGTAATTAGTGAGGAGGGGGTCTGTCTTTTTTTTTTCTGTCTTCAGGGAAGGAGGAGAAGAAGCTGGAGCTACAAGAGGGGATCTGCTTTTTCTTTGTCCTTCATATCCCCTTCTAAATGTCTGTATTTTTCTCTCCCGCTACCCCTCCTTCTTCCTGGGAGGAGGGGGAGGAGGAGGAGGAGAGGGGAGAGAGAAGATGAGAAGCAAAAAAGGAGGAGGGGATAGAGGGAGAGAGGTTTAGACAGATAGAGAGATGAAAGGATGCAGGGGGTGGGCAGAGTTGGGAGAGAGGCCATGGGTTTGGTTTATAATGAGAGAAATATGGGGAAAAGAGGATGTTTACATCCAAACAGATATAAAAATTAAGTCAACAAATGACAATGTGAGTCAGTTTGTTTCCATCAAAATCTTAAATGTCTATTTACCATCTGTATGATGGGATTTACTGTGCACACATAAAATGGATTGTGTTTTTTTGTGGCTGCATAGTTGACTCCCATCAGCCTCAGCTGTGCTTAGTTTTTAATGCTAATTAGCAAATAGCAGCATGCTAACGCGCTAAACTGAGAAGGTGACCATAGTAAACATTATATCTGCATGTTAGTGGAGTCACAGTGAGCATGTTAGCTTTTAACTCAAAGCACTGTTTTGTACAGAGAGCCGCCAGCATTACTGTAGGTGAAAATAATACAAAAAGAAAATTAAACTTATGCAATTATGTTTCCATAATTCTTTCACACACGTTTATTTTATCAATATTAGTTTAATTAATCAATTGTTAGTTTATTCCTCCTTAGTAAAGCAAAAATAACAGTGTTAAGTTTTCTTTCCATTTAGCTTTTCTTACTCATAAATTAAAAATCTGCATTAAAACAGGTGGATGGAAACTCATTTAGAGACACGCTGAAGGAGAAAATAATAGTATGTTGTGTAGATTTGGTTGTTGAATGTTTGAGTTTCTCTCTGAGTTTCATCCTTTATATGCTGTTTTTCACAAATTGGCTACATGTGAAAATGCCACTGTGTCGTAGTTTGTTGAGGAAAAAGACGCTTCTTTGGAAACCGTGCACACATAAAGGCTGTATTCACCTTTCTATGCATTAGGGGAACAGTTTGACATTTTGGGAAAATCCGCTCATTCATCTTCTTGAAGAGACTGAAAAAGAAAATCTATCCGCTCTCATGTTTATACACCAATTACGAAGCTACATCCTGCAGGCGGTTTGCTTAGCATACAGACTGGAATCTATCCAACGGCATATGAGAATACAAGCTCCCAAAATGTCAAACTATTCCTTTAATTTGCGCTCTCTTCTCCTCCCCTCCTCTGTCTGTGTGGTCAGTTTGCTGTGTTTGAGTCTGTCTGAGTGTGTAAAGTACTCCTGGTGTGCTTTACAGACTCACAGCTGGAAGACAACAAATTGCAGCCAACACACATCAAAGACTTTCAGCCAGAGTGTAGCTCAGCATGTATGTGAGTGTGTGCTCCGACAATCCCCCCGCCACACACACACACACACACACACAAACAAACACACACACACACACACACACACACAAGCCTCGACCTCCCTACAGGCTATTTGTCACACCTTTTTTAAAGAGTGTCCTCACACTGACCAGACACACGCACTGACGTTAATCGTCTCCGGGACCAACAAATGTTTGTTGTTAGGGTCATCCTGACTGTTTAAGGTTTAGGTGGTAACATCATCAGTCTGCTACGTTTGTCTGCTGTACTGTGGGAGCGTTAGGAAGTCTGGAAACAGCCTAAATAAAAATACAGGAAGATACTTGAGGAGCAACCAAACACACTTAGTGTAACAAAGTCAGATTCAGGTGATCAGAAGGAAAAGCATTGAACTGAACTGAACTGAACTGAACACACTTCACTGTCCTGTGTGTGATTACAATTCCCAAAATCAATCATCTAGACTTAGAGTTTTATTTTGTTGTTGTTTAGCTTTTAAATCAATAGTTTGATATGTTGTTTATTCATGCTTACGTTCTTGCCAAGAAGGAAGTAGCTCTAAAGATAAGTAATTAATGCTTTATAAGTAATTTGTTACTACTGTTTTACTGTCGCCTCCACTTGGCAGCGATGACAAAACTCCAGGAAGTCACTGCACTCGGCCAAGAAATAAGTTGTGCATATAAACTCTCATAAGAGCACAACTTCCTTATTTCGTACACTTTTTGCATTGATTAAACAAATGAGATAAAATGTGTTAATTGGTGAGCTTTAAAGATTCTGGTAGCTACATTCAGTTATCGTTGGACAGAGCCGGGCTATCTGTTTCTCTTTTCTGTTCCCACTCTTTATGCTAAGCTAAGCTAACTGATCAACCTTCTCATATAACTCTCGACAAGAAGCACAAAAAGCGGATATTTCCCAAAATGTAAAAGTATTCCTTTAAATTCGTGAATTTAATGTTAAGTTCTGTAACCATGAAAGATGGTTGTGCTTTATTGTGGAAGCCAAGGTGACATTTTATGAATACAGCGTGGGTCTATAGACTCATAGTCAACCCTTAGTGAGCAAGCATGTAACTTGAATATACAACATAACAGGCCTCATTATACTTGCATACTCTATAGCAGCTGCAAACACACATCAGGTGTCAGTTTAGTCTCACCATATTTTACTTTAGTTTGGTTTTGTTTAGCATGTGTTTATTTATTGGGATGGTTTACTCTGCCTCTATATCGTTTAGTCTACTGCCTTAGATAACCCTTAGCTGAAGATACTTTAAACTGACTCTGCATCTTTTCCGTGTTTCGAATAAATGACTCAACACTCTGTCACAAATGTTCTGAAGCATGTTATAATTATCCATCGCTGGATCCCACTTTGGTTAGCCTGGAAACATCCCGAGGAAGAGAGAGACAGAGATAGAGTGAGGTCGGGATCAATCTACTACACTTGTTTGTTGGTTGCCGGCTTTTCAGCTCGTCGCCGCAGCACAGCTGCAAACAGGCAGCGAGGGGAGAGAGACAGAGAGCAGCTGCAGTCCAGTTGCCAGCCTCACCAGAGTGCTACAAACGGAACTGCCTACAGCGTGGGAACTGGCACACACACCACATACACACACACACACAGCCCAGGCTTGTGGCCAGGAACAGTGCAGTCAGTATTTCGCTGTTGTCGTATGAAAATCCCTGCTTGCACTCTTTTGGGTGACTTTCCTGTTATAACTTCAGCTGTACTAAAAAAGGATTCCCTGCTCTCCTAAAGCCTGAGGAAATTGTATAACTTCAGGGCTTCTGAAGACTTTTTCTAAACCTTTTTGATCAACTCAAGAGCACATGTTGGGTGAAAACCATAGCTGCTTTTCCTAGATCCTGAAAGGTTTGTGAACATGAACATCTTTCAACTACAAACAAGAGCTCTATGACTGTACTAGTAATTAGTAAAGCCGCCAAGATCCCAAGCTCCTCTAGTTGTAGTCGCTGTTGTATTTAAGTGGCTATAAATGAGCTTATGGTATAGACAAGCCCAATGGTCACTAATAAACTAATTCTGTCCCATGGCATGAGGACAGAATAACATATTATGAAAGCTGAAGTTCAGTAAGATTCCTTTGAACCAGGATGCACATATTTCACGGGATGCCCCCTGTGTCACTGCAAGGGGGCCCCCAGAAACAACAAATAACACTAACAGAAACAATAGTTCCTATTGTGCTGCAGAGAAAGAAGAAAGACAAGAGAAGAGGAGAGGGCAGAGGAAGATAGGCAAAGAGAGCAATATGAAAGCCGAGGCCTAAATCCAACAGAGGAGTCCATTTATTCATTCAGTCAGCCCCATCTGACCTCCGCACAGCAGACATGTTATATGCTGTTCAACCTACAACACTTTCCTTTTTTGCACATGTAGCTTTGAAGAGAGCTCGGGGGGGAAATGGTCCGCTGTGGTCGAATGTAAAATCACATTCCACTTCAAACTGCAGCTCGAATACAGTAACGCTCTCAGGAAGGGGACTGGAGGACAGAGATGTGCAATACTGTGTAAACTGAAAGGCTTTTTTTTTTACCACTTTGAGAAAACAGTAATTATGACGTGATAAAGGGGCATTTCACATAGTTAATATGTCTTTGACTAATATGTAATCTGCACAGTTTAAGCTAGTAGCCAGTTTCTTGCTGGTCCTGTGCAGCTCGAGTCCTGCCCCCAAACCTTGGAGTGGCTTTTGGCTAGCTGTTTCCCCCCATTTCCAGTCTTTATGCAAAGCTAAGCTACTCGTCTACTGACTCTAGCTTCATATTTGGCGTACAGACACGAGAGCTGTATTTATCTTCTCTTCTAAGTCTCAGCAACAAAGCAAATGAACTATTCCTTTAATATAAGCCGGCAACCTTCCATCCTGACGTTGAGACTGACTCAACTGTGATGCATTCAGCAGTTAAGAGGTTGACATTAATGGAAGATAAAGTGTGTAACAGCATCCACCAACATGGCAGGTGTCATTGTGTGAAAAAGGATTAGCAATGTGCTGCTCAAAGTAAAGCCCGGTCAACACGTCTTAAAGCATCAACATACAGAAGGCCAGATTCTCTGTGTAAATGGCTCTGGTCATTAGCAAAGTGGGCTGGATGGCAGTAGATACAACACAGTGTGTGTTTTAGGTTTCAAGTGAAGCAATTACTTTCCAATTATGATAATCGCCTCTTTAAGACTAATTTCATAGAAAACACCCCCCCACACACACACTTTTTTTTAGGGATGTGGACTTTCTCACCTCTATTTTCTTTTTTTTTCTTCTCTTGCTCTTCTCATCCCCACATCCGACCCCCCAAACACCACACAGTCTACCCCCTCCCCCAAAACACTAACCCCACCGCGCCACCCGCAATACACATCCCGACAAACACACACCTCAGGTTAATCAGTTCACACACACATACCACTCTACCCCCAACGCACCCCACCCAGCACCTCTGGCTAATCACTTCAAAGGAAGATGCTATCAGTCAGAAGAGAGACCCACTGAAGCAAATCCCACCTGGGACCCCGACTGCTCCAATCTGACAAGCCAGACAGACCCTCTAAATAAGAAAACAAACCCCCTCTTAGCACATGTAAAAACATTTTGCACTTTAAGAGGTGGACACCAGCCTGTAATCACAATTTGGTCAACAGTGGATGAAGACTCGGAGACTTCATTCGAATATTTGAGGCTCAGATGTAGAAGATGTAATCACTGATTTGTCCATTTGGCAGCAGCGCAATCAGAATGATCCAACGTAATGTCGCAAGAGGCTTAATGCTGCGTATGCCCATGGGACTTTTTGAATGTTTAGCTTTTGATTAATCAGGAAGAAAGCACGAGGAATAAAAGAAACCAGACCATGAGAGTAAAGAAAGAGGACAAACAGATGAGTGGGAGGGAGAGAGACAGAGAGAGATCTCCCGGGGTTTTTTCTTAAATCTGCCACTCCCTTCATCCCTCCATCCCACATGCTACGAACGAGGGACAACAAAGCACTGTTTGTTTGATCGATAACTTCAGTAGGTCTGGCTTTACTTGGAGTCTCTCCCAGAGGGAAACTTACACATAAAGCCTCTAGTGCTCCTCTAGGTGACACTTTATTTTAAAGAGCCAAAATGTCTTAATAACTTGGTAAACACTTCTAATTCCACTGACTTTAATTTACTTTACTTGATATTTAGAGGACTACTCTGACTGTGGAAACAGTTGTAAAGTGCCGTCTGTGGCTTTGGGCGAAGCTTTCTTAAATTTAAAAAAACAGCCCGGATGATGTCATAGCGACGTCATCAGGGTTGCATCGTCAGCTTGAGACTTTCAAGTTTTAACAAGTAGCCGGTATTACAAACTGGAGCTGTGCAGTTTGAAATATGTGGGTGTTTAAAAGGCAGGAAAGGTCTCATGCAAGACACTTTTGAACTGCATTATGGGAAATGTAGGATTTATTGTTTTTGAAACCATAAAAGAGGCTAAAGCTCAGGATATCTCTGCAGCCTCAGTTTTGATCATTCTTTTTAAATTGTGTCTGCCGTGGTGTGTGACCTCTCTTTATGGAAGTTAAGTACTAGATCACTGAAGTAACCCTTTAATTATCCAATTAAACGCCAGCATAACTCAAACATTCTTTTGGTCGGGTCACAGAGGGTCAGATAAACATGCAAAAATGTGACATTTGTCTACAAGGAAGCACACAACTCAACAAATACGGAGAGAGAAGTTTCTAGTTTGCAATAAGTGAATAATTAATGGATATTTACTTGGGTTTAAATGGAGCTTTAACATTCCTATTTTTCCATAATTGGTGCCCAATTACATGCTTCTTTCTAGGACAATTCCTAAGAAATTCCTAGAGAATTACGGCCGTGTGAAATAAAGTGTTATCCTACTCTAGAGGGCATGAGGCGTGACTCCCCAGGGTCGCGGGAGAATTGATGGGGTGGCGAGAGAGAAAGAGAGATTTGAGGCACGATACTTAACTCAACAAACAACAGGAAGTTTGTTTTTTATTTTATTAAACGGGAAGTTAGTTAGTTTGGCCCACTGATTTGGTCCACTTGCCAATATGGTCACAGCCAACAGTTGGAGCTGCAGCAGTGGAGGCGATTCAGGTAGTTTAACCCAATTGTCACAGTACATTTATTTTTTAGATTCAGTGTGACTTAAACTTCCTGAGGGCATTATTATCTCAGATATCCATCCTGAATAAACACAGAAATCCATCTGAGAATCAGCATGTTTTTAAGTTTTCTTCACTATCAAAGTAATCCAGTGATAGTTTTGTCAATGAGTTCACTACAAACAGGAACTGCTAATCGCTAATTCTGCATACTTTTAATGGTGCCAATTTGCTAAAATGTAAGCAAACAGACTAAAAAATAACAAGACTCCAGTTGTAGCCCACGACTGAATAACAGACTCTATGGAAACATTATACTTCCTGTTTACATCCCGCAAAGCCCCCAAACTTTAGTTTCAAAACTTAGAGCGTGATTATCCCCCAAAATCGAAGTAAGACAAGGAATACTAATAATAGGGAGTGTAAGAAACTTTGAATTATCGCTGGGCTGAAACTACTGGAGGCGAGCGCTTTAATGGTAAACCAAATTATTAACTGACTGACAAACTGGGAGGGAAGTAATGTCCAACAGGGCATGAACATGTTTGTGTCTACCTGTGTGTGAACTGGAGGAGGGGATAACGAGTGGGGAGGAAGGGCGGCACTTTGATGACCCTTAAAGATGACCTTTGACCCCTTGAAAAGGTTAAGAGGAAGATTAGGAGGGGAATGGGGATTACAAATAGACCCCCCACCCCAGGCTGATTATAAGTGATGCGCATCCTCCGGTAATTCGGCATTGTGTCTCTCAGAAGAACCCAAAACACACGAGTGAGGGATATGTGGGCTGTTTACACGGTGATGAAATGAACTCATTCATTCATAAATCAACACTAGTGCTCTCAATCCAGCCGTCTTACCTTGTTGGAAGGTCCAATGGTTCGAGTTGGTTCCTCATATGCCGCAACGTTCTCCCATGTAGCAACCACAGCATGTGTAGGTGTGAATTTTGCATCTGGGAACCCTCGATGTACTTCCTGGGTGAGCAGATGAATGAATGAATGAATGAATGACGGGGGGAAAAGACAATTGGAGAGATGGAGCGTAGAATGGACTAAACTAATGGATGATGAACTGAAAAAAGGAAAAATCCGGATCTGTAGTTCAGTACAGTGCAAAGAATATTCATCTCAAAAGTCTGTATCAATCTATAATCATACAAATGTAACTGATGCCGTTTGTTTCAATGGATAAACAGACCTGGGCCACTCTGTTGAGCACACTGGGCGTTTCGGTCACCCGGTAGTAAATCTGTCCTTGTCCTCCGCTGGTGTCAATGTCAGCCAGAAACGGGGCCACCACGGGGAAATCTGTGGGGAAGCCATCATCGACATATTGCTTTTCCATCGGCAGGTCCTGGGCTGAGACGATACCATTGGTAGCCACCTAGAGACAGAGAGAGCGACTAATTAACAATGATGGCACCAGCGGTTTAATGATGGCTACCAGCGGTGTTCCCAGAGGCCACCTCGGACCCATGAGTACTTCAAAACCAGTCATAAAACACCTAGAAGACACAACTAGAACACCATAATGAACCTGTGGAACCTCCTAATGAACCCACATCCCCTAATAAACCACTGGAACCTCCTTGAGCACTGATGGAACCCCCTCATAGACCCCATGAACCACATAATGAACCCCAAGACTCCCCTCATAAACCACTGGAACCTCCTAAAGGACCCCTGGGGGCCCGATCCCCATGAACCTTTAGAAACACATTCTGGTGACGTCCATGATGTGTATAATAAGTGTCATATATATTTATATATATTTACTCAAGCACTGTACTTAAGTACATTAAGTATACATTTTTGAGGTACTTTGAACTACAACATTGAAATGCTGCTAACATGTTAATGCATTAGTAATAATATTATAATGTAATATGTAACAATATATCACTGACAGAGCCTATTCTGCTCCTTAATGAGTTACTTTTGATAATTTAGTTACATTTTACGAACAATACTTCTGTATACATCTCTTTACTTACATTTCTGGATGCAGGATATTTACTTGTAATGGAGTATTTGTACATTGTACTTAAGTAAATTATAGAAATACTTCTTTCACCACTAAGTAAGTCATTTAATTGTATGTTAATGCATCAACAATAATGATCCAACTAAGAGTAGCAGAAGTATTCAGATCTTTAACTTAAGTGAGAGTAGAAATACAACAGTGTAGAAGTAAAAGCTTTATGATTACTAGTGTCTTAAAGTACTCATTATTGGATTGGCCCATTTTATATTCATTATTGTATTACAACTATGGATGCAGCTGGTAAAGGCGGAGCTACTTTTACTTACTTTACTGACTGCAGAGTTGCATAATGCACAAATATTACATCATCATTTATTACGTATATAATAATATTTTGTCTTAATAAATTGACTCTGCAAGGTTGCTAGTAACTTAAGTTAAATGTGCAATATTTCACATGTTTTACAATATTTATGAATTGGAGCAGAAAACGGGACTGCTCAAGAAACGTACCTCAAAACAGAATTTAAGTTCGCATTATATTGCATAATAGCATAATGAGTACTTGTACTTTTACTTGTAGTCTTATAGTGTTGTAATGCTACTTTTACCTTTAAGTAAATTATACAAATACAAACTCCACCCCTGGGTTTATAAAAGTTAATTGAACTTTTATAATAGTTGTTTCCAGCACAATTGATCATTATTATTATTAACAATAATAATAATCATAAATGTGTGGTCACTTCACACGATTGCACTCTCTTAACTTCCCATTCAAACATGTGAATACCTCCACCAGCGCTCTCGGTGTGCTCATCCTACAGCTGCAAACATCACCTGCAATATGTTGAGCTTTAGAGCAGAGTATAACAGCCAAGCAACGCGCATGCACATGAGTGTTAATGAAGCTGTACTTACATAAAGCTGGGAGAACTGGGAGTCGTAGAAGTATAAGGGTTTGGGCAGGGACAGCACTTTGGAGGTTTCATCGTCGCCCTCTGCCAGAACCAAATCTCCACTCAAAGTGCCATAAGGAAACATCTCAGCCCTCTGGATGGCTGTAACCACACACACACCGCAGCTCCAGCAGAGCACACACACGGCCAGCATTGCCCCTCTCTCCATGGTAGAGCTGAGGGTGAGTGAGCAGCTCTGCGCTATGAGAGGGAGCAGCGGGGGAGAGGTACAGATGGACTGAGAGGGAGCAGCAGAAAGAAGGGGAACTCTCCTCCTCACCACCGAGCCTCTGATACTCTGCAGGGAGGGAGGGAGGGAGGGAGGGAGGAGTTTGGGCCCGCTCTCATTGGTCGGAGGCGGGTTGAGTGACGGCAGGCCGGTGCTGGAGGTAACATCTGGCTCGTATTAGAGAAAAGGCAAATAGAGCGTTTTTAATCCGGATGTAACTCTATCTGTTTCACAACAATGAAAAAAAAAAAAAGAAAAGAAAAAGACATTGTGTAATTTTTACACACACACACACACACACACACACACACACACACGAGAAAACCAATTTAAATTTTTAAATCGGTTTGAATTTCATTTAAAGACATTAACAAGGTTGAAGTGTCAGTGGAAACGCATAGGGACTATATACATATATTTATTCTTAAAACAAACTATATAATGATCCCTTAGATCCAGATTCAAGTCTAAAGATTAATATCTGCAGTAAATAGTATTTCTCTGTATTTTTTCCTTTGAAGTCACTTCAATCATACAATTTACTATATTTTAATTTTTATTTAAATTTAATGTATTTTTTACTAAGTTATTCACTAATTGAAGGCCAGGGATGCAACCTTAAAATACTTAACCTTGTGCACCACCTAGTGGCTGCAACAGCACATTGCAGCATACAGCATGTACAGTGTACTCCATAATATTGGATATGAAACTATTAGTCAATTAATTAAAAAAATGATTTGCAGCTAAATAATTTCAGAGATTTATTGAGGTCTACTTTCAGCTTCTTAAACATGATGATCTGCTGCTTTTCTCTTATTTAGTATGATTGTAAATTATATATCTTTGGTGTTCGGACTGTTGAACAGACAAACAAGAACCTTTTATAGAATAAGTCCAAACATTTTATTTATATAGCCCAAAAATAACATTGATTTGCCCCACAGGGCTGTAAAATCTGTACAGCATAGGACACCCTCAGACCACTGATACAGATCAGGAGAAACTCCCCAAAAACCTGCTAACAGGGAAAAAAGAAACCTCAGGAAGAGCAACAGAGGAGGGATCCTCTTCCAGCATGGACAGACGGGCACTAGATACTGTGTGCACAAAATAAACAGGACAATTAGATTATAATAATAATAATAATAATAATAATAATAATAATAGGTAGGTGGATTGTCAGCATAAAGGAAGAATATAATGCAAAAGGATATCGAGCAACCACCGGACCGGACCGGACCTCCACTGTGGAGACCTGGACAGAGGACAGACTGCACAAATACACAAGAGGCGATACTGAAGCACACGACTCAGACAGATTGAGATAAGAGGGGAGGCTCAGTCTCTGGAGGACGAGGATCCAGATCCAAACATCTGGAATGAGGTACTGACTGCCAGAGGGGGAGAGAGAGAGGTCCCATGGTCTGTACTGTACTGGTACTGTACTGAGAGGACGTGTTTAATCTGTAATGAGAACAATTGTTAGTTGCAGCCCTGTTTGAACTGTGTACAACTTTAAAGGTCAATGCAGTGAGTCAATTATCCCACACACACAGACAGGATAACCCAGAGGAATGTGTTTGAACCACGTCAGTCAAATGGTATCAGTCCAGCTGAGCATGTGTTTCACTTGAAGACCAGACTGAGAGCAGAAAGCCCACCTGGATCTAGTACAGGCCTGGCTGAGCATTAAATCATATATAAAGTGTCTGGGAAGTATTTACACCTTCACATTTTGCACACTTTATGGGGTTAATCTAAAAATGTCACTATGGTAATTCATTAAACAGAAACAAAGACACGTTTCACATCCCTGTATCCTTCGATGTGTGTGTTCTTCATTCCTCCTGGCAGAGCCTATCAAGCTCATCAGATTGGATGGGGAGGTGAGCTGTGGAGCTGCTATCTTTCAGTCCTTAGATGTTTGCTGGAGTTCAGGTTTTAGCGGGACCATTCAAGGCTACCACTCCAGGTGATGAGCAGTACCTGGATCACATCAGAGGATCGTCTTTTGGGTTCCCTCTGTTAAACTGAAGGCGTGTCGTCATTCGCCTTTCACTCTGGTGAGACTTCTCTCTACAAAAGGCTACGATTTATGGAGAAATCTTCGAGTTCCCTGTAGCAGGTTCTCCTTCCTGTTTCTGTGCAGAGGCTCTGTTACAGTGGCTGCTGGGTTCCTGCTCTTCCTGCAGGGTTACTGGCTCTCTGTGGTTCACAATGAGGGAGCCCACTGTGCCCCTGGGAACATTCAAGGCAATACGAAAGAGTTTAAACTCTGTGCTTTAATACAAGTTGATTGCAGACCTTATAGAAAACAGGGGTGTGCCTTTTCTTAATCATGTCTAATCAACTGAATTTGGTACAGGTGGACATCCATGGATGTGTATTGTTTTTTTTTTTTTAAACCAAGGCACTGTAATAGAAAAATGCCTTTGAGTTGATTACAGTTTTTCTCAATTGTTAACACACAAATACTGGTACTTGAGACACAATGACCACAACATGTAACTCATGCACCAACCCCCTGAACCAATTCTGCTAAACTACAAGCACAATTCCTGCTTTACACTCAAACTGCAATTCTAAAACACACTTTTTTCAAAACACTACTCACAATTCTCTGCATTTGGCACAATTTTCATGAAGAAAATATCTTGTTTTCACAAGGAACACACTGTCATTCAAAATTCAAAAAAGTGAATTGCCCTACTATGCACACTGACTCATCACATGGGCAAACACCTGTCACACAGTTTTACAATTAGCAACCAGAGCTTTAGCATAAAAGGGCAACAGGTTAGGGTTAGATATAGCAGTTGATGCTTTTCATGGCTGGATTCGCCCTGCTAGGCGATATTTCCCCCGCTGCTTGGCCCGGGAAAACATTGCTTGTGATGTGGATGAGGTAATGTGGCCGGACCGAAACAGAAGAGAGGATGCAGCATAGTTTTTTTTTTTGTTTGTTTTTTTACTGTAACTGTATACAGTAAATTCTTCTGTTGTTTTGTATGTAGACCACTGTATGTGCAACTTTGTGTTGTTTGGGATGTTCACTGTGTACATTGTTTTTGTGGGAAAAATAAAATATATTTGTTACAGTGTATTTGTGTGTTCAGAGTATAAAAACAATATTCTCAAATATTTTACAACACACTTATGTATGTACTGTCTGTAGTAAGTGTAACACTGAACAAAAAAAAAGCCTAAGTCATTATGATGAATGGGGAAGAAGTGTTTTCCATTCATCAGTGTTTTACATTGAGCACATCAGTGTTCAACTGGTTCTTATAAATGTCTATTCATATGATGGTTTGTGTGTGTCATCTGAAAACAAAATACCATTTTGAGAAGAAATAACATTGTGTGAATGTAAAGTTTCATTTTGCAGGAGAATTGAGGGGTTTTGCCCATTGTGTGTGTGTTTTTTGATTTGTGTGTAGAGTTCTGAGAGTACCAGGCATGCTTTCAGAAAATGTGTGTAAACAATCGAGAAAAAACTGTAATCGATCCTGTTCGATTAGTTAATGCTTGTAGTTACCCAGAGCAACCTGTAGGTGGAGGCAGAGGCAAGGCTGAGATAATGAACCACACAGAGCATGGCAACAATGTGTGTGAGAACTATAATGTATGTTTTACTTTGTATATGTGAAAACATATGTGATAAACATATGTGATAGTCTGCAGTCTGTATTCAATGATCTAAATCTGTATTAACATTCAGGCAGAATACCCAAACACCCCTAATGTAATCTGATTACATGTTTACATTTGGACTTTTCTTCTCTGAGGATGTTTTCCAGTCTTGCAGTGTGTAATTACAGGCTGCTGACTGACTGACCGCCTTCATTTGTGACATCAGATATTCACCAGAATCAATGAACTCATCAATGATTCAGACAGGGACCATTAGCAGGCCGTAGCGCGCGCACACACACACACACACACACACACACACACACACACACACACACACACACACACACACACACACACACACACTAGTGTATTGTGTTGACATACAGGTGTGACGTAAGCAATGAAGCCTCGCAGTGGGACGCACAGAGAGACGTACGGCAAAGACTGTTCACCAGCAAAGCGGACCAGCGGATTTGTGGATTAAGACCTTGATCAATAGTTCAATTGCTTCTAAATAAAGAGCACGACAGTGAGGATCACTGCTTGAGATACCCACCCTAGTATCTCCTCTCAGTGTCTGTGGTGGAGCTCCAAAAAACTCTCAGCAGAGACTTTATCTTATTGATTTTGTATTGGATAGATGGAGAGGAGAGGAGGGTAAAGGAAAGACTATGGAAAGAAAGGAGGGGAATGGTGGGAAATGAAAGAAAAGACAAAGGAAAAAAAGGAAAAGAAAGGAAAAAATTAGATGAAAAGAAAGGAAGGAAAACAACAGATGAAAAAAAGGGGGAAAAATCACAAAAGGGAAAGGAAAATAGGGAAAGAAAGGAAATTAAGGGAAAGAAAGGGGAAGCAAGGGAGAGAAAAGGGAAGTAGGAAATGGCAGGAAATTAAAGAAAGGACAATGGAAAGGAAAGAAAATGAAAGGAAAGGAAAGGAAATTAAAGGGAAGCAACAGAGGAAACAAAGGAAAACAAAGTAAATAACAGGAATTTAAAGGAAGGACAAAGTAAAGGAAAAGAAAGGAAAATATAGGAAATTAAAGGACAAAGGAAATGGAAGAAATGTAAAGGGAAAGGAAGGGAACAGAAAGGAAAGAAAGAGAAAAGGGAAACAAAAGAGAGAAGAGAGGAAGGGGAGGAAAGGTATTTTGGTGTCACTAAGGGCAGAGGACAAGGTAAAAGAGGCCTCTGCTGCGTGAGGAAACAAAAATAGAGCGGATAGGAGGGTAAAACGAGACAGAGAGAGGAATGAACGGAGAGAATGCAAAGACAAAGAGAAAGAAAGAGAAACAACAGACAGACAAAGATAAAAAGAAACATAGAGGCAGGAAGTGCATCCTGTGTTTGATGGGTGCTGTCAAAACTAAACGTAAAATGTTTGCTTACTCACGCCACAACATCACAACACTTCATCAGCTGAAGCACTCCAGCAAAGCTCCCATCTGGAGAGAAGAAGAGGAGAGAGACGGAGTGAGGGAGGAAGCAGCGTAAGCGCCAATATGTCACAATTAAGAACCCGTTAATGGCCCCGAATAGAAGCACTCAAGCGCCGTCATTTCAGGGCTTTCAGCATCCTGTTTGGCATTTAATCTTCTCCTAAAATGAGTGAAAAAGTGTGATTAGAATAACATTTGAATGAATTATGGAATATTTGAAAGCTATTTTATTCCTTTATGTCTCATCCTCTCTGCACAAAATCATCCGTGTCCACCTTAAAACATGTTTAAAAAGCCCGGCACATGGCAAATTGTTCCGGTAATTTATTATTCATTCATTCATTCATCGTCTACCGTCTTAGGGTCAGAGGGGAATGAGATGGGGTTGAAGGCAACGAGACACGCCGGATATGTCACCAGTTCATGACGTCCACAGATAGAAAGACAAACAACAACCCGATGGGAAATCAAGGTCTCAGATCCAGGGAGGAAACCCAGGAGAACATACAATCTCCACACTGAAAGACACACAGGAAACCAAACACACATCTTTCACGCTTGGATACTTTGAATGTTTTGGTGTTTGAGTCATTGGGGGAAGACACACACACACATATGTCCACCCACACACAGACACAGAGGGCAGCATCATATTCCCCAGAATATCACATTACACACAGAAAGCAGTTTCTACATTATGATGGTTTTCCTCTTGTTATTTTTGGAGCCATGTTATCTGCAGGCCATGACTTCTGCACAGCGCCGTGTGTGTTTGGGATTATTTAGAGAAACATTGATTCAGAGACTGAAAAAGGATTTTTTTTTCTTTCATGCTATGCAAATTGTCTCCCTCACTGCATCACTTTGTGTGTGTGCGGCACAATTCAAGGCCGAGGTGATCCTCTGAATGATCCATTAATACACAGTGACAATTTATAGTTCTGTAAATGTCAAAATCATCAGTCTGTTCTTGTTTGTATGGATTACTGTGTAAAATAATTACATTAGTGCCGAGACAATTAGTCGTAATTTGGATTTTCGATGAACCCTTCATGTTATTAAGCAAGAAAAATCAAACATTTCCAGTTCTCCTGTGGTAGGATGCTGTTTTCTATCAATTTAAAAATAGTATTTTAGGATTTTGGACTATTTTCTTTCCACACACTGAATGATTTATCTAAAAAAATAATCTACAAATTTAAACTATGGTTAAAATAATTGTTTTGTGACTGCAACATTGCAAAAAAATTATGTATGTATGTAATTCAAAGCAAGTTTTCCAACACATTATATTCAATATCAAACATTAATATATAATTCTCTACATTTACAGACAGGTTGCACCCTGGAGCATTTCCAGCTCCACATTGAACTGAATGGGATTTTCTGGTAGCTTTTGAAGGTGAGGCGTGTGGCTGTTCAGCTCCAGCCTGTATGAAAAACTGGGAGGGGGTGGGTCTCTGAGTGACGTCACCGCATCAGTCCCTTGTACCCCGGGTCCATTCATGCCCGCCTCATCATAGTGCCGCGCGCCTCGACCTCTCCACACCTCACCGTTTGAATCCAGAGCCGCTGGAGTCGGGACGTATTTCTGTTACTGTGTCTGGACTGTAAAACACGGAATTTAAAAAAAAGGTCCACACTGCGGGGAGCAAGTTGTTACAATAGGTGAGGAACTTCATTATTTGGATGCGTTTTAGTCCACGCGGATGTGACACAAGTTGCCTCGCGCTGTCTTTCTCATTCGGGGCGACTTTAAAACAAAACTTCATGGAGAAAAAGTGTAAAATGGTCCTTTCTGTTTCAAAAGAACGATGCTGCCAGAGCTCGGCTGGAGTAATGTATGTTTCTAATTTATCTTCAATTCGGCACATATTAAATAAATGCAGCAGCTTGTTTTCACCAAATAAATTCAAACTTTAACTAGTTCCTGCTGTCAGTCGGCACGTTGTGTGTGCGGTACACACTCATGTTGCATTAACAGTAGACCTGACTCGTTCATTAATACTGAAGTTGTGTTCTGTGCCTACAATCAAAGAAACCGTGTCATTATTTAAAGTAATTATTCTTCTCACATGTCTGCTTTTACAGTGTTATCCAGCTTATATCGCAAGTGACACAAAATCTGCGTTCAGACTCTACAGCAGAGCGCTCCGCGAACACCTGGACACATCTGTCAGAGCGCTGGTCCGCGCTTAGGGGCACGCACCTTTTCACAGTTGTTAAGGGCTTTTCTGGCGGATTCAGGGACATCTGGAGCCCTAAAATTCAAACAGGCATCACCAGAGGCGGGGTGGGGGGACACGTCGAGCATTGGACAGGACAAGTAGGTGAGTCAGTGATCTGGCCGTTATACACCCAGTGAAAGTGAAGGCACGCTCATGCAAGTCATACAAGTGGAAGAGATGTGTAATATTAAGTCTGCTTTTATTTACTAAATAGAGAAACACTCACAGAGGACAACTTGTCAGCTGATGTGTGTTAACTGGTGAGACAGAAGGGGAACAAACTGGAGCAGAGTTCAAACCCTGGCTTTTTAATGCAAAATGTGTCTTCTTATGAGAGGAAAAAAAACTGTTCTCTCCTTTGTGTGTACGTGTGGGGTCACTAAAGTTATACAAAGACTCGAAAACATGAAATTAAAGTGGTGTGTATACTCAAAAGTGTTGACATTCAGTCAAAACAGTGTCTGACAGTAGGGAAGAAGGATGTTTACTATCCTTTACAAATGATTCAGGATCTCCTCGAGTCAGTAAACAAATGTTTGGGCCAGTTAGTGTAGTGGTGAAAATGCTGGAACGTATCCCTCCTTTATAGCCTTCCCTACAAGTTGGTTCAAGGCATTAAAATCTCCCAACAAATATGAAAATGATTGAGCTGCTTAAATGTTTCTCTTCTAAAACTTTGATAATCGCACAAATCGGCTGCAAGTAAAGAGTTTCATTTTGTTTTCTCAATTGTTTGAGGTGAATAAAAAAGCCAGAAAAAACTGAATCAATGGCTTTGCGACAGCTCAAGGTAATGTATTGTTGTTTGATTTGACCAAAACCCAAAGTTTATTATCATATACGATAAAGAAAAGCATAAAATCCTCACATTTTAGAAGCTGAAATCAGCAGATGTTGGACTTTTTTTACTGGATATGTTTGATCAAAATGTTATCAAAACTAATCAATGAAGCTCTAAATCTCACACATATTCTTTCATCCTGTCTGTTTAACCAGGATGGCTGCAGGCAACTTCTTGAGGACACATTATTGACACTTTTTTTTTTCTATTTCCTAATTAAAACCAGCAATTTTTCAGCCATGACGAATCTAACTCACGACAAGTGCCACACCCAACCGCACAACAACTCCAACGAGAGCCCAGTGATCAGCGCCATAATGTTCGCCTTTGGCATCCTTGGCAACGTGGCTGCCTTGGTGATCCTGGAAATCCGGCGGCGTAGAGACACAAGGACCGGGGATATGGGGCGGCGTTCGTTGTTTCAGGTCCTCATCACGTCGCTGGTGGTCACGGACCTGGCAGGCACCTGTCTGATCAGTCCGTTGGTGCAGATATCGTACGCGACTAACACCAGCTTGGTGGGGATGTCTGACAATCACAGTGTGTGTAGTTACTTTGGCGTCAGCATGACCTTCTTCAGCCTGGCCACCATGTCGCTGCTCTTGACCATGGCCCTAGAGAGAGGCTTCGCCATCGGCCACCCCTACCTGTACAGCCGACACGTCACCAAGAAATGTGCCTACATCACAATCCCGCTGGTGTTTTTGTTATGTACGCTATTCTGTCTTCTCCCTTCTGCGGGATTTGGTACGTATGTACAATACTGCCCCGGCACATGGTGCTTCATTGACATGAACCCAAAGGGAAAGGAGGACCGGGCCTACGCCAACCTGTACGCCTCTGTCATGCTGGTGCTGGTGCTGGCGATCGTGGCGTGCAACGGCTTTGTGGTGTACCAGCTGTACAAGATGTACCAACGTAGGAGGAGGAACGGTGGCTCAGTCATGGGGCCCGCCAGATCCAACAGCGAACGAAGGCATATGTCCATGGCTGAGGAGGTGGAACATCTTATCCTGCTGGTCTTCATGACCATCATCTTCATCATCTGCACGATGCCCCTGGTGGTAAGATGACGGCACATAACTCACATGCTTTAGATGTAAAAGTACACACACGTACAGTTTTAGGCGAGTAAAGCTGACAGCCAGTTGACCTTTGACTCTGAGGTGAATTCACTCTGTAATACTGACTTAGTTCGGGTTAAGTTGATTATAAAGCTCCATCCACCCTCACCACAGCTACCCAAAGAAATGTATCAGGAAAACACATATGTTAATCTTCAGCATAAAAGGCTGGTTCTGGATCAACTAACAAGTAAACAGCTGTTATTTCAATGTGTCAGATACATATTTGATCAACATTTAGGTCAATATAAGTATCGATTGGCCTCATTATCAGCAGATGGGGAAGACAATGTGATCGGGTCATGAACAATTAGTGCTTTCTTTGAGCAACAAGGTGCTAAGGTAGGATGTTACTCACCAAATTAGTAAGTCAGTAGTTGGGTGAGAGTATTGGTGCTTTTGGTCAAAGCCTCATGCAGCCATTAAGACCAGGAAAAAACATTTAAGTTCATGACACAAGCAACATTAAGAACGAATGCATGTTTTGTTGTGTGTGGAATCTTGTTTTCACTTTTTCAAAAGATAAAACCGCTCTGTGGTTATAAGCTGCATGCCTGCCAGCCAAGATATATATCAAGATATCCTCGCGTGCAGACACAATACGTGCGATCTGATGCATATCTGTGTGTCAATCGGCATTTATAGCATGTTGTGAGCAGGCAGCTCACAATAGACCGTTGTTATGATACTAAGCTGTAAAGAGGAAACACTTCATTTACAGCACATCTCACTCATCAGATAAACAGGTATGAATATGAGATGTATAGATATCATTTCAGTGTTTTGGCAGATGAACAGTGTCTTGTTAAATTTATATCAAAATGCATATATATGTTTTCAGTTCTGTGCGTTTGAAGGAAAATATAAATCACCATTTTAAGGTGCCATTTCTCTGGGGTTTGTATAAGAATATGCTGATTCTGGTGTAGAATCACTAGAATCATTGTAGTGGAGGCAGTTAAGGGAGCTATGTTAGCATCATTAGCAGGGAAGACGGAAGAAGTGTTTCAAAGGAAACTATTATTAGCTTTAAATTATGTTATTCCATACATTAACACACGTCGACAATTTAGATTTTAGTTTGAGAGAATTGTGCTTTGCATGGAACTAAAAGTCTCAATTACGGCTGCAGCTTTTGTCTATAAAGTGTCAAAAAATTGTGACAAAAACCCCTTTTATAATTTACCAGAGCTCAATTGCTAACTGCGAATAGCCTATTTTGTCCGACCAACAGTCCAGAACCCCAAAATATTTAATTAACTGTTTTAATGACGAAGCCAAACAACAAATCAAACACATTTGAGAAGCTGGAACCAGGAAATGTTTGGTATTTTAGTTTAAACAATATCTGAAACGATTATTTAATTATCCAAATAGTTGCAGGTGAATTAATCAATAAATCTACTAATCATTTCTGCTCTAGTCTCAATACCTTTTGCAAGGCAGTGTTCAGATTATACCTTTTTATAATTATGGTGAAAGTACACAGTCCAGTGGAAAACCCACCATGCAAACAGTAGAATTTACATAGAGTAAACTGTGTCACAGACCTTTTTCACAGCAGCCATTTTGACATTAAATCATAGGGTAAACCCAGGTGTCAACAATGATACTAAGTAAGGTTCTGCTCCATTCAGGTCAAACGGAGTCAGAGTGCTACTACTGTGCATGCTGGCTCGCTGGAAAGGCTCTGCACTAAATGGAACTGAGCCTTAATTGTGTCTTTAGGAAGTAATTTGGACAGATACCATAATGAGAAGATAAGAAGCTGTAATTCTACATTTGGTCTCAAATCTAACAACAAAAAAAACGTCTGTGATTGATGACTAATTGGGAGATGGACCTAATAATCATTTATCACGACGGACCGCAATAACATTTTAATAGGATCGACCCCATCACAGCAGAACAGCCTCTGAAACATGGTGTCCTGCACATTAATGAATTACACACAAGGGATGTATAAAGCGATAACAAACGCTAGCAGCAGCCGGGACAAGTTACTTTTTTGATGTGTGCTGGTTGCTGTTGGTTACCATGCACTGGCCGTGAGCCAAAAAAAGTTAAAGATAAATATTTAAGACAAGATTCTGATTAGCTGGCACAAAACTTTAAAGTTGTAATTTCAGTCAACTTTGACATATTTCAGATTACAGTATGGAGGGATGAATCAGAGTACAAATTTAACCCAAATGGCTCATTATCCAAACTATTAGCCATTAGCCCGTCTCAGTCGGGCCCCAGGGCAATCTGTTTGTAACCACCTCAGTTCTCAAAGTATCACTCTGGATTTCAAATGGAAAATCAATAACTTTCCCAGCAGTATATGATGCTGTGCACTTTATTGCAGACAACAGTAATGGGCCAATGTGCCATATTGTGCGCTGCTGCAGTCTTCGTCTCTGCAACGACTGGCGAATTCTGCATCATACTTAATTTAACAGCATCCACCACATCACAGTGACAGACCCCATGAAGACAGAAGCAATTGTATGAGCTCTGTGTTCTCACCACGTCGAGTCTGCTTGAACAGCAGCCATTTAGATCAAGTACATCGAGTGTATTTTGCTTTATATATTCCTTTAACCCAAGATAAAGCTAAAGCTGCAAAATAAAAATAAAAAACTGTATATGAAGGGGGCACGGTCTGTATCACAGAAGGGAGTGCATGAAGATGAAAATGGGTTCACAAAACCCCTCAAAGTCATTTAAATCTAAGTAGCATAATCAGATACTGTCTGTTGTATGTATGTCAGGGTCAGTGGTACTTCACCGTGTAATTAACTCAACATTAAAGCCACCACCGCCTCGGAAAACAGGCATATCCACAGGGCGTTTACAGTAAACTTATCATAAAGTGATCGTTTGAGAAGCATCACATTATTTGTGTCTATTTAAATGTGATGATTTATTGAACTGCCCTCCACTGTGCACCGTGTACCGGCTGTAGACCACTGTAGGCAGGTAAAGGTCACTGGTATCAGCTTCCGTCATTGGCCGTCTTCACTGCCTCATCAGGAGGGTGATGAAATAAATAACTTGAGTACAGTGAGGTTAGACAAGGACAGACAGAAAGGAGGCAGCGGGAGAGGAGAAGAGGAGATTGAAAGAGAGATAAACAGATTATGTCACAGCAGATACTCTCACCTCTCAAACTCAACCTCAAACTGAAGGCCTAAAATATATCCGTATATATATCTTTAGTGTTTGTGTTGACTTGTGTTACTTCCACTTCTGAGTGTCCACTTTACAAGTCCAAATCAAACGTAATACCTTGACGTGTTCTCCCAGATATTTAATGTTGCCATGGGAAGTGACAGCCAATGCAATGGAGCTGGGAAAAATGCATGTCTCCTAGCAACACCAGCCTTCAAATATCAGTCAACCGCTGCCATCGGAAACACCCACTCAAGAGAGTTGAAGCATACACATTGCTTCAAATTGAGACATGGTTTTATCTCCTTTTAAAATGAAAATGAAAATATACACAAAACATCTGCAGCTTTACTAGAATTCACAGTTCAGTTTGACTTTAAAAAGTAATAATCAATATCAGTGTGCATTTTCTGGATTATTAACTAACTAAGAGTGACACTTACATGCTGATATATATTTTTAGAACATCCATTTGAGTCCACGTTAAGTAGAAATTGGGTTGGTGTCGCAAATTCTTCTTTAGTTTTGTTGAATTAAACTTCAGCATAGAAAAGGTCTTCGTTCCACCCACTGATTACAGTCAGTGCATTAGCCGTTTTGTTCATTAGGCTGTGTATCTGCATCATCATGTCTGTTGTGTCCAGCTATTAGCCTGTCTTACCTTTATCAGATATCCAGCAACAGCCACCAGACCTTTCACCACTGCAGGCAGAGGTCATCATAACATTAATGTCAGCCATATATGATGAATTCTTCTTGTAATGGGAGTTCTGTGTCATACATACTAGTGAATCACTTACCTGTGGCTGTCGCATTCATCTCTCCTCTCCTCATATTTCTGCAGAATGGCCACATTAACTTATTGGTAGACATTCCCATTTGTTGCCCTGCAGGAAGATGTAGAAAACCTTTTACCATATTTCATTCAAAGCGCGCACTTAGTGATTGTGCCGAGGGGAGGGTTGGTCTCTCATTTTAAAAACAGCCACCCTCACGTTGAATTTCCTTTCCCATTCCTTTCTTTAACATCTAAAATGAAGATAAAAATGTCTTATCCACTGATGGCAACCATCGTACATTTGCAGTGTTTAGCTGGTGGTCTGTCCATAATGAGTTCTGGTGCCTGAGCAGAGCATTATATAGGACCTCAGTGGCCTCTTAGAAGATGTTTTTATAGAAGAGATGTCTGTAATTTGAGACATTTGCTGTGTTGATGTGGATAAAGCTGTGAGCTGTTGCATAGACAAAAGGAATGTGCTGCTGTATAGATTTGGATGGTTGCAGAAATTGTGGTAAGCTAATGAATGAGATGTCTTTGAGATGGCATTACTGGAGTTACCATGAGTAAATAAATGATTGAACCATGAACACATGCTAATGTGTGTTTGCCAAAAGGGTTGAGGCAGCAGTAGATACTTGTTGTGCAAAGATTTTTTTTCTGTCTTTCCAAAATCAAAGACACACATTATAATCAATAAATTAAGCTTCTTCTAACATGCAGTGGTAGAATGGGAAGCTAGACAAGCGTAGCAACAGCAACTCTGTATTAGAGATTTTAAAGCTGTTTTATATCCGCTTTGTGGTTGCACGCTTCCCAAAACTACACATTCAAAGGCTAAACAATAATACAAATGCATAATTCATCATGTGCTGTATATATACACTCGAGGGTGTCCAGCCAGCAATGTGATACCACAGTCTGAGGTCAGGCTATCACACACAGGCACACACAGATCATATTGCATTTTTCTGTGGGATGAAACTGTGCGCTGATGATGTGTTTGTGTGTGTGCCCTGTGCCTCCAGTTTTCTGTGATTGCATTAAAATTTGAAAAGGCCAGACCATATCCCTTTGGCACAGGAAGAGAAGCATTGATGAAGAGGTAGACATAGAGTAGGAAAGACTGAAAACATGAAATTATAATAGAGCAATGGGATTTGAATGGTGCTGTTGTTCCAGATACATAACTTTTGGGGATATTTTTTCACTTCAGTCGATAAGTTGTTCAAGTTGAACCTCATAACTTCATACACCAACTTTTCACCAGATAATGGCATGCATCTTTGAAATGAGATACTATAGTTTCTCACATTGACAATCAAATAAAGAAGATTAGCACACAGATGATCAACACAATAACAAACTTTGTTGATCAGGCGATGGCGTTTTGTTCTCTGAGCATCAACCCCTTGCAGACACTTCACAATAACACTTATATTGCGCAGCCCGTTGGTGCTGAGAGAGAAGAAGAAAATTGGCTCACAGTGTGAGTTGGATTTCACAGCTGTGCTTGAATGTAAAAAAAAAAATCTGTCTCCACACGCACACACAAGCCTTCGCCTACTCTGTTTTTGTCTCAGACACATGGCAAGGCCTGTCACTAATCACAGTAATGACCACATGTGGTTTAGTTTAAAATTATATTGGAATAAGCATGAAGTTCTTCACCTAAAGAAAAAAAAGACCTCCTTCATCACTCATTCCAAAGTTGTTTGAGCTTTTACATCTTTTTTATTTTTGAACTGCACGCAGATTTTGTTGTTCTAGTGATATAAGCTTCCTGAATGAGTTATGTAACAATTACCATTCCCCTGCAGTGCTTGAAAACAACGAGTATTTAAGAGCTTTCTCACCTGTCAACATGAACAGATGCTGATGTTCCCTCAAGCAAGACTCTTAACTGCCATTTGCAGCTGTGGAGTTGGTTGGGAAAATGTACTCAAAGAAATAACCAGCTAGTCTTCATGGCATCTATCCAGCCCCTGGGTTGTGTGACTTAGCAACAGGAAATTGGCTTAACGAGATTGCCATGACAATGTTGCCATAGCCATCTTAGGAAATCTGGTGTTTTTAAAGTCAAACCTGAGTCACTTTATCGAAAATGAAAAACTTTATAATAGAAGAGAGAGGAAAGAGTATTTGGAGCGAGACGGTGATAAAACAGTAAGAGAAGAAGGGGTGGGGGTGGGATGAAAGTAGAAAGGGAAAAAAAATGAACAATATCACAGGAGGGCGTAAGAGAGGCAGTGTTGTCTCAAAAGATTGACTTTACAGCCTATTGTGAGGTCCCTTTTCCCATCACGTTTCATTGGATATTGTTCCTTTCTGACCCTCAGAGAGAGAAGGAGCAGGAATTTCTAACCCCATGAACTAGTCATAGCTTCCATGGATTGTATTAAAATGCTGGTTCCCAACCTTGTGGTCATCAGCCCAGGGAGTTTACTGCTTTGCATTTCGCAGCAGTAGCTCATTTCACTTCCACAGACGAGGAACTAATAAGGGAAATCAGGTGCTTATTCTTGGCCTCAATGGTGCTAATAAAAACAGCTGTGTTCATTAGAAAAGGTCAGAGACTGTGTAATACAGCAGTTATTGATCAGAGATTCAGATACCAGTCATAGGAATATGTGTGGGTAATACAGGGAGGCGGTGATTTATTGCCAAGATTTAAAACATATTTTTATTATTCTGCAAGACGAAAGTTACCCTATTTGGTCAAAATTGAGATAAGGCAGGGGCGCCCCATGCACGTCTGGAGTCTTTATCGCAGCAGCCCAGGTTCGATTCCAACATGCGGCCCTTTCCCCTCTCCACCCACTGTCCAATCAGATAAAGGCATAAACCCCCCACCCCAAAAAAACATCTTTACATTTTTGTGTGCAGTAATTACAAAACCAAACCACAGGAACCACCAGAAGTTATTCTTTGGCAAATTATTGATAAAAGAATAAGTGGCTGTGTGAACATTTATTCAGTTTATTAAGCATGAATTGAGGCTAAATCTAGTTGGGTTTTTTTAATACTGTCCTGGTCTGTGTTGTTTGTGTTTTTTGAGCCTCACCGGGCTGTAAATGATCAAATGTTCAAACCAGGCTCCTCTTGATTTTATGTCAAGTGGAAAACATTTGTTTTATTAGTCAAATTATGTAGAAAGTTCCCAACAATCCTAAAAATTATTTCATTATCTTTGTATGTAAACCAACTCAGCTGGATCTCAGCATGGGAATCTCCATTTGGCTTGGCCATTATATTTCAAGATCTGCCTCTCAGCCCCTCCTAAAACCACAAAATACACACATGTTCACATTCTCAGTGATTTTATAGGCTGCCTGTGTTTGCCTCCGCAATCATTCTGAAAAGCAAACAAAATTACACCGAGAGTCAATTCCAATATCCTCTTTGAATTAGAGCGTTACTCTGTTCTCTGCAAACACACAGGATGTGTGTGCTGGGATTGGTGATGGTGCTTCTGCATGGAAGAGGATGAAAATAGGGAGTGTGCTTTTTTGGTCAACATCCAGAAGTGACTATCTCCAGTTAATGTGAGCAAACACATATTTAGACTAATAACTGAAGTACACACTGATGTGACGTTTGTCTTTCTGGTGCTGATGCTGGTAATTGGTAATAAGTTTCCTTGGAGACAACTTTTGCCATTTTGCTATACCCGCCATTCAACACATTGATCGTAATGTACGGTGCAGAGAGGAAACATTGCTGTCTTACAAAAAGAGCAGCTTTTCACTAGGCAATAATACAATAGCAATATGCATTGGTAAAATAAAATCAATTAGACTTAAAGCGTAAAAGTATGCTGCTTCAGGGTATATTTATGTGCATGAACCACCTGTGTAAACAGCTGCACTGACTTTAAATTAGAGCGGATCTGTCTCTTCAGACGGACGTGAGACAGACGACTAAAAAATGCAGCTGAAACGGCTCCTGTGTCTAAAGACTTGCTTTAATTAAGTGCCGATGATGAAATGCAGACCAAATAAAGTCACGCTTTCTTTTAAGTTTTGTTTTTATGCTCGCCCCCTCTCTGGTGTGCTCTCTTTTCTTTCTCCCTCCCTCTACGTACGTTTTTACCTCAACATCCCGGCCAATTTATATGTTTGGGGGACAAACAGAGAGCAGCATCATGGCTAAACTAAAACTTAAATATTGTGTGATCTAAAAAACAGACCTAGTGTCTATCTTTATGGTGTACTCATTCAGAGTTGACAACAGTTTTCTGTATGGGGTGGATTACTAACTTGCTGAACTGGCAGGATCAGAAACAAAAGGTCATTGGTTTCTGAAATGTCCCTCTTCCTCTTTCATGTATTTGGATGACAGCGCGTCCTCAACAATGGAATTACATATGTTGTCATAACAAAACATCGGTCAGCAAACCGATCATTTAAAAGGTCCCATATTGTAGAAACTGTGCCTTTAAACTAGCTGTCAGGACTCTGGTAATGTTGGCAAGGTTCTCCTCTATGCCTCAACTCTCTGGGATCTAATAATAATAATAATAATAATACATTAAATTATTAGAGGCGCCTCTCTGGGCACTCGAGGACACCGTACAACACCAAAAAAAAAAAAAACAGCAAGCAATCAAACGCTACAGTCTTTCCTAATGCACAGATATCCTTACTTGTCCTTAAATTAGCTGCAAACTACTGCTAACTGCCGTTAGCTCGTTAGCTATCGAGCTAAAAATTAGCAGGAAGATAAACATATACGATGAGTATCAGCTTGGCATTTTAACAGATAAATGGCTTTAATTTCTATTGTCATTCTCCATGAGAGGCTGTCCCAGTACTCTCATTAACTGGTCCAGGTCTTTATCTGTTAGTATTGGATTCAAACCAGGATGTTATCTAGGATGTGACACGGCTGTCTGCGTGTCGGTCATGGATGGTAGTAACAGAGGGATTATACTTTTCCAGCTAATTCAACACACCTCTCCCTGCCTCTTCTTTATCTCTCCCTCTATCCATCTCTCAGATCCGGGTCTACATCAACTCTATATGGGAAGAAAAAGAGTCTCACCATCTGGACCTGATTGCCCTCCGCTTTATCTCTATCAACTCCATCATCGACCCCTGGGTCTTCATTCTCCTCTCCCCCAGCGTGTTGCACTTTTGCTGGGGCTCCATCTGCCGGGCCTCCCTGGGGATCCGGAGGGGTTCAATTTTTATGTCATCGGTGGCCAAAGACAGTACTCCGGCTAACCTCGAACTGTCTCGCCCAACGCTGGAGTACATCGAGCAATTTCACTCTGTGGAAACTCTATGACCAAAACAGTATTTTGTTCTTTGATATTTATATTTATTGGACACAGGATTGGATCACGTGTTAGTGATCATGTGAGTGGAGCGGTTTTGTGAGAACATCTCTGCCGTGGGTGGAGTTTCTTATCTATTTCATGGGTGTTTCCACTAGATAATGGCCCTTTCTGTTGTCTGTCTACTCATAAACATACCAGTTCTGTCAGCTGATGGCCGCCACTCACCATTTGCAGGAAGTTTCCCTCCACTTCTAGCTTTTGAGCGAATGCATGCTAAATGCATAATGACTTCTTTTGAGCTATATATTTTAAATGTAAAAACTCAACATTTTGCCTCCTTCGCTGCTTATATTTTATGCCAATTAATCGATTAAATAAAAAAAGGCTGCTGATGGGAGCTGGTAAAAGAAAGAAAGAGACTTCATTCAGGTTCTGTGATGGTCTGGAACAAAGGACATGAGACATACTGAAGACATTCATCTATCAAAGTGTCTAAAATGGGATTAGCTTTCGATTCAGCACAAACAGTGAAGGAAGAGGTGCTTGTACAGCCTTCTCTGATTCTGCTTTCCAAACAGTTGTTTCTGGGCCTGGAAACGGTGAGATGTCACATACATGCATGAATTACATGGCGTATACATGTATTTGTATAGAGCACAGTCAAAGAAAATCCTGCATGGAGCCCATATCAGGTTAAGAAATGAAGATAAACTGAATGGTGCGCCTACTAAAAGTAAGCACATTCAGATTCAAATGGGTTCATGTAAGAAGGTAGTGTGGTGGGGTACATACAGTACATGTTAAAGGTCTCAGACTGCCAGAGGATGCGTTGCCACATGAAAGCAGCAAAGTGATGCATTTTAGAACGAGGTCACTGTAGCATACCTAGATATAATCTAGACAGCAGACATGTTTATACAATGTAAATGAGGCCTCAAGTGTTTGATATTTGCAGCTTTTGAACACAATTATAGGCCATCATCTTGAGAATATTATCACCTCTGAGCTTCCTAACCCCTGACCTTAACCTCTGGTCCGCTTTGGTAGCCTTTCACCCTCACACTCCTACCAGATTCCTGCTGGAAAAGGTCAAAGGGCAACAGGCCTAGAGAGACTTTCTGGTGTACAAGCTTAGTCACAACTTTACTTAGGGAGTGGCATGATAAACACAAACAAAAGGTTATGTTGATTGTAGTGACAATATTCCATTTATACTGACACATACAGTATCCTGCATATAATATTATATAATAATATTTTATAAAACGTTCTTTATATGAGACTGCAGTTACCTTCTGACTTGAAAACGTGCGCTTCTTATATAAATAACAGCAGAGAGCAAATATTCTTGCAGAATCTGGTTTATGAAATACTAAATGAATGATAGCATACAATTGTTGTTGTATGGTACATGGACGATACAAACAAAAATGGCGACCCACGCATAAAAACATTGTCAAAAGCTCCACAGGGTACCTTTAACTGTTTGGTTGTATTGGAATTATTAGAAAACATTTTGTGGAAAATCCTGTTAAAAATAAAAGTCTTAATTATTTAATAGGATAATAATCTAAATTTCCAAAATGTAATATTATTTATACAATAAACAATCTAAAATGTATTGAGCCTGTAGGTTGTTGACATTAATTGTCTGTCAGCCTTAAAAAGTACCACGTTTTGTTTTCAATTTGTGCCATAAATCAGTTCTCAGTTAGTACACGAGTCATTTTGGGACAGAACTCTTAGCAACTTTAAGATGTTTGCTCTGTAACTTGCATTATTTTCTCCTGCCAGGTACACTTTGTTCTGTCGCATTGCCTGAAGTGCCATTTGAACTGTATTAGTTTTACTTGGGAACATCTTTAAAATGTTATTCTTATTCAACGTGTGTCTTTCCAGAGGACCACCATTCATAAGGGACAGAGGACGTCCACTTAATTACTCATAGACCAGATGGAAAACGTCATGATTACAGTCTCTGATGAGATCCTCATGCTGTTGAAACAAGTTCAACTGCCAACTAAAGCAAACCCTGAAGATGCAGGTTTGCTTTACAGGTCAACTAAAAAAAAAGTCTCCCTCTGCCATAGACTCCATTAGTCAGTCTGCAGTTAGCCTATACAGTTAATGTGTTATGAGATCTGCTGCCCAACAATGTCAGTTCTAACTGGTGTGCCGATGAAGTCCGATGCCCTTTCGAGTTTCCTGGAAAAACCAGGGCAGTTTTTCCCACTTCGTTTTTTTTTTATTTGCATACTGGTAAAAGTTACACATAATTGGATTCATACTGGGTTACATTATACGACCCCGTGGGGAATCGCAACTATTACAGCATCCCTTCCTTTAAAATTAATCACATTTACACAGGGTTCCAGTTCCTGGCAAGAAAATAAGCTACTACAGATTTTTGTGGGGTCTCCGGGTAATTAATCTCTCGAAATAGGAAAACACTGTGCAGTCACTCGGGTTATCCAACAGCAGGAGAGAAGATTTCGGTCCTTGAATGTGTAAAATGTGTGGAAACAAAACTACAAGTTCTCAATTATGTGTCATTTTAGAGGATACCAGAAAATGTAAACTTTTGTGTGAGTGTGTGAGTGAGTGAGTGAGAGAGAGAGAGAGAGTGTGACAGAGCACTGACATTGTTGTATCTATTGTGTTGTGAGAACTGCAGTTTATTGCCTCTGCTGGTCTGTTGTTGGTTCTGAGCTTGGCATAAAAACGTTCAGTGTTTACGACACTGACTTACTGCTTCCTGTGGATGTTGTGTGAGTTTTGCTTTTCTGTATGTGTGTGTGTACGTGCCAGTGTCTTTCTCTGTTGCGTTTTTGTGAGAGTGCGTATGTATTATTGCATATTGCAAATATGCAAGGCTTACATGCTTGTGTCCATGTGCCTACAATTGGTTCAAGCTTGTGTGTGTGCATGTGTGTGGGAGTGACAGCACTGAAATGTAATGATGTCGAACAAGAATGCTACCTACTTGGATGTCTTGTACTCTGTAATTATAAAGTACTGTAGATGAAACTGAATGCACTGAGCACACAAGTGTGTATGTGTGTGTTTTATGTCTTGTGTAAATAAACATCTCATCCACTACATATACTGTCCAACCTGCTTTCTAACCCTTTTCCTCCACACACACACACACACACACACACACACACACACACACACACACACACACACACACACACACACACACAGTTTGTGGATGGGTTCCAGATGTGGAGAATATAGTTGAATCTTTCAATTAGGCGGTGTGTGTGTGTGTGTGTGTGTGTGTGTGTGTGTGTTTCAGTTGCTGTATGTCTGCCTTGAGGAATTTTCCCCTAAACATCACTCTGAGACGTGCTGCTTTGTTCGTGTTGTGTTTGCCTCATTTGAACGCACAATGTTTCTGTGGCCAGTGTGTTGGGTGCGAGCATTGATTAGATCAGCCCATGTGGGCTTTTTACAGCAAATCAGCAAATCAACAGGAAGTCAAGAAGTGTCTCAAGATTTTAATCAGCCTCCCTTGTTTTGTTTGCAGCCACAGTTTTAGGGTCCTAAATGTGCTCATTGTTTAGTTTTTACCTTCATCACACTTTATTAAAAGGACCAGTGTGTAGTGTTTAGTGGTGTAGTTGCAGATTGCAACACCCTCGCTTCACCCTCCCCTTCCAAGCGTGAAGGTGAATGCCTGACAATGATGGACTTCACTATTTAGTCAACTGTTTTACAAACTGCTGTAAGTTAAGCAAACATACAATCAGCGTCTGAAATTCTGCAGTACTGAAGCGACTTGCCACAGACGTCACACGACTTCTTCTATGAGTCATAACTCAACAAATCAGAGCCCACAGACATGACGCCCTCCTCGTCGGATACAAGGGTAAATGTGCATCAATTTGTTTAAAGAAACAAAGATAAAAAGGCATGTCTTCTTCAGTTCATGGCTCAGAGCTGTCAGATTCAGAGGAACTGCTATCAGACTGCTGCAGCTTAAACACACAGATAGTTTAAAGTTCAATATGCAGGACGGGCCTAACCACTGCTAAAAAAAATCCTAGAGGAAACACTGAATATTATTTTGTATATTTTATGAGCCACTAATCTTGTAACTCAGTGTAACACTAAAATGAAACAATTTCTTTTGAAGTCCCTACACCCTTGTGGTATAAATCTGAATACATAGTCTGTATTTTTGTGATATTAATAAACAGAGGTAGCAGTTTTGCTTTCTTCCTGTGGGGCAGAGAGGTGACCACACCAACCACCAGAAACTCTTTTCACCATCTAATTTCATGATGTGTTCTCACTCTGTTCCTTCTTCTCCTCTTCTTGTAACATTTCCCTTCTCTCCTCTCCTCTCACCATTAGCCAGTGAATGTGAGATAATCTAATTGATCAAAAGTTATGATTAAGGTGGAGACGTATATATAAATATAAATGCCACAAGCCATTTATATGCCCATCTCTCTTTCAGTCCATTTGGCAAATTAATTTATCTTGCTCCCTCCTTCTTTCTTTTCATCTGTCTCTCCAAACTAAGAGCCCCTTGGCATCAGGCACTCGTGTGAACAGTCTATCAGAGAGAGTGTGTGTTAGTGCATGAAAGTGCGAGTGGCTGCATGTGCATATTTATTAGTTATTAGAGATGGACCACCCAGTGCCTGATCATTGTACTGCAGTATGAACTAACGTATTAAAACTGTTATTAGAACATGAATGTATGTGATAAATTAAACTCTTGAGAAAAGCATCTGTCTTCTAGTCTAGACTAATTGAGACTTCCTGTGTCTTTGCATGCTTTTTAGAGGAATTACAGGTCTTTCCTCTGATAAAAACAGAAGCAACGATTACCACAGTGAAGATTAGTATTTACTTCAGCCCCCACGCTCTTTCCCTGTAAAAGTCATCCTGCCTGCCTCCCACTGATTTATAAAGACAAGCTTCGAGGGTTGTTGCATAGAAAGCTGCAGTGTTATTTCCTGTGCAAATCAATTGTGTCTGTGTTTGCCCTGCTAGGAAAGGCCAAAGTGTCTGCAGTGAAAAATGTCTACAGATGAAATAACTATACTGAGTGTAGAGCAGTCATTCGTAGTGATTACAGTTAGTGACTAGCTGGTGACCACAGTGGAGCATTTAGCAGCTGAAGAGACACATATTTACTCAGAAGTTGGTGAAGTCCAACAACAGAGCAAAAAGGAGAGAGAATATTGGACTTACATTCACCACATGGACATAAACATGACTCTATGTCCGACCACTGTGTAAATAAACAACTTTAACAGGCGATAATTAGGGATGCACCAATACCAGTATTGGGTCTGATAATTGTAATCAAAAAACCGATACCACTTTATGGCACTTTGACGTTAGGTAACCTCTCGTTAGTTGAGCAGGTAGGTAGAGGAGAAGCAATGTCAGCAGATTAAACATATGTTAATCAACTTTTAGCAACATGTAATTTGTCGCTGTCAGAAAGTGAGGTACACAAATGCTTTGAAAAGACTTTTGTGTGCTGATACTTATTTACAGTACCACTACAGCTTAACATTGGAGGTAAAGTATTTCAATTCACATTAACACAAAGTAATCATTATATGCTCCATATATTAATTAATATTAATGGTCTATATATTTTCTAAGAGTAGCAAACTGAGGAAAAGTTAGGAAATAGAAAAGATCCCACAATTCAACTGTAATATGTCTTCAAAAAAGATATGAATTAACAAATTCAACCTACATTTTTACAATGAGCCATGAGATATGACTTCAAAGACATGTTCTCACTGCTGGTCTCACACTAAACAGCGGTACTAGCTGATCAGACTCAGGGTAATAATATCCAGTGACACCTCCTTATTAAGCTCACACCATCTACAATCAAACTGTGGCCATTATGGGATAACAGGACCAAAGTATTGAAAGTCAGACTCAAACCTGCGCTGTCAAAAGCACACCTCATTTGATTATTTTGAGACAAAAATGTAATTTCCCCCTATAATTACCCGTAATTCTGTATCATGCTTGCTTTGTGTCAATTAATGTCCCACCAATAAACAATTACATCCAACTGACCAACCAGACATCTGGAACACATCAGCCTTAACTGAGTTTATGCAACATAATTGATTAGTTGATTAATTAACCCTGTCTATTTAATTGGATAATCTCTTGTCTTCTTGTGTTTTGATTAGGTCAGAGGAAGGAAGTAGCTGACGTGTGTGTTGAGTTTGTATTTGAGAGTGTGCAGATTACTTTGCTGATTGACGAAATATTAAAATGGATGTTTACGACCCCTTTGACCCCTGGGCCTAAATATTCAGAGAGTAAAGTCAAAATATTATGAGAAAAAAGTCAAGAATAACGTTAGATTTTGGTCCCACTTGTCATACTATCACAATAGGGAGGAAAACTAAAATTCATGAAGGTACCAAACCATTCAAACCTTAAACAAAGAATACAATTTGTAATTTTACAGTGAAATGGGAGCATTGCAGTGAAAAGAAAACCAGGAGAAATGTGATGACCCCCTTTTGAACACTGTGTAGCAGCATCATTATTAACCAGCTGCATGCAAGCTGAATAGGAGCAATTAACACAAATGAACGGGAAATTACAACAATCCAGATGAGACTTTTTCCACATCTGAGAATAAGAGAAATGGCTTCATTTTGGCTATGGCCTTAAGCAGAAGGGAGCTGGCTTGCAAAGCAGAGCGTTTGTTGTATGTGAAAGTCAAAAATCATAACGCTGTGTTTTAATGTTTTAAGGATTTGTTTTAGAGCTCCAGCCAGATGATCAAGCCAAATTATATTAGTCTTTTTCATTTCATTGTTAAAAGCTTTAAAAAACCACTGTCATTATATTTTAACATGATATAAAGCACAATGTCATCAGCATAGCAACGTATGTTTATGTGCTTTCGTCCGATCTTTTCAAGTAAATTAAATGAAATACATCAAAGCAAGTGAAATGTCAGCCAATGTGCAATTAGTCAAAAAACATAAAAGCCAAACTGATTTTCAGATAATCTTTTTCTGCATTAGTCAAACTGAAATGTGTTGGTTAACTGCTCACGAACACAAACAAGTTGTGATATATGATGCATATTTTCCAGTAACATACGCCCTCTTCAACCCTCTCTAGTTCTGAGAAAGACCTGCTAACTGAATCTGCTATCATCAAATAAATCAAACACGGTAAATTAACATAAATGTCGCACCATAGTTTTCTGTATAAGCTTGTAACTTTAGGTCAACCAGGACTGAGCTTCTATGACAAAATAGTTGTGCTTATCTTCTCTCTGCAGCCATCAGCTGATGATCTGGAGGTTAACGGCTTATCAAAGGTTAGAAAAGCAACTTTTGAACAAGGTCACCAGGTCATGATGCACACAGTACAGCTTTGGAGGAAGTGAGCATGTCAGAACAAGACGCAGCACAGTGGTTAACTAAGTTTACTGTGGGGAAAGGATCCCAGTTTTAAGCTTGTGATCCTGTAAGCTGCTTCTGTAAATAAGGGTAAGAATTGTTAACGTTGTCAATTATCAAGGTTAGGTGCAAATATAGATTTCTATTTTAAGAAATCCCATTATTATTAATAACCCATTACTGTGATTGAGAAGCAAAGAACTGTGTTAATTAGTCATTGCTGAGTGCTAATATTAAGCTATAATCTTTGACATTTCGGGAAAAAAAGCTTATTTCATGTTTTTATATTACTGCAAATGTTCAAGAGCACATTTCCAGCAAGACAGGGGCAGAAGTAACCAATGTTCCCTCTAAGCTGCGCGCCTGCGCAATCGCGCACTGCTCGCACATTCTCAGCGCACAAGAAAATCTATGCAGTGCATAAAATAAAATTCACCATGAACGTATTAATTAATATCTAATATTAGACCTAATCTAATCTAATTAATTAGCCAGCGACACATCCACTCACCAAGCCAAAGTAAAAAAGAAATGCGGTTCTTTTAGGATGGAATGGCTGTCGGAGTATGTGCAAATAGAAGAACAAGCGGTGAAACTGGGTGAGATTTTTTCTTTTTCGAGTGAGAAAGGTCTACTCTGCAAAACATGCAGCGAACCAAAGTAGCAAGTGAGCTTTCTTA